GTTGGTTAATACTTGTGAGCAGAGACCGACCGCCCCGACATTTCTAGAATCCTGCCGCGAAATGTTATTAGAACCCCAGAATGTTCAAAAAAACAGTGTGATTGGGACATAAGCCCGACATGTTAAAACAAGACAATTTCAGCCATACATGTCCTAAGAACATTATGTGCATAGCACAACCGGTTTTTTTGAACATTATTTGGTGGGCGTATAGGCGAGCCAGGACGCTTCACGACTGCATGACACTTGGTAAGCAACTCCTGGGAAGTTTTCGTGAGACGGTTCAAGGTTACTAAACCCGATCAGCTGTCGCATCGGCCACACGTGGCTCCCAAACTGGAGGTCTTTCAGACGGGATACGAGCAGATGGGGTCGGAGGATCGCGCCGCATCACCCATGCATCGGCGGTGCGTCGGTGGTGCGTCGGCGAAGCCGGCGTGGCGAAGATCGGGCCCCACACCGAGCCGCATCGCCGATGCATGCGATGCGGGGTGCTCCTCCGCTAGCCCCCAGTTCGTGAGCCTCGATGTGGGGCCCTTGCCGCCATACCGGGCGCCAGCTCTCCACGCAGGACCTCCAGGCATGGAGCACCAGGAACTTCGGGGACGCAGCGCGCCGCGCCGCCCCCCTCCACGGCACCCTCTGCGCCGAAGTTGGCTACCAGAGACTGGGGGGGGGGGGGGGGAAGAAATCGGACGGAATGGCATGCTGCAGTTGGCTCAGGATGCGTTCCAGGAGCTCCAAGAGCATCCGGCGTCCAGCGGCCCTCGTTTATGGAGCCCGTGCAGAGCGATACGAGACCCGAGATATCTGGAGTCCTGGGAATCTGGGAAAACTTGGCAGAACGCCTTGCTGAACTCCTTGCTCATCAGAACTCCGTCCCCACAGATGGTGGTGCAACCACCCGGCGGTGAGTCTGAGGCGACTTGGTGGCACCACCCCGGTTTGGGGACTCGTGTGGTTTTTCGAGAATGTCCCGAACGCTGGTGGGCCCAGGAGTCACAAACCCGGCGGTGACCCCGTGTCCCAAAACCTGGCGGTGACGTTTGAGGGATTTCAGGTAACAACCTGGTATCTCACCACCTGGTTTGGGGGCTCCTTCTCGCAGGAGAAGAAGCAGAGCAACTCACTCCTACGACCACCGGCGCGCGGGCGGGAACCTGGGGCCGAACAGGCGGGGGCGGGCAGGCCAGCGGGCTGGGGCCGGAGGGAGGCGGCAAGGCTGCAGGCGGGGAGCCAGAGGCGGAAGAGGGCCAAGGGAAAGGGTGGAGCAGGGGGCGAGGAGTACTTCACGGGAAGGTGCGAGGACGAAGCCCAGGCACCGAATCATGTCTGGGCTCCCCTCAAGGCCCGCTCCAGCGCAGCACGATGCAGAGTGTTTTCGGCTCTGCGGGCCGAACATAAACTGGGCACCAACTATTCCTGGATCGAAGGTCGACGCACCTCGGTGGACGCCAACGCGGTAGCAATGCACACACGTCGTCCGCGGAGGGAGCGGCCGGGGGTGGCCGGGGAGGTGACCGAGAGAAGGGCCGCCCACGTTGGGGAAACGGACGCTGCGTCAGCAAACCAGCGACGCCGATCAGGCGGCCCATGGGAGGCAGGGGCGACAGCGAAAGAGAGGCCGCTGGCGAAGAGGATGCGGGCTGCATGTCCGCGGAGCGGCGGCGCAGATCGCGCGGCGCGGGGGGGGGGGGGGCGAGAGGAGGGCCGCCCGCGCGAAGAGTCGCGGCGAAGCGGCGACGCCGGTCGGGCGGCGCAGGGGTGGGTGGGTGAGAGGAAGGCCGCCCGCGAAGAGGGCACGGCCACCATGTCGGCGACGCCACGAGCGTGACACCACTGCGGAGGACGGGGGGGAAAGAGGGGGCAGGGAGGTGGGGGGGGGGCAGGACCTCCAGGGACTGCACGTGGGAAAACAACGCGTCGGATCTCTCGGGGGAAGGCGGGGAAGGGGCCTGGACGTCGTGGACACACTGGCATCGATCTCGAAACCCAGGCCGTGTGCATCACAGGAAGATCGCCCAAACGATGCTGCATCGCTCCTGGCATTTGAAACTGGCTTCGGGCCCCGTTTGCATCCCAAGGCGTTTGCACCTTCGCTGTGCAATCTATGTTTTGCAAGCTGTGAGATGCGCTGGATGTACAAACTGTGTGATGCAACCTCTGTGGTGAAAACTATGTGAAATCTACGTGATGCAAGCCATGTGATACAATCTGCGTGGTGCAATATGCGTGTGTGGTGCACGCTATGTGGCCAAAGCTGTGCGAGGCGAGCTGGGCGATGCCATCTGTCTCGTGGTATGAGCTTCGTGCAATCCGTGTGGTGCAAGAGTATATGGGTGGTGCAGCGATGTAGTGCCGTTGTCAATCGCATTGAAGCTCAGTTGTCGGCAGTGGACAACCTCCTTTTAGTAAACCTCCCTTTAGTGAAAACGGCCTGGGACCGAAACCGACGGACCTGGACCCGCAAAAACGACGGCCGCGACGCCCTCTCGCGAACCGAAAACGGCAAATTCCTTCATCGAGGTGTCAGGGTGGGAGGTCTGTCCACCCCCGACAAGCTCAGTTCGCGCCCACGGAGCCCGCGAGTCGGCCACGGACGGGCATGGCGACACCCAGGACACCCACCAAGCGCACGCGGGGCGCCCGCGGGGCGCCCACGGGCGGCCACCGCCTGGAAACCAGACGAAAACCCTCAAAATACACCCGCTCGACGCACGGAGGCCCCCACGAGACGCGATGGTTCTGAAGAGAATCGATGCTTTGTCTGGTGAGGTTTCCTGAGCACCGAACGTAAGAAGTTAGACGGAGGAGGGGAAGGAGGGAGGGCAAGGAGGAGGAGGAGGAGGAGGAGGAAGAGGAGGAACGGCGAAAGACGAAGACGGAACAGCTGGGGGAGGTCCCCCCGCAGGGTGACTTAGGTATCCGACAGCACATAAAAACAGAGCGGGCACTGCCTGGGAAACCCCTCTGGACGAGAGACTTCCCGAGGCCGGGGGGTCGGGATGTTTGCGGGGACACGTCTCGACGAAACCGCGCCGCCAGATGTCCGGGAATGATTGGGGGGGCAAGGGCAAGGGGCGATACTACAGAAGAACCGATTGAATACAACATCCTCTCAACCAGACTCTCAGCTACCGTTTTCCGGCAACGGCGCCTGTCACATCTGCATCGGCGCGCCAGCACAAGTGCCATGGACGTTTGACATGGCAGATGCGCAAAGGCGAGACACTTGGCAGAGCCAATTGAGACCCCTACGGTACAGCCTGCGGGCCCTCACTCATGTATATGTATGTATATAGCTATAGAGATAGATCGGCACGCAGTGAGGTGCCCCAAGGCAAGTTCATGATCATGAAGTCCTGCTGCCTTGAGAGGCAGAGGGGTTGAAAAGCTTTTAAATGCCCAGAACCCCCCTGTGTTCCCGGCACTCATGGGAACTCCCAAGAACTTCGGGGAACTTTTCAGAGCTTCCGCGAACTCCATGAAGGCCTAAGATGGTCACGGAGGCCCCTGAGAAGCCCCACAAGGCGGTCTCGGTGGCCCCCAAGACGGCCCAAGAGCGCTCCGAGCCATCCCAAATTGCCCCATGATGGCCTCAGAGGTCCCAAAAATTCCCAGGAGCTCTCCGACAGGACCCCCCAAAGGTCCCCGAGATGCCAAAATCGCACATGTTCTTTAGTTATTTAATGATGGTCGTGCTACTTGTTCTGGCGTCACAGACTTACTTGTTCAATGAAAGTGGTGTCCAATGATGGTCGTGCGCTTACTTGTTCTTGGTCTTCCATGATGACGGTTACGCTCCAAGACTGCCCAGGAGGCCCCAACCATCGCCCCAAGACGGCCCAAGAGGGTCCCAAGAGGCCCCCGAGACGGCCCAAAAGAGCCCCAAGCCGGCCCAAGAGGCGCCCAAGAGGCACTCAAGAGGGCCGCAAGAGGGCCCCAAGACGGGGAAAACGAACGGACATATCGAGCAGTCCGCCCCCAGTATTGCCACAAGAGCCCCCCAGAGGCCCAAGAGAGAAGCGCCGTAAAGAGGCCCCCAAGAGGCTCTCGAGAGACCCCAAGAGCCCAAGAGGCTCCCGAGAAGCCCCGAAGCGCCCTCCAAGAAACCCGAAGGGACATCCCAAGAGACCCTCCTGGTGGTGGTGTCGCTTCTCCTTCACCCGATGCTGCTTATCTTCATTATCATCATCCTCATCCTCCTCTCCCTCCTCCTCCTCTTCCTCCTCCTCCTCCTCCTCCTTATCGTGCTTGTCGCTCTTCCTCGCTCCTGCTCCTCGCGCCTCCTCCTCGCTCCCATCGCCCCCTGCTGCGCTATCCTTCTCTCTGTGCTTATGTGGTCCTGTTCGCGCGCCCGACTCTCGGACTGTTGAGTACAGTCGGGGCGTTGACCCAGGAAACCCTAAATGAGGAACGAGGCCCCTTTTGTCCCATATATTAAACTCCCATGTTCCATGAACACCTCAAGAAAACCCAAGGATCACTGTCAAATAAAATACGGAACCCCTCCAAAACGAAAAGGTTTCCTTCTTCAGCGCCCCGACTGTATGCTACACCCGCAAAGGCCATACAACTCCGAACGCTGATCATTGATATCTGATCTGGGCTCCGCTCCTTCGGAAAACGTGCGCATGGCCACCAGGAGAGGAGACAAGAGAGAGAGAGGGACCAAAAGATCGAGCGAACGAGAAAGACATATACAATATACACCTGTGTGTAAACGTGTATATATATATATGTGAATGTGTACAGCTACAAGGAGGAAGAGAGATTGAGAGAGAAGGAACAAGAGAGAACGGGAAAGAGGGATAGAGAGAGGGAACAAGAGAGACCAAGAGGGAGAGCGGGTGCGGGTGAGAGGGTGGACCCCATAAGAAACAATCATGGCATAGTATGGACGGGCACATCTGCCACGTAATGATACGAAAGGTGGGCTGGGAGGTCCACCCCTGCTCGGGCCATCACATCTTGCCCCGCCTGGGGCAGCGCGGCGAGACTCAGGCCTTGTGCGCAAGTTTCCGAACCTCGGCATGCGACAGCCGCACCCGCAAAGCAGGAGAGGCAAGAGGTGCATAAGCACACGGCCGCTTTCCCAACACACTGGAAGAGGGGTGAAAGCGATGTTTTTTATTGACTCTGGCACCCGCGCGCAGTTGCAGGCGTGCGACTGGCCTTAAAGCTTGCTCAGCTCTAGCGCCTAAGCCAAAGGCTGTTCTAAGCCGCTCGAGGCGGAAAGTTCTTATGCCTCATCACCTCACTATGCTTTGGGGCACAAGAACTGATATGGCTGCTGATGTTCAATTCCCCCGAATCGCCTCCCTTTCCGACGCAGCCGGACTTGACGCAGCAGTGCTTTTGGTCCCAGCTCAGGCTCGACGACGCCAGAGGCGGGACGATGACGACGATGACGAGGAAGTCGAGGACGAGGATGAGACAGGCATGTGTCCGCGGCCTCAGGGCATTACGTACTGGACAAAGTTGACAAGTCCAGACCAGACTAAGCAGATCAACCAAATCACCAAAACTGCAATGCGACAGACATTGTTTTGCTGCGGACGGGCCGCAATGAAACCTACTAGACAAATCAGACCTGCCACTCAGACCACCAGGCAGACCCAACCAGGCAGACCCAACAGACCAGCCAGGTAGACCAACCAGACCAACCAGACCAGCTAGCCGTTCAGACCAGCGAAGCCCGGACTAGACTGAGCAGGTCAACCTGCGCGGACCAATCAGACCAAGCTCAGGCTCGAGCAGCACCGCTGCAGCGCAACAAACACAAATCAATGCCAAAAAGCTGCAGTGCAACAACAAACTGCAGTGAAACAAAAACTCGTGTGGTGGTCGCCGACATGTGCACTGCAACCCTCCCTGAGCATGCGCAAACCACGCTAGGCCCTTACGCGAAATCCCAAGCTCAAGCTCGAGCAGCTAAGTCTTAGCTGCTCGAGCTTGAGCTTGGGCTTGAGCTTAAAGGTTGAGACTTACGCTTCAACGTAACTGCTAAGTTGAAGCGTAAGTCTCAACCTTAGTGGGCCCTGGAAACGACAAGGCCGTTTTGTTACCGGTTCCGTTTTGCCGTTTTTGTTGCTGGTTCCGACGCCGTTTGTTTACCGGTTCCGTCGCCGTTTTTTGACCGGTTCCAGCTCCGGTTCCAATTCTTGAGCCGTTTTTTTGCCGTTTCCGGTCTCCGTTTTTTTGCCGTTTTCATTTTCCAAGGACATTTTTCTGAAAACGGTGAAAACACGGCCCTGCCATTTCCGGGGCCCACAAAGGTCTCAACCTCCAATATTGCTCTTTTGAAGCTTGGCGTCCCGCCGTGCGCGCGAAACAGGCTAAGGACTGTATTGACGGTGTGGCTGCAGCAATAGCGCGCCTCCTTCCTGCTCCAGCCTACTACCGTACCACGGCAGCGAGGTGGTCCAGGCACACGCCCGAACACGACAGATACAATGAGCACATGGCCACCTTCCCGAGACAATCGATGCTGGTTATATGCCTTGAGGCGACCAAGCCCATCCCTGGGATCCAATTCTCGACGCAGGACTTATTGTCGCCACTAGGTCCCGAGGGCGGCACCTGGACTCCCGCCATTGTCTTTCGCGACGCCCCGCCGTTGTCTCCTCGCGACGCCCCGAAATCGGAACCTGGGCCGAATGTCGTCGGGATGCTGGCATCGAGCATTCCGGAAGGATTTCAAAGAGAACTGAACTTCGCACATCGCACACCATGATGCGCGCTTGTCCTCGCGCCCTCGCCCCCTGGAGGCCTCCCAGATGGGGTCACAGGATCGCGCCGCATCGCCGGCGCATCGGCGATGCGTCGGCGACGTCGGCGATGCATCGGCGATGTCGCATCGGCGATGCACATCGATCCTCGAGCCGCATCGGGATCACTTCGGGATCACATCGAGCCGCATCGGCGAAGCGGCACGACCCTCCGACCCCATCCACTCGGACCCTGTCTGGGAGGCCTCACCCCCCCCGCCAGGCCGCCCCCTCGGAGAAGGACAGCCGCGCTGGGCCAGGCCGCGACGCGCGAAATACCATGACCTTGGCGCCCCCGCGGGTGACCTGAGATTTGCTCCTGCTTCAGCTGCCAACAATCGAACTTCAGACGGTCGGACCAGCCAGTGGCACCAGCCGGGCAGAGAATAATGGGCAACCTCCCCATTCCACGAACAAGGAGCGCTTCTCCGGAAAGGGACACGTGGCAAACTGACACGTGGCCTTGCCAAGCCATGTGCCCCCCTTGCCATTATCCCCCTCGTCGTCCCCCTCCCCATCATCCCTCTCTTCCTCCACGCCCACGCACTGCGCGCTCAGCATGCTCTGCGGACTCTTGGCACGCTTTTTCTGCAGTAACACGTTCTGTTTTGTGAGAGATATGCGAGCGCTTCGATGTTGTGAGGAGCAGGGTGGGAGGAGGACAACGAGACGGGTAAATCTCAATACGTTGACCGCACCGACACAGAACGTCGGATCCTCCTCTGGACGAAACGGGGCATCATAACAACACCTGCCACATATGCAAACAACCTTCTCACATTGGATGATCCGTCCACCAAGCACAGCTACCATCAAAAAATGATCTCTGTCAAACTCCGAAAGAAGACTGCGCACAAGAATGCGATGATCGACGCCCATGCGAAGCGAAGCAACATAGGTGAACGACCTGATACCCACCCAGATGGCTGCTAAATACCATTACTCCTGACGTGTTCGAGTAGAACCTTCACTGCGTACGTACGTAGCGGCACCGCACGCTATACCAACCTGTGGCAACACCGCGAAACAAATTATGTCAAGAACAGCATCCAGCGGCGCCTTATTCCGGAGCGACTCCTGCTCCGTCGTCAGAGCTTGCAACATCTCCTGCATTGCACGACGCGCACAGCAATACAGCTGAGCAACTGCCTTGCAGCATGTCCGATGCGTGGCTGTGGTCGCAACCCACGCTTGCGCGCATGGCGTGCAGCAGCTGGTGCATCATCCGGCCAGCTCCAACACAAAGGGATACGAACGCGAACACATGGCTTCTGAACTCCAAGCGTCTGCCTCCAAACATATCGCCCACTTGCCGTCGCTGAGACGTCCATTTCCCGTGTATTTTTCGGTTTCGTGCGTGTTTTGTTTGCTCGATGGTCCAGGATGGTCCTCGATGGTTCTCGACGAGAAAAAAAAGGCGCACGTCCAAGCGATGCCAGGCCCAGGGCGTCGAGTCAGCACTGCTGGAGCTTACGCCTCGCCTCTCCCGCTTGCACTCCCTCGGGTATAGTCTGCCGAGGCGGCGGCGTCTCCACAGGCAGAGACCGCGGGCTGCGACTCTGTGCTGCTCTTCGGCGTGCTATCCGCCAGGCCCTCAGCGTCAGGCGCACACACCTTTTCCATCGGCGGCGAGGCAGAGGCGGTCCGCTCCAGCGTGTGGCTGTTTGGGGCAACCGAAGGGCTCATTGGCCAGCGTGCAGGAAGGGGGGGAGAAAGGACAAAGGGCGGCCGCGCAGAGGACAGGAAGAAGGGGAGCCACTCCGACGCGGAAGACTTCCGCGTCGGGTGGGCCGGTGCGGCCAGCCGTGGCAGCGGTGGCCGTGGCAGCAGCTGGGCCGCGGCGAGGGCGCACCCAGGGGCTCAGCAACGATGTCCAGCAAGTCATAGGGCTCAGGGAAAAACGCCATGCCCATAAACTCTTGGCGTTTTTGTCTTCGTCGAAGTGAGCGCACGCACACACACACACACACACACACACGCACGCACGCACGCACGCACGCACGCACGCACGCACGCACGCGCGCGCGCGCGCGCACACACACACACACACACACGCACACGCACACACATGACACACACATACACACACCCACGCACGCACGCACGCACGCACGCACGCACGCACACACACACACACACACACACACACACGCACACACACACACACACCCACGCACGCACGCACGCACACACTCACGCACGCACACACACACACACACGCACGCACACACATAACCGAGCCGTTTCTCCCGTTCTGGCTGACCGGGAACCGTCAGTTGAGACCTGTCAGAAGACGTCCCCGGCGTCTTTAATATCAACTGGTAGAGGCTTCGCAAGTGGGGCCCGAGCAGGTGGAGTCGGAAAATCGCGCCGCATCGCCGATGCATCGGCGACGCGTCGGCGACGCCGGGGATGCAGCCGCGGCGTCGGCGTGGAGGAAATCGGGCTCCACATCAAGCTGCATCGCCAATGCATCGGCGATGCGGCGCGATCCTCCGACCCCGTCTACTCCGATCGTATCTAGGCGGCTACCTCCGACGCCGCGCCTCCGACGTGGGCACCCAATGAGATCGCCCTGGCCCCCGTCGGGACCGATCTTTCGTCGCGGGATGTGCTTCTTCGAAGCCCCGGGGGCCGGGCCAGAAGGCGGCGCCCAAGCGCCGAGGACCGTGCAGACGACGCCCGTCGTGGTCCCGCCACGGCGCTTTGGATCGAGGACCAGAAAGCGGGACAAACAGAAACTTTTGGCGCTCCGCGCGGATTTCTTGGATCTGCGCTGGACCTCCCTCCCTGGCGCGCGGAGCGCGCCAGGGGCGGCGCCAGAAGCGCCGCCAGGGAGGCCCAAGCGCCGCTCCAGTAAAGCCGCGCGGAGCGCCGAAAGGTTGTGTTTATGCTGTATTTGCTTCTTCGATTGGGGATGCGAGGCACGGTTGGGTTTTGGGCCCAAGCCTGGAGCGAAGCGGGAGATGGGGATCCCAAAACCGTGTGGTGTCAGACCGAGCGGTGACCTCGGAATCCCAAGAGACCTCACCGCACGATCCGTCACCGCACGATCTTGGGACCCTGGAGGCCCCTGTCGCCCGCGATATCCTCGGAGAGGGACTCAAGTCCCAAAACCGTGCGGTGACCCCGAATATCCACCGACTAACCACACCTTGTGGTCACCACACCGTCAACAGACCACACGGTGGGTCACCACACGGTGTGGTCACCGCACCATCGCTTCTTCCTCGGAAGAGGCGCTGGGAGGCAGCGACGGCGGGCGCAGGTGCGATGAGTCGGAATAACGGCGGGGCTCGCCGGGCGCGGGGCGCGAGTGCAGCGGGGGGAGGACAGGGCGGCCTTCTTCTTCTTCCTCCTCCTCCTCCTCCTCCTCCTCCTCCTCCTGGGATGGGAAGAAGGGTTTCAGGTTGAGGTTCAGGTTCAGCCTGCGTGCCAGCTCCGCGGGAGCGGTCCCCCCTGAAAGGCATGCGGAACTCAAAGCTACGCACTACATGATATGCAGAGACTACAGAATACATCATGCGGCGTGCACTGTAACAAAGCACTGCGCTACAAGAGAGCACTGCGTGCACTACAACAAGACACTACAACAGGGAAATAATGGGAATCTGAAAAGTAGGATACGGGGAGAAGGAGATCAGAGAAGGGGGAGGGGGGCAGATACAGAGGGGCCAGGGGGAAAACATAGTGAGAAGGGGGGAGGGGCGATGGAAACAAGAGGAGCAGGTGCAAGAGGTGAAGGAACCGGAGAAAACTTGGAGGAGGGTAACGAGTTGGAGGCCTGAACCAACCCTCCCAAGAAAGCAGGGGGCTCCACATCTGGCAGGACCTCCTCATGCCTGCAACACGCACAGCGCATATGCAGAAGAGTGCCTGGAGCAGCTTCGCACGCCAGACACGTGGGACTCTGAACAAGCCTGCGCTCCCATTGGCGATGCTGCGGCCACTGTCCTCCTGCAAAGACGGAGCGAAGATACCCTTTTTCCTGAGGCGTAATATTCTTAGATCTGAGAACGCAGCAAAGAAAGGATTGGGTCAATGTTCCGCCGTCGCCCGCGCGGGTCCTGCAGCGACTCGATGTCGTCGCCTCTGCCCGGGCGCACGTGCGCCGACAGGACGGACACCTGGCAGCGGGGGGCGCCGGAGGAGGGAGAGACAGAGAGAGGGAGGCAAGCCAGGTGCGCTCGCGCATCATCTGACATCCCATCCCATCCCGCCCATGCCGATCCACAAATCCGAGGTTTCTCTGTCCGCCGACGCGCATCCTGGCCGAGCTGCGACTCCCACAGAAAGGCCACTTCGTGTCATGTGCTACCGGAAAGAAAGGGGAGCTGCGTGCACAGGAGGAGGAAGCGGCGGGTGAGCAGGAGGATGAGCGGGAGGAAAAGGATGAGGACGAACAACAGCAGCAGGAACTGAAGCGAAAGATCGGGAGGAGAAGGAGGACCAGGACCAGGACCAGGGGACGGCGGAGGGGGAAATCGGGGGGGCGACAACGACGAAGAGAGACTCGGATTCTGGGGAGTGGCCCACGCTGGGGCGAGACGAACAGCAGCAGCAGGAGCTGGAGTGAAAGGGGCGGGAGGAGCAGGAGGGCCAGGGGAAGGCCGAACTGGGGACACGAGGGGGGGGGACTACAATCTAAAGCAAGACTCGGATTCAGAAGAGTGGCCCGCGCTGGGGCGAGAGCGCCGTTATGAACGACGGGAGCAAAACGCCGATCCGAAAATGAGGCCGGCGCTTGAGCGGGAGCACAATTTTAGAACACCCGAAACAATCGGATTGTAAATAAATATAAGAAAACAGCGATACAAATCGTGCGTAAAAACAACACTCGGAGTGGGCAGGAGATCTTCCGAACAACTTCAGGAGAGAGGCAGACTAGTATCAACATTGCTTATGTGTGGAAGGAGGGAGGGAGGGAGGAACAGGTGGGGAAGGAAGAGGGACGGGGAGGAGGAAGGAAGAAAGGATGCGGGAGGTGGGGGGGACGCGGAGGGAGGGAATGGAAGGAGGGAGGGAGGGGGAGGGATGCGGGAGGGGGGAGGAGGAAGGAGCGAGGAGGGGGACTATGAGGAACAGGAATAGGGGGAGGAGGGGCCCCCAGGGGTGATGGAGGAGGGAGGAGGGGAAAGGAAAAAGTGGATGGGGGCAGGAGATGGGGGAGGAGAAGGAGGCACGGTACTGCCGAGGGGACACGACGTCACACGCGGGCGGGAGAGGGTATGGGGAATGGAACGGACCCCTTCGCGAGGCGAATGAGGAGAATGGGGGAGGGAGGAGCGGAGGAGGGAGAGAAGGGGAACGGAGGGACAAGGACGGCCCCAATCCCTCCTTTCGCCTCCCTCCTCCACCTCCTCCCCCTTCCTTCCCCCTATCCTCACTCATCTCTCCCTCATCCGCTCTCCTGCCCACGTCCATCTCCACTTTCTCCTTCCGGCAGCGCAAACCAAATGACGACGGCATCGGGCGAGGAGGATGAGTCGGAAATCTGTCAGAACCAGCGAGTCTGGAGGACGTATCGGGCGCTGCGGCCGTTCCTGAGCGATCATCATCCTGTGCCCGTCTGACTTCCCCCTCGCTCATCATCGTTCCCTCTCCCAAACATCCCGCGTTACGAGTTCTGTTTGCCCCAGCCATCCTGTGATGTTGGGCCCTCGTTTTGAAGAGACAGCGCCCTAATCCACTCCTTCCTTCCTCCCGCTGCCCCCCATTCCCTCCGCCCCGTCCCTGCATCTGCCCTCCGCATTCACATTTCGGCCCGTCCCTCACACGTTTCGTGGCCCAATAGGGAGCTCCATCGAAGGCCCCAGGGGGGGTACGTATGCGGTCCCCCCGCCCATGTCGGCGGGCCCCTCACACGCTTCGTGGCCCCATTGGGAGGACATAGGGATCTCCAACTAAGACCCCAGGGAGGGTACGCACGCGGTCCCCCCGCCGATTCCAGCGGACCCCTCACACCGATCGTGGCTCCATAGGGAGCTCCAGCGAGGGTCCCAGGGAGAGTAATTACGCATGCGATCCCGCCGCCCATGTCGGTACACCTGTAACACGCGTCGTGGCCCCCTAGGGAGCTCCACCGAAAACTCCCAAAGGGGGGAGGTACGCATGCGAAGCCCTCAGAGGGGGGGGGGGGGGGGGCGGGCGATTTTGGTACACCCCTCACACGCTTCGTGGCCTTATAGGGAGCTCCACAGAAGGCCTCAGTGGCAGCGCCCGCATGGCGTCCCCAGGCCCATGTCGGTACACCCCTCGCACGCTGCGTGGCCTCATAGGGAGCTCCACCGAAGGCCCCTGTGGCAGAGCCCGCATGCGTGCCCAGTCCCATGTCGGCACACCCCTCGTGGCCCCATAGGGGCTTCCACCGAAAGCCTAGAAGGGGGGTCGTGTGCGACTCGAGGCCCATGTCGGCACACCCCACAAGCGTTTCGTGGCCCCGTAGGGAGCTCCACAGAAAGCGATATTCACAACAGCGGTACTCACTACTGCATAAGGTTCGGTCCTTCGCCAAGACCGATTTCGTTTGAAACACCCCCCTCACCCCGGACCTCTCGACCCATTTCGCGGCCGAAATTTTCGGTAACGGATTTCGGTCACGCCAAATTTCGGTCGCGATTAGAAGGGGTCGAATGTCGATAACGAAAAGACGGGGCGTCGGGGTCCAAGCGAGGGGTTCGAAGACGTCGACGGCTCGCTCGTTACCAGAATACGCGTCTCGAGGTCGAATTTCGGTCGCGACCGTCTCGTCCAGCGTTACCAGACATGTTAGGCAACGGATGATCTGGGGAGGCTTTTCCAGAACGCTCGTTCGTACCTGTCCCAGCCCCGCCCGACAAGAGGTTGGTTGTCTGGTGGGCCTTTCTGGGTTGGAGACGGCTAGAGAGCGACACCCTGGCCCACTCTCAGGGCCCCGTAGACCCTGACACGCTAGAGACGGACACCCAATATCCCTCGAAACCAATGTTTCCAAACGTCGGCACGAACAAGATACTGCACTGCAGCATTTCCAGAATAAACGTGGACACGGGCCCCAAGAGCCTGCAAGACCTATCCAAAAACTCCCACTTTCAACAACCGATCGGCGACCCCCCCATCGTTGTTCGACGGTCCTCGGGGCCTTGAAAACGGGAGCCCAGAGGTCGAGCATCCGGAACGACCCACCAAAACGCCACATCCTCCCCCTTCCCCTGCTTGCCACCCCCCCTCCCCCTTCTCCACCATTCCCTCCTCCTCCTCCTCCTCCTTCTTCTTCTGATGCTTCTTCTTCTTCTTCGTCTGCTTCTTCTGCTTATTCCTCTTGCTCCTCCTCCTCCTCCTCCTCCCTCTCCTCCTCCTCCTCCTCCCCCTCCTACTCCTCCTTCTCTCCCCCTCTCCTCCTCCTCCTCCTCCTCCTCCTCCTCGGCTCCTCCTCCTCTCCTCATCCCCCCTTCCTTCCTCCTTCCTCTGCCCCTTCTCGCTCCCGCCCCCGTCCCCCTTTCCCTCCTCTCCGTCCTCGCCCGCCCCCCCCCCCTCTCCTCTCCCACTTCCAGCCCCGACCCTCCTCCCCTCCCGTCCTCCCCTCCCTCCACAATTACTTAATATGAATACTACTCTCCCTCTTCCCCTGATGACGGTTTGAAAGTGTCCGACCCCTCCCCCCGCGTACTGTTTTTTCACACAAGTTTCCCCGGAACTGGGTTTTCGCCTGCATTTGTTTCCAAAATGCTGCTCTCGCTGAGGCGCTGGCCTCATTTTCGGGCCCCGCTCGTTCCGAATCGTGCTCCCGCTGCAGCGCTGGCCTTATTTCCGTGCTTCCGCTCGTTCCGAATCGTGCTCCCGCTGCAACGCTGGCCTCATTTCCGCGCTTCCGCTCGTTTCGACTCGTGCTCCCGCTGCAGCGCTGGCGTCATTTCCCGTGCCATGCCACGGCATGCAATGCAATGCTAGGTTGATACTACACTTTGCGATGTTCTTCTACGCCATGCCATGCTGTGCTCTACAATGCATCGCGTACCCTTTCGGGATCATTGCCCTGCTCGACATCCGACTGTGCGAGTAGAGAGGGGATCTGCGCCATGGTAAGGGATGGGAGGGAGGGGTAGGATGTCAGATATGACGCGAGCGCACCTGGCTTGTCCCCTCCACCTCCCTTCCCCCCCTCCTCCTATCATCTCGTCCCCTTCCTCGCCCCCTCCCCTCCCCCTCCTCCCCCACTCCCCTCCCCCCCCCCAAGGGGTGCAGCACCGGCGTCACGACGCCCGACACCGCTGCGGAGCTGGCAACCGACGCGCCGCCGCCCCTCGCGAAGGAGGCCTCGCCGCGCCGCCAGGCGGCGCGGCCGCGCGCGGCCGCGCTGCTCCCCCCCCCCTGAAGACGAGTTCGAAGACGAAGACGACGAGGACGAAGCCGTCGCAAGCGAACGCGAGGACAACGAGGGCGAGAAACGACGAGCGAATGCGCCGACGAAGAGAAGGCCCCAGCAGCCGATCGATCGACCTCGCTCCTCGGGAAGGGGCGCCTCCTCTGGCCAGCGGCGCGCGCACGGGGTGGGGGAGAGATGGCGCGGGGGGGGGGGCTTCCAAGAGGCCGGAAGTGAGAGTGGGGGGTGTATCCCGAAGAACGATACTCCAAGCGTTGGCTACGGATACGTCCCCGCTTCAGAGGGGGCTGGCCTCCTGACAATAAAAAGAAGGATGTCCATGACAGGGTCTGATCTCTTTTCGCGTGTCCGCGCGAATCTCCTGGATTCAGTCTCGGGTGTCACAGCGGATGTCTTGGATGGGCGCTTGGTCCCTGGAGGCTGCTCTGGCGACGCCCTTTTGGCGCGCTCCGCGCAACAGGAAAGGGTGCTCAGTGCCGACCCAGAAGAAAACGCGCGGACCTCCGAATGTTAATGTTTATGCAGAATCTCATTGTTCGACAGGCATCCGGGGAGTGCGAAGACCCAATAAACTCCCCACCTGCTACTGCGTTGTCGAATCGTCGTGTCAATTGCCGTGGTTTCCATACGCTCGAAACGAGCTGGGCAATGAGCTACTGCGCGCACCCCTTGCGGAATCCGAGGCGTACTCCTACCCCGCCCCTCCTGAACATCACCTTCGTGTTCCTCCTCCTCCTCCTCCTCCTCCTCCTCCCCCTCCTTCTCCACCTCCTCCTCCCTCTCCTCTTCCTCCTTCCCGTCTTGCACTTCTGCAAGGGGCCTGAATTAGGGCCGGGGGTCTCGCGGGGGTGGATTCCCCGTCCCATCCCCGTCGTCCTCCTCTTATTCCTGTGCCTCTTCCTCCTCCTCGACCTCTTCGTCCTCCTCCTCGTTCTCCTCCTTTTCCCCGCCTCGCCTCGTCCTCCTCGCGCGCACGCGCTGGCGTGGACGGTGGCGCGCACGTCGGGTGGCCAATCGCCGACGCCCGTGTAGTGTCGAAACCAACATGGCGGCGCGTGCCATTTCTCACCACACCCAGAAAGACGCATGTTAACATGAAAACCCCATCGGGCACCGTTACGCGCTCGTTCAAACAAACATGGCAATCTTAAACATGTGACATATACATGCTGCCACAAGCGCTGGCGCGCGCACGCTGACGCGCATGCCAGGTGGCTGAATGCCCATGTAATGTCGAAACCAACATGGCGGCGCGTGTTTTTGTTCGTCGGACCTAGCGAAACGAATGCAAAACTGAAACTCGGATCGAATACCGCGACAAGGTTCATGATAGTTCCCATGCCAGCATGGCGGCTTTCTAGTATGACGTATACATGTTGTCACACACGCTGGCGCACACGTCGGCGCGCAGGCCTGGTAACCCAACGCCCGCGCCGCGTCGAAACCAACACGGCGGCGTGTTATGTTTGCACGGCACCCACAGAATCGCACGCTGACGTGAAGAAGCAATCGAGTACCGCGAAGGACCCACCGTAGTTTGCAGGCCAACATGGGCTACACCATTGATCTCTCTCTCTCTCTCTCTCTGTGTGTATATATATATATGTATATACTTACATACATATTCCGAGTTTCTTAATCAGCGTCGGGGGCGCGTCACCCCCGCCGACAGCCCCACATCGACCCCCGTTGCGGGCAGCCACCGCGCGCCGAAGGCGCTCCGGCCCCGTCGCGTCGCGACGACGAGGCGAGGTCGAACCCCGTCGGGGAGGTACCCCCCACGCTTATGAAAAACCAAGAGAATATATACATATAAACACACGTATAGACATAGATTATGTATGTGTCGCCAACCACGTCGGCGCGCACACACTGGCGCGCAGGCCGAATGGCCTAACGCCCATGAGTTGTCGAAGCCAAGACAGCGTGGACCCGAAGCTGTTGACCATATTCAATATAGGCGTAACCGTGTCCAACATGTTGGCCTGCGTGGGCCCCAAGGAGGCGTTTCGAGCAATACGTTGTAGAATCTACGTTGCGCAATTTGCGTTGTGCAACGCAATGGGCCGCAACCATAAGGGGGGCGAGCTTCGCGACCACCACGTTCACAACCACCCTTGCCCACGACCGCCCCTGTTCCCTCCTCCTTCATCCTCCTGCGTTTCCCGCTCCCTATTCCTTTTCCCTCCTTCCTCTTGTTCCCTCCTCCCTGCATGGAAGGAGCGAGGGCGCCATCGACGACGACCCACGACGACGACGACGACGACGACGACGACAGCGGCGACGCGCGGCGACGACGACGGCGTGCGCCACTGCGGATGGGGGGGGGGCTGCGACAGTCCGCCGCAGTCGACAACGACGACAGTTGACGACGACGACGCGCGGAGGCGGCATTTGAGCAGTCTATTAGAGACTGCGTTGGTCACACGCACGATTCCTCACTCGTCGCCAGGCTGGCGGGAAGTGCGGCGGGAAAATAATCACGGCCCGGAGCCGTGCATTCCGCGTGCTCGCTGGCCTGGCAGGCGCGGCCAGGCTCGCTTATTTTCTACATCGACCACGGCTGGCGATATTCACCGAAATCGTTCGCCTAGCGGGGGGGCAGGGCCCGAAAATTAAACCAAGCGGCATCCGAACTCCACGGGCGATCTCTACGAGGCCCAAACGTATAGACCACCACTACCTCCCCCGTCCCCTCCCAGGAAAGAGGAGAGGAAGATGGAGGCTGGAGGAGGTAGGAGGCATCAACGTGGTGGTGGTGTGTATTCGGGGCCCGGACTTTCCCCCATTGGGGTGGGCGCGGGTGAGAACAGCACATGCGTTCCCTGCGGGGCGCGCCGCCCAAACAGTGGGGGGTCTGATCCACTCGAAAGAAATATCTCCCCGAGAAATGGCCGACGAGGGTCTGGGGGACGTAGTACCGTCCCGCCTTGTTAATGTGTATCCCCGTTCGCCCCAAACCAAAATAAAAAAAAACTGAATTAACATAAACTGTTGGCGCTCCGCGCGGATTTCTTGAATCTGCACTGGACCCCCTCCATGGCACGCGGACCGCAACAGGACGGCGCAGGAGGTGCCGCAAGGGGGGTGGGGGCTGCGCGGATCCAAGAAATCCGCGCGGAGCGCCAAAAGATCATGGTTATGGCGCGCTTTCTTGTTCGACCAAACCATTATCTCGGGGGCATGCTTGGAGGAGGCTGTGGGGCGAACGTGGCTCCAACATGGCTATCGGCGCCAAGGTGGCTCAAGGGTCAAGGTGTCCTCGAACATGCCTCCACGAGGCCAGAGTCTCACCCCAAGACGGCTCCCCAAGTGGCCTCGGAGCCTCCAAGGACGCCCCCCAGAGGCCGACACCAGCAAAAGCACGCAACGCCGTTCAATCTCCGTCGGTTTCTCGCGCTTTCGCCTACGACAGGAAGCGGAGGCCTCGGGCTTGCCCCCTGCCGTAGAGGGCCCCGAAAGAGGCCCAGAAGAGATCAGGAGAGACCCCAAGGGTGCCAGGCGGGGTCCCCGAGAGAGCCCCGAGAGGCGATACTTCGGCCAGGAGGGGGGCGAGGCTACCTGAGAGCCCCCTCTTGAACCGATGCCTTCCACGAGGGGCCCCAAAGTCTCGGAATGGCCCGGGAGGCCCCGAGGCCTCCGAGGTGGCCCCGGTGTCCTCCGAGAGGCCTTCAAAAGGTGGCCCGAGGAGGGGCCCCAGAGCCCCGGGAAGGTCCCCGAAGGGGCCCGAGAGGGCTCTGTGATGGCTCCACGACGCTTACGGGAGGCCCTTGCAGCGAAACGCCCGCGAACGAATGCATGGTGGGCTCATGCCATCGTCGTCACGTCGTCCTCCTCCTCCTCGTCCCCGTGAATACCGTCGTCGCCTCCTTCCTTCTCTATCATTCCTCCTCCTCCTCCTGCTCTTCCTTCTCCTCTCCTCCTCCACCTCCTCTTTCTCCTCATCCTCCTCATCCCACCTTCCTCTTCATCATCCTCTCTCCTACCCTTATTCCTTCTCGGCCTTCTTCTCTGCATCGTCCTTATCCTTATCTTCCTCGACGGCAGGCTCAGCAATTCCGCCCCTGGCTCATGCTCAGGGCGATTTCGAGCTTAAGGTTGACGACAGTTCAGGGCAACTCGCCAGGCGATCGCTTCTGTATAGGCTGGTTGGAGACGCGAAGTGTTGAAAAATTATTGCGCCGACCTTACAAGAGCAGGAGAGCCCAGAATCGAATCGAAAAGTCAGATCGGCGATCAAACTGAATCGGATCGGCGGAAATCTGCAGCCGAGTAGTGAGATGCCGAATCGGCGGAACTTGGCAGGCTAGTAGGCCCCCATAAAAAATTGGAGTCCAAATCGGAACCCGAGGTGGAATCGAATCGGAATCTGAAGCCATCGAAATTGAATCGAGTCGAATCGGAGGAAACGAGATAAGCCCTGCAGAGAGGAACTCATGGGGTCGTCAATTGCGCAATCCGTCTGGCTGCGCGTCCAGAAACATCTGCACGGACAGACGCGGGGCGCGCAAACAGACTCCGTCACCCCATACCACCAGCGAGGCGCCGACCTTGCCCATCCAAAGGGGGAAGACCGCATGCAGCTCGGCCGACATCGCAGTGTCGACGTGTGGGCACGCGTGCGAGTGCACTAGCACGCGCGGATCACTGCCGTTCCCACATCACTGACGTCAAAATGTTCTGGTCGCGCTGTCGTGACACTGATGTGTGTTCAGAGGCCTCCCACATGGGTTCCGAGTAGATGTGCGTCGGAGGATCGCGAGGCATCGCCGATACGTCTACGTCTCCGATGCATCGGAGCCGTCGGCGATGCATCGGCGATGTGGCGCGATCCTCTTGCCCCACCTGGTCAGACGACCTCGTCTGGGATGCCTGGAACATCAATCAAGCTGGCCCACGAAGACGCCCCGGCCGGACAGCCTCCGCGACTCCAGCGGGGAAGGCAAAGCAAGTCCTGCCCGCGGCTGAGACCTGGCCGGCCGGCCGACGGAGAACAAGCATCCGGGCCGAGATTGCGCACACGCACACACACATCACAACACACATACACACACAGTGCGTGCGGGGGGCTATTTCGACGGGTCGGACCAGAAACTGGGCACGGCCGCGAAGAGAAACAATGCGCGGCCAGGAGCCACTCATGGATGCATCTGCCCCCCGTGCTCCTTGCGACTGTATCGCGGACGGCATCGCCCGACCTGGTCCGATGCATCTACCTGCTCCACTGTCCCTTCCTTCTCCTTCTCCCCCATCCTCTGGGCAGCGAACGCAGGGGCGAAGTGATGCAAGGGCGGGTCTTCTCGGGAAGGCTCGGAAGGCGTCTGGCCTCCTGAGCAATTTTCTAAGCTTCCTCAGAAGACACGGACAGCCTCTGGGAAACCCCGCGGCTTCCTGAGAAGGCCTCCTCCTTCTCACTTCCACCCCTCGCTCGCCCTCCTCCTCCTCCTCCTTCTCGTCCTCTCCCTCCTGCTGACCCTGCTGAGCCGGCCAAATGGCTCTGCGCGCCGCTCGCCCCGTCGAAGCCTCGCGGCGCTCCTCGAATCGTGAACGGTGCAGGACCCGGGGCGGCAGACCCGCGCCAGAACGTGCCGCTGGCCGGCGGTGTGGAGCAGGGAGCACCATCTGCTCCACCCGTGCCCAAAGTGCTGCAGCGCCCGCTGGACACGCTGGGCACGGTTCAACCGGCCCCCCTATCCCCCTGGGCGTGGTCTGGGCCCCACTGGCCGGTCTGGCAATCGAAAGGGGCTGAGGATGGACCGAGGATGTACCGAAGGAGGAGGAGCAGGAGGAGGAGGAGGAGGAGGAGGAGGAGGAGGAGGAGGAAGAGGAGGGGAGGAAGAGGAGTAGCAGGAGGAGTAGGAGGAGGAGGAGGAGGAGGAGGAGGAGGAGGGAGAGGCGAGAATGCAAGGGTACCCTTGGGAAGTCGCTCATCCTTAGCAGTGTCGACTGCATTGCCCGCTGGGCACACGGAGCATTCCTCTCTCCGCGCAGCCCTCAGCGCCTGACCCGCCCGCCTCGCAAAGACGCTAGCGTCGAGAGGGGCCAGCGGCGCGGCAGAGCGACGAGAGAAGGGAAGCAGGCCTGAGCTTGGATCCAACGCGAAATCAGATCGGATGGGAGACGGATCGAACGCCAACGATCCGCTCCGAATCGATTCGACATCGGATAGTCGCACCTGGCTCTGGCTGGCTGGCTCCAACCGATGCCGGTGAACCCGATCGAATCTCGGGCGGGCAGTGGAGCGGGGAAGGGAGATTCACCTTTCGTGGGCCTCTGGGGCCCCAGGCGGGTTCTTGGGAGACCGCTCTTCCTCTTCCTCCTTTCCTCCTCCTTTCCTCCTCCTTCCCCCTTCTTCTACCCATCCTCCGTCTACCTATTCCCCCTGCCACCCCCCCCCCGCTGCCTCCCACCGCCTCCACCTCCTCCTCGTCGTCCTCCTCCTCGCCCTCGTCCTCCTCGTCGTTCTCCTCGCCCTCAAGAGGGGGCCCCTTCGGGGCACTTTTCAGGCCGCCCCTTCATCTCAAACCCTCAACCCCCCCCCGTCTGTCGACTGCCTCCCGTGACCATCGGGGAGACGTAAGACTCGGGCTCGGGGGACTCGGGTTGGCCTGCCGACGGGGCCAACAGGGAAATGATGAGGCCCACTCTGAAATTGGACCCGAACTCCCGCTGCAACCATGCCACGGAAACTGGACCGTCAAAAATCAGGACGGGCTCGCCGACAAGCATAGGCAAACCCGAAGTACGGCGAGCTCGAGACTTACGTTTCCCGTTGCGAGACGCCCGAGGATCGGCGTCGGGGCCCCAACCAGCGAATCGAATCGAACCGCTTCGGACAGTGGGCGGCCCTGCACCTCAACGCCGTAGCGCAGACAAGCAGTAGAGTCAGAATCCAAAGCAAGGATGCACGGTGACGATGCAAGACCCTTTCAAGTCCCATTTACCGTTTAGAGCTCTTCGGCCACCAACGTTAGCTTAGGATGGGCTAAAGAAGCAAGGACGCAATGGCGGCCTTGATGAAGCAGCGCGTCCGCACTGTAGATGTTGACTGTATCCACCACCGTGCCTTCAGGTACGAGTTCGCGGTCCCTTGTAGCCTCAGCCCTCAGGATTGAGAAGAACGGGCCCGGACCCAAATTCTCAAATCTTGCACGCTTCCCGGCGTGCGTTCTGCGGTTCCCCAGACACATCTCGCATAACTTTACGGGACCACGAGCGCCAAAAAACGAGCCAAGATGGCCTTGAGAGACTCTGACCTACAACCTAGGCACGGCGGCGGGATGGGTCGAAGGCCAGCAGATACGAATGTCACTCAGATCTCGAATCTGAGAGAAACGACACTGACATTGACTCCAGCATAAGCCGGGAGACAGTCCCCTGGACCAGGGCGGCTGTCGATTCTTCCTCGCGACAGAATGATGATGGCGTTCGGCTGTTCAACTCCACTATTTGACTTGAGCGTACCTGCAGTACATCTTTATGCCCTAAGCGTTCTCATTGCCTTGGCAAGAACTATGGCGTCCATAGTCCCCCACAGAGTCGGACCTTCGACCAGCCGTATAGTTTTGGGCCCAACTCTGGGAACTACGATGGGAATCGTCCATCTTCAACCGGGGCGCGTCCGAATAGCCTTCTGGGGTAAATCGAAGGTTGGGGGGCGGGATCGACATGGAACGGAGAGCCCCCCCAGTGAAAAAATCGGTTTCGGTTTCGGTTTCGTGTCGCGCGTGCGGGGCGAAGCTGCATGGGCTGGCGAGAGGAATGGCCCCGCCCTGGCCGGGGCGGGTCAAGACAAGAAACCGCCCCGCTGGTGGGCCCGCGTGGCCAGGGGTGTCCCGCCGTGGTGTCCCGTTCAATGGAATGGGACGTTCGTGCCGTTCCCCACACACACACGCAACTTCCTTACCACCCGGAGGGTGGTCGTAGAGGTACCGGAGTTCCACTTCTTTTCTGAAGGGTCAATTTTTCGGCGGGGGACCTCAGGGATTTGGGGAAATCGCCTGCGGGTTCCTCTCCCCTGGAGGTCCCGAGAGGCCCCGGGTCGACCGTCGATGGCCGACCGAAAAAAGGTGGACATTTCCTTGAAAATTCCGGTGGGGAAGCGAAGAGGTACAGTCAACCCGTACCAGAAGGATGCGCGGTAAGGATGCAAGGGCACTGGATGCCCACGTTGACGTTTTTCGAGCGAGGTTGGCCAGCGAAAGTCGCCAAGGATGGGCCGACGGAGCAAGGATGCAAAAGTACCCTTTGGAAGGTTGCCCATCTTTACTATGCGGGTTGACTGTACACAGATCCTGCTACCACCAGGGCCTCTGAATATGGAACGAAGCGGCTTTTCTGACCAAGGTGAGCCTCGGCTTCGAATGGGCTGGATCCGCCGATCCCCGCTTGCCCAGGGTGACACAGCGTGTGAAGTATACTTGGCGGTCCCCCTCTCCCTTTTCCCCCTCTCCCCCAAGGTCCAAACCTGAGTAGAGGGAGGGGGATGAGTGCACGAGCTCGCCGCCGCGCCTCCGGAGCCCCTAGAGCCTCCAAATCTAAACTCCTGTGTCTCAAGCGGGGTTCCATTGTGCCGAAGGGGCCTCAATGACGGTACAAGATGGCGTCAAGACGGCATATGAGCTCCTCCTCCTCCTCCTCCTCCTCCTCCGCCTCCTCCTCCTACTCCTCCTCCTCCGCCTCCTCCTCCTCCTCCTCCTTATCCTCCTCCTCCTCTCCTCCTCCTCCTCTCCGCCTTCTCCTCCTCCTCCTCCTCCTCCTCCTTCTCCTCCTCCTCTTCTCCTGCTCCTGCTGCTGCTCCTGCTCCTGCTGCTGCTGCTGCTGCTCCTCCTCCTCCTCCTCTTCCTCCTCCTCCGCCTCCTCCTCCTCCTCCTTCTCCTCCTCCTCCTTCTCCTCCTCCTCGTCCCCCGCCCCGCCCCCGCCCCCTTCCGCTCCCCCTCCTCCTTCTCCTCCTCCTCCTCCTCCTCCTCCTCCTCCTCCTCCTCCTCCTCCTCGTCCTCGTCCTCGTCCTCGTCCTCGTTCTCGTCCTCGTCCTCCTCCTCCTCCTCCACCTCCCCCTTAACCTGAGATGGTCCTTATTCCGGCGTCCTGACGGTCGAGCCCCAAGAATGGTCCAAGAGGGCCCCCAATACCGCCCCAGAGGCCCATGAGACGGCCCAGGAGGTCCCCAAGAGGGGCAATGCGAACCGACTTCTTCAGTCTTCTCCGCTGCGATGGCCCCAAGAGCCCCCAATTGACCCCTGTGGCGCTCACAGAAGGCCCCAGTAGGCTTTCAAGAAGCACCCACGAGGTACCCAAGAGGCACCTGAGAGGCCCCCGACAGGCCTCCAGGAGCCAATCATATGACCCCAAGATTCCTCCAATCGTCCCCCGAGAGACTCGGGAGCGGCCAAGAGGCGGGTGTCCAAGAGGGGGGGGGGTGCAAATCATGACCGGCGGCATGTGCGCGGCCCAGCGGGGGGGCCAGGGACATAATGAAATAAGAAGAGGCGCCATGAAATCTGGGGAAATATCATGGCCCCCGCCATGATATCCACTCCCCCCTAGTCATCACCCCCCTCTTTGCAGCCCCCGAGAGACATTCCAGGGGACTCTCATATGCATCCCCGAAGATGCTGACCCACAGACCAGACACGCTGGCGCGAATCTTGACGAATTCACTGTGATGTGGGCCCGCGGCATGGCGTGAGGCATAAGCCTTTTGAATAAAGGACGGCGCGTTTCTGGCCACGGCGAACCTCGGCTTCGAATGGGCTCCCCGACCTAGATCCGAGGACCGGCCCGGAAACCAAAGCCCCTCCTGAGCCCAAAGTGGTTCTGATTCTAACTTTTAACAGAAGTGACTACCTACCAAACCACCCCAACCCAACCCAAAGACCCGAATTTGACTAGAATTTCGGGTTGGGGGGGGTGTTTTTTCAACGTTCCCCGACCACCCCCCCACTGGAAATGGAGGGCAAATTGAGGCCTTCGGGTTGGGTTGGGGTGGTTTGGTGGGTGGTGAACAACAAACCCTGTGACCCCGATCGCTCGATAACTTGCTGCTCGGCAGAGGGTGCCTCTGCCCCTTCGCAACTTCTGTGAATCGCGCCCAAGAGAGCGCCACTGATCCAGCGACCACGAGAGCGACCACGGGTGCTGCCAGAGGCTCCGCCACCTCTCCGCACCGACACGGCAGCTTCTTGCGCAGGAGGGGAGTCCTTTCGGCGTCTTGACTAAACTCCCCGAATACACTCGGACTTGAGTGGACAGGACGCGCGAGAGGACACAAGACCCTTCCAAGGGCCACATTGCCATAGGAATGTAGGAGGCACGGGTCGCGAGATACAGGACACTAGGGTACTCTTCATTTAGGAGGGTCTACCTACTAATCAGGGCCGACTGTATCTCCCAGGGTGCGATCTGACCGGCATTCCGAGGCGAATCCAGCGGCGGCAGCGGCGAAGAAGAAAGGGGGGGATAGCGGTATCGGTGTCTCCTCCTCCTCTGAACTCCAGGCGGTCAGGAGGAACAAAAAGGCACCGATCACCGAACGCCCCCGTCTTCATCGCTACGTCACGATACGCCAGCACCACGTCCACGGGGTCTAGGACCCGCTGCCTTGAGCACCCCATTTCCTTCCTGGCGAATCGCCCTCCTTTCCTTATCCATCCCCCTTGCATCTCCCCATCCTCCCTGCTGAGCGCATGAAGCTGCCGCTGGCTGACCGGTGTCGCGCACGTAGAAGCAGCGGCAGAAGTGAGAGCCTCCCCTGTCCCCGCTCTGGTCTCCCTCCTGTAGGTCTTGGCCCCCCAATGGCGCCTGGCTGCGATGCACGTGCATGGCGTTGCTCTTTCTTTTCAATGCAGACATGTGCGGAAAGACAATCCTCGAATCGAGGGCTTCGGAGTGATTTCAAACGACTAGTCCAGACGACTGGATGGAAATATCTGCGCAGGCACCCCAGACCTGAGCAGTCAGCTGGCAGTCCCATCGCAAAGCCAGCACGTACTCCCCAGCTGGAAGATTCGCAGGAACCCGCACCTTGTCTTCAATGATAACGTGGGTCGGAGCCTCCGACCCGCGTTGTCATTAACATGACGACGTTGTTGTCTCATCCGACTCAGATGAGACAAAAAGTTCGTCATGCTGACATGATCAGCGTCAGATAAAGAACAAAGAGGCCACTAATAGAACCCCCCACCTAGATCTGAGGAAAAGCCCGATAACCACAACCTCTCCTGAACCCAACATGGCCCTGATTTCATACGCTTTGACTGTATATCCTCCCATCCCAGGTCCCACCGACAAGGGCTCCTTTTCATCATAGCATTAGGTCGGGCATGTCCCCCTACAGGCGGATTTGGAACGACAAATGAAACAAATGCCCCAAACAAAGGCCTCGATATAGTCTAGCAGTGCTCAAGAAATCGTCCCGAGACTACTCTTTGACTATTTGTTGGATACTCCCCCTGTAGAGCGGCATGCCCGACTCAACCTCCATCCCACCGACCAGGGCTCCTCTTGATCACGGGGCGGGCCCCCCTCGAGAGACGAGCCCCCCCGGTGGGCCTTGCCGTCCGGGCGATGACCCAGTGCTGAAAAAGAATCCGCCCCCCATCCCGAGAGAGCGATGGGAGACGGGCAAAGGCTCGGGCCGGTCAAAAGGGGCGGATAGCAAAGGGGGGGTTTGAGAATCAGCTCACGTAGCTGATTTTCCTGGCGCCTCCCGGCGCCGACAGGCGGCCATGTATCGAGGAATGGGCCCCTTGGTGGGGCCAAAACCAGCTGCGTGCAGCAGATTTCGTAACGCCCCCTTGCCCAATCCCCCCCTTTCGTCCGGCCCGAAAGGCGTGAGGCGAAGCGAAATGAAGCGAAACGCCGGAGGCATGCGTGCTCCCACGGGGAGCACGCCCGTGCCCATCAGGGCATGGCGTGGAGGCCGGGGCCTCAAACATGTGAAAACATAGGCGGGCTCACGTGACAACCACCACTCAGTGCTCCCAGCCGCTGATAATCAGAAGGTGTCGAACGAACACCTCAGTTTGAAGACCAGCAGCCCTGCATCCGTATAGGCAGGCACATGGCCGCAGAGCCCGAACGAGAGCTCGAAGGAGGATACAGATTTGCGCACGGATCGCCGACAGCCGTGTAACGCCTGACCCGAGGGTATGAGGGCGTGCCACACGATAACACGACAATCCGAATTTGAGCAGGAGCCGATAATAACCCATGTATATGTTGCAAGACGATGAAACGAATGTGTGCGGCGCTACAGCGAGAACCACACTTGGAACCCAATCGCTTGCCTGTGTAACTGTTGGGAACTACTGAGATCAATGTGCGCAACTCGCGAACGATTCGCAATTTGAAATCGCCCACCATCCATGCGTCCCGTACAGGTGGACAATGCCAAGAAAACGCGGGGAACTAACATGAGAACCTAATATTGAGCACGACTCAACATGCGTCATTGAAAAGCGTGTAACTGCCAGGATTCGACCATTACTAGAAAATGTAACTGACTATTTTGAATGTTGAAACGTGTCTCTCGTGTTGCAAAATTATGTTCGAACTTTAACTGTCGTCAGACAACTGTTCCGGACACGGTTGCGTCCAGACACTCCTGCAACTAATCTGCATATGCTTCCTTTTCAAGGTACCGGACCAAAGACTTGGGATTCTGAATGAGATTCTAAATGCAGCAACGCCGCACACTCTCAAAACGTTACGTCCCATCGCATGTTTAACGACTGTAACCACCATCGCGTTGAGGGCACTGAGTGCGGTGTTCTCAATCTCCCTCGAGATCCCTGTGTTGAATACTTCGAACTATCTTTTGACGGACCCGTCCAAATTGCAGAACGTCCTGGGATCGCCGCGTGACTCCAAACGCGATTCCCTTACTTCTCCAGAGACCAGAGAGCCCCAAGATGGCCCACGAGGGTCCCACGACTGTCCAAGAGGGCCCCGAGACACGCCGACAGCGCTCCAAGACGACCCTGTGGCACCAAGGCGGCCCAAGCTGCTCCCAAATCGCCCCGAAAAGGCTTCGAGGTAACCCCCAAGTGGGCCTCAAGAAGCAAACATGATTGGTTCCCCGAAGGTTGCGTAAGCGTTTTAGCGCTCTAGCCCTTTCGGGCTGACTACGCTCCTAGACGGCCCAGGGGGCATCAAAGATCGCCCCTAGGGAAAACAAAGGGGCCTGAGAAGCCTTTCCCCTTAAGATGGCCCCCGAGACCCCAAACATGTCCCCACGAAGTCCCCGACAGCCCCGAAGACGCCTCAAGAGGCCTCCTAGATGCCCCCGAAGATGCCATCGAAGAGGCGCCCGAGAGGCACCCCAAGAGACCCCGAGAGGCATCCAACACGCCACAGGACCGAGGGGCGGTGCCAGGATGGGCCGAAGCGGATCGCTTTACATCTGTGTATGCACACGCATATGTCGATACACGCACACAGGCTACATTCACTTATTAATCGAACTATACACTGGTCGACGACACGGTATAAACTAACGATGCGATATGCTTCAACAGTATTCTACTCCGTCTAACGATGATAATAGTATTAGGTGTTGCTGAATTTAGCCATGGTACCTTTTCTCTTTGTGGACATAAGGACAATGAGCACTCTTCCAACCTCAGTTCCTACCAGAAACTCATCGAGACGCCCAGCTACCTACCCCCCCTCACTACTCCAACACTCCAGCATCATAACCAACCGCACACCTACCCGTCTAGCCCCGAAGCCTCTTCGGGACAACCGCAAGACAGCTGCACGAGACGACCGCACGGGACAACCCCGTTGGGGGGCACGCGGGAGACCCCGGGAATGCTGCGCCCCGCGACGGGACAACCGCGGGACAGCCGCGGCACCACCCGGACAAGCAAGGCAACGCCCCCTGAGAGTCGACATCTCGAAACACTTGCAGCATCGGGGAAACGACTGGACCGGACCCTTGGACCCGATCCCTCTGCGGGATGAACCGGATCCACCCGTGAGGGCCCCAGGGACCGAAACGGGGCAAAATCGCCCGTCGCGAAATTATACGACATCACGATTTCAGGTGCCCAAGGGGGGGGGGGGGCGGGGCGGTCTGACAGGAAATGTGCCTCATCGGATCGCCAGAACATCGGAATCGAGTCGGATCGGGGCGGCTGAAACCAACATCGAATCGGATCGATCGGACCCAAGTAGACGCTGCAGGCGGGGGGGCAAACCAACAGGAATTGTGCCTCATCAGAGCATGACCTCCCTGTGACCCCACGGTAGCTGAGCCCGCCCGCGCGTGGTTTGCAAGCAAAAGGGTCCATGGCCAAACTTCCAATACGACATTCCGTGGAAATTCGATCTGCCTTCCACCCTTTCAAGACGAAACCAGGACAGGAACAACATCGAACAAGGACGAATCGGGAATCTCCGAGATCAAGCGGCGCTGGAGCATGCATCGGACGTCGCTGCCTTCTCGGAGCATTCCGGGACGCTCTCGTGAGCGTTCCAGAACGCTCTGGTGAGTAAGGACGCGTGGTGAGGACACAAGACCCCTGGAGGCCAAAGCTGGGATTTGTTGGGCGGCGGGCGGCCAGTGAAGACGGCAGAGGACGGGCCGCAGAGGCAAGGACACAAAGGCGCCCTGGATGAAGGCGCGCGGCCTTACTAGGCGCGCTGACTGTATCCCGACCTTCGGCCTGACCGATCCCCCCCCTCCGCGGCGACCACCGCTGCGACGGTCCCAAAACCAACAGCAGAAGGAGCAGGAGAAGGAGCCAGGAAGAGAAGGGAGGAGAAAGAGGAGGATGAGGAGGAGGAGGACGAGGAGGAGAGGGAGGAGGACGAGGAGGAGGAGGAGGAGGAGGAGGAGGGATGAGGCAAGGCAAGGTAACTTTCTCCGTAGCCATTTTGGCTCAAGGCTTCGAGCTTGTCCGCAGCCGTGCGGCAGGCTCGGGTGTTTTTGGCGTGTGATTTCCTGGTGTGCTGCCCTGCCACCAGGCCTGCTCTTCTGAGCTTTCATAGTTGTGTCTGTCCCTCGGCAGCCGATGGCCAAGGGAGGCAATGGGTGGCTGCGGAATGCATGGGCATGTGCGGCCAAGCGCTGTTCGGGCAAGGACAACTTCGAGTGGCGCACCGAGTGCTACCTCTGTGGGGCGCCCAAGCCCAAGGCGCCCCAACATGCCCTTCCTCGTGCTCCTGGTGGTGCATGGGCTGACCCAGCTCGTGGCCAACTTCGTGGGGGCGCAGGAGCTGGGCCGAAGCCGCGGGCGCTCACCGAGGACGAGCAGCGCGTGTGGCTCGGGCTCAGCGATGAGGAGTTCCGTTCCCTCAGTGGTGTGCTTACCCAGTCACAGCGTGACAAGTTGCTGCACCGCCGCGCCATGGCGGAATCTGGGCTGGCGCAGCCTGCCTGGGACGCCTGGCAAGCCTCGCAGGATGTCAGCTCGCTCTCCAACCAGCTGCTGGGAGCCCGCGGTCGCCTCCAGAAGCTGGAGCAGGCGGCCACCGACATCATGGTGCAGGTTGCCGACCAGCGGGAGGCGGTGCGAGGCCTGGAGGAGGAGTACGCCGCCGCCAGGGCGCGCGCCTCCGTGGCTTTGGCGCCAGGGGCGGCGCAGCTCGGCCCAGAGGTGCGTGCAGCCCAGTCCGCCTTCGGCCAGGCGCGCGCCGCGGTGGGGGGGGACGCTCCCCCAGCGGTCGCGGCCCTGGTCGAGGCTTGCGAGCGGCTCCTCGGGGCTGTCGTGGGGGCTGCGGCCGGAGCGGGCGCGGCGCCTGGGATGGGCGCGGGACCTGCTGAGCGTGCTGATGCGGAGCCTGCGCGTGGGGCCTCGCCAGCAGCTGTACGACAGCCTCATTCCCCAGGCGGCGGGCAGGAGGTGGCCGCGGCGCTGTGTCGGCAGACCCAGGAGTTCGCTGCGGCATCAGGACATCCTGGAGGACAAGCCTGGGACGCGGCAGGTGCCGACGACTCCGACTCGGACGAGCCCATGGCTCCCCCCCCACGTGCCCTTGCCGCTGGGGGGCAGCTCCTCGTGGCGGTGGACCAGCGGGTGCAGGACGAAGCCACAAGGGCTCTCGCTCGGGCTACTGACCAAGGGAGGCTGCCCGACGCAAGGGGACGCAGCCGTTCCCAGGGGCGAGACCCAGAGGTGTAGTCGGCGCCCGCTGGGGGCGCTGCCCGCGCCCACGCTGCGGGGCGCCGCGACGCCCGCGGGGCCAGGCCGCGGGGGTAGCCACCATCTGGAGCTGGACAGCGGCACGTCCAGCGACGAGGTGGGCCAGAAGTTGGGGGCACCCTTTGATTGCCCCGTCAGGGCCAGCGAGGCGGCGTCCGTTGACCCAGCGGGCGCCACATCCCGTCCAAACCCTTTGTCGGATCGGCAAGAATTACGGCGAGAACGCGAAGCTGGAGATGGTCCTACGGCGTCTTCAGCTTCACCCAAGTGTTGGAAGTTCTGCACCTGCAATACCACCAGCTGGAGCAGCGTGCAGTGGTTCCTCGAGAATGAGTGCGACGCCGACGTGGTCATGCTGCAGGAGGTGGCCATTGCTCCTGAGCTGCAGCCTGATCGTGAAGCAGCAGTAGGTCGCCTAGGTTGGAAGGCCAAGGTTGCGCCCTCTCGGGACACGGGAGGAGGCCTCTCAGGGGGCGCGTTGGTGGGCACGTGGCCTCACATTGGCCTCTGCGAGGCTCCTGTCCCGAAGCGCCCTTGGCCCTCTGAGCGGGTTCTCCTCATGTGGGTCAACGGCTTGGTTCCTGGAGGCTTTATTGCAGGGTCGGTTTATTTGGTCTCTGGCGGGGGCCTCGATGACCAGAGCTTTCTGATCCTGAAGCAGCTGGGCGAGGCCTTGAGGGCCATGGGGCAGCCGTTCATTCTCGGGGGTGACTGGAACGTGGCGCCTGAAGTGTTAGGGGCCTCAGGATGGCCGTCGGCGGTAGGAGGCTCTATCGTCACCACAGGGGCCTACACTTGTCGGAGCTCGGGGTCCTCCTCCACCTGGAGCTGTCTGGATTATTTCGTCGTGTCTGCGGGGTTTTTGCAGTCTGTGATGAACTGTCGTCGGCAGGAGGATTGTAGTACGGCCCCCCATTGGGCCGTCAACTTGGAGGTCTCAGGCAAGCCGTGCGCCTTGGAGTTGCCCTCCCTCAAGCTGCCCAAGCAGTTCCCGCTAGAGCTCCCCTTCGGTCCTCGCCCGTTAGGTAAGTCATGGGAGGCTGTGCGCACCATCGTCGATGATGTGAATAGCGAATTCGACCTGCCGTCTGCCTACCTCTCGTTCTGTGACGCCGCAGAGGACGAGCTCTCTCTCCTGCACGGTCTGGAGACGAGTGAAGCTAGGCGGTGCAGTGGCCGAGGACGTGGAGCTTCGGTTGTTAGGCGGCCAGTTTTACCTAAGTCTGGAGGCTGTTACCCTAAGGCGTCCCCCGAGGCTAGAGCTTGGAGGCTGATTCAGAATCGTTTGCAAGAGTTGCAGTATCTGGTCAGGAAAGGGCAGTGCGAGTCTCGGGACGCCTTGGGTCTTCGGCGCAAGCTTCTGGATTGGTCGGGGCGACTCAAGCTGGACCCGGTCTGGAACACCTTCAGAACGGATCTTGGGACCCTGGATATACACCCCGATCTTAACCTGGAGTCATTCATCGTCAGGGCCCAGAGCGAGGCCCACAGGATCGAAAGCATCTTCGCGAAGTCCAGGGCCAAGAACTGGCGGGGGCACGTTGCTCGTTCTGTACAAGGAGGGGGGGGTCTGGCTCACAAGGTTACCAAGATCCCCCAGGCCTGGACTCCTGACGAGTGTGCTGGTGGGGCCCCTTGGGGAACCGATCAGCTCCTGGAGGGCCTCACCCAGGAGTGGCAGGGGATCTGGGGGTGGAAATCTAGTGTTAGTGAGCTGGACCGCCTCGCGGTTATTCAGCAGCACATACAAGCGCTCGACCTCGACCCGACCCCACAGCCTATCGAGTTGCCGCTCCTGAGGAGGACACTCGGCAAGTTTAAGAAGTGGACGGCAGTGGGAGCAGACGGTTGGCACCCGCACGTCCTGAACCAGTTGTCCGACGATGGGCTTCTGGCGTTTTCCACCCTCTTGTGGCAGATGGAGAGGCTGGTCGCATTCCCGTTTCAGTTGTGGAAGATTGTCATTGGGTTTTTACTGAAACCGGAAGGAGGGAGGCGTCCAATCGGCATCTTGACCACGTGCATGCGCGTTCTCTCGGCCTGCAGGAAGTCGGAGGCTAAGCAGTGGGAGAGGGAGCATGAGAGGGATCGGGTCTACGCCACGCAGGGGAAGAGTTGTGAGAGGGCGGTGTGGGTTCAGTCCGCTATGAACGAGTGGGCCTCCCATCACAACCAGTCTCAGCCTCAGGCCTGGTTGATCTCCAGAAGGCGTATGAGCATGTCGGACACGTTCGCCTTTTGGATTTCGCGGTGCAGCACGGTTTCAGCCCGCGTAGAGTCGCCCTCCTGGTCACTATGTACAGCGCCCCTAGGGTTCTGCAGGTGGGGCTATTCGTTTCGGAGTGGTTTCGAGTTGCTCAAGGTATCCTCGCAGGGTGTGCATATGCTACGATGCTTCTCCGTCTGTACCTCAACAGGTACCCTTGACTCGGTCATCCCTCTCGCCGTCAACATCTCTGCCTACCTAGTGGTGGATGACTGTACGTTGTCAGTGATCGGGCCAGCCGAGATGGTATTTCGAGGGCTGGTACGAGCGCTCCACGCTTTGTGCAGCAAGCTGGAGGATCTAGGACTGAAAGTGTCTCCCACTAAGAATAGGATTGTTGCGTCGTCCAGGACCATGGGTAAGGCTATATCCAGCAGGCTTCGTCGGTGGAACTTCGTGGTCGTCGACGGGGTCAAGAATCTTGGGATTGACTTTTCGTGTTCAAGGGCGGCACGCAGGGTCCAGAAGGGTCGGATTCTGAGCGTTAGGAAAAGGATTCGCAGGTTTCGGTTACTCAGCTCGTCGAGAAAGGGGCTATCTCGGATATTCAAGGCAGGAGGAGCTCCCGCGGCCCTGTATGGTACCAGAGTGACAGGGATGAGTAACGCGGATCTCTCCTCCCTGAGGGCTGCGGCTGGGTCGGCGCTGTTTGGGCCGTCGGCTGGCAAGAACCGCTCGTTGCAATTTTTTCTCAGTGAGGACCCCAAGTCCGATCCCGTGTACGCGGGCAACGCCTTGCCGCTGGTGTTCTGGGGGCGCGCGATCGTCGAGGGTTGGTTGTCGAGAGATATTTTGGGGTCCCTTTTTGCCAAAGCGTTTGCTAAGTTTAACGGCAGGGTCCGTGGGCCCTGCTCGGCTGTTCTGGCCACCTTGAAGCGCCTGGGTTGGACGCCGCAGAGTGAGTCGAGGTGGGAGGCGGGTGGGGTGCTGGTTGATCTGACGGAGGTCCGCCCTGGCTCGCTTCGTAAAGTTGTCGATTTAGGAACGGAGCTTGCGCTCCTACGGTGCCTCCCTGGGTCCCCTGGTTTGGAAAACCTAGGGGGACCCCCTCTCCTGGAGCCCATCCGTCAGGCTCAGCAGCAGCTTCGACGTGAGGGATTCAAGACGGCGGCGCAGCTCCTCGGGACCCATGTCGCGGGGGGGCTCTGGACGCAGGCGCGCCTCTTCGCGGCACGGTCCGTCGACTCGCCCTTGTGTCAGGTCTGCAAGGCGGAGCCAGGAGACGAGGGGCATCGTTTGTTCAGATGTGAATTCAGTGCTGTGGTCAGACGTGACCTTGACCTGGACGACGTCACGCGTGCAGGCAGAGAATGCGAGCATCAGGATCCCCTCCTCCACAGGGGCCTCGTGGACTCTTTGCTTGACCTCCAACCTCCCCCGAGGCTCGATGGGCTCGTGGAGTATGACGGGCCCATGGTAGGAGGGGCCCTCTCAGGTCTCGTTGGCATCGACGGGTCCTGTTTGGCGCCCAATTTTCCTCTGGCTTCTAGGGCTGGTTGGTCTTGCGTGAAGATAGACCGCCACGGGAACTCGGAAGGAGCCATATTTGGGCCCCACCCTGGAGTCTTGCAGGAGATCGGAGCAGCAGAGCTCTGGGCCTTTTATATGTGTCTGTGCAATTGTGTAGGCGAGGTTACGGTTGTCACCGATTGTAAGTCTCTCATCGATGGTGTGGCGGCAGGGCCTGAAGCGTGCTGCCGTCCCACGAGGGTGTATTCTGAAGTTTGGTGCAAGATTTGGTTCAAGATCGACGAGATAGGTCTTGAGCAGATTCACTTGCACTGGATGCGGAGCCACGAATCCTGGACTCATGCACAGGCACAAGGGGTCCCGTGGCTTCACTACAGAGCTAATAATCTAGCTGACGTGTATGCCAAGAAAGGCGCGAGGTTGCACCCCTTTTCTGAGGAGGTAGAGGAGTTGAGGCCGCTTTTGTGGTGGTCGGCCTATTTCGTTGCCCTCTACTCTGGCAGGATCCTCGCGCACCTCGCCGCCTCTTCTTTTCCCGATGCTCTTAAGCCTCGGCTCCGTCGCGCTTTCGATCCGCTCGAGCTCGTGTCGGATCCCAAAGGGCATCAGGCGAAGTACTTTGGAGGCCGCTGGGTGTGTTTGTGTTGTGGCCGCAGCTGCTCGACTCGAGCCAGGCTGGTGCACGACAGGTGCCCTGGGGTCATGGCTAAGCTCGCTCAGGCACATTGGTCTCACAGGCTCCTGTGCTCGGGGGGTCCTGGCGGTCTTGTGTGGTGCTCTTTGTGCGGGGCGTATGCCAGACGGCAGATTTTGGCCCTCGCGGACCGCTGCGCAGGACACCCCACGGATGGCCGAGCACGGGCCTTGCGACAATTAAAGCAGGGGCTGGACCCCTCCTCCAAGCGGCCCATCCCCCGCTCTTGCCCCGTGCAGCCCCCTCTCCATCCCCGCCGCGTCGGGTGGGCTCGGGGGCTGTATGAGGTTTTGGGCGAGAGGCGGGACATCCGCTGGGATGATTCGGAGTAGGGAGCCTGGAGTGTGTAGGCAGTCCTGAGGCTTCCTCGGCGTGTAGTGGTGGCGTTCGGATTGCGGTGGTTCCCTCGGGGGCCGCCGTCAGAGGAGCGGAAAGCGGAAAGGCAAGGTAACTTTGGGGTGCTATCGCATGTGCCTACAAAAACATAACATTGGAAGAAGAAACTAGCACCTGAGTGGCATCAATGATGCAGCTTCCCACACCGGTTGGCGCTGCAGGTGGAACTCACTCGGGCCTCGACCCGCCCTGAAACTGGGAAATGCCAGTGAGGGGTGTGATGGCACCGCCATTCTCTCGCAATGAAACTCCGCTGGCATTCGACCTGGGACGTTCTTTTATATGCTGCTTTCGGACCTGGGGCACAAAAAGAGTCCTCTCGGCTCCTGAGACACCCCTTATAAAAACCGCCCTCGGAGAGTGAGAAGTCTAGAGGAGCGGGATCAGGGGGAGGGCAAGCATCAGCAGTCGCACAGCTCGAGGACGAGGGAGGAAGGAGGAAGGAGGAGGAGGAGCGGGAGGAGGAAGGGAGGAGGAGGAGGAGGAGGAGGAGGAGGAGGAGGAGGAGGAGGAGGAGGAGGAGGAGGAGAAGGAGGAGGAGGAGGAGGAGGGGGGGAGAGAAGGGGGGAGGAGGCGGAAGCGGCGGCGCAGGACGAGGAGGAGGAGGAGGAGGAGGAGGAGGAGGAGGAGGAGGAGCAGCAAATCCCTGCCATTCCTCGCCAGCCCCATCCCCTGCAGTGCACCCGTGCATGGCCACGCAAGGCCAGCACTGTCCTCCAGGGCCGGCTGGCCCCGGCGAAGACGGGGCTCTTCGAGCCCGAGGGGCCCTGGTCGCCACCGCCCGCCACGCCCAATCTCCGTGCGCCTCTGCCTCCCTCCTCCTCCTCCTCCCTGCCCCCCTCCTTCCTCCTCCTCCTCGCTCCTCCTCCTCGCTCCTCCTCCTCCTCGCTCCTCCTCCCCTCCTCCCCCTCCTCACCCTGCTCCCCTCCTCCTCCTCCTCCTCCTCCTCCTCCTCCTCCTCCTCCTCTCCTCCTCCTCCTCCTCCTCCTCCTTCCTCCTCTTCCTACCTCCTCCCTCCTCCAACCTCCCTCCTCACTCCTCCCTCCTCCCTCCTCCCTCCTCCCTCCTCACTCGTCCTCGTCCCTCGTCCCTCGTCCCTCGTCCCTCGTCCCTCGTCCCTCCTCCCTCCTCCCTCCTCCTCCTCCCTCCTCCCCCCTCCCCCCTTTCCCCTCCTCCTCCTCCTCCTCCTCCTCCTCCTCCTCCTCCTCCTCCTCCTCCTCCTTCCTCCTCCCTCCTCCTCCTCCTCCTCCTCATCCTCCTCCTCCTCGTCATCCTCCTCCTCCTCCTCCTCCTCCTCTTCCTTTTCCTCCTCCTCCTCCTCTCCTCCTCCTCCTCCTCCTCCTCCTCCTCATCATCATCATCATCTCATCATCATCATCATCAGCATCATCATCACATCACCATCCATCACCATCACATCACCATCATCATCATCATCATCATCATCATCACATCATCATCATCATCATCATCATCATCATCATCATCATCATCATCAGCATCAGCATCATCATCATCATCATCATCATCATCATCATCATCATCATCAGCATCAGCATCATCATCATCATCAGCAGCAGCATCAGCATCATCCGCATCAGCATCAGCATCATCATCGTCCTCCTTCTCCTCCTCATCATCATCACCATCATCATCATCAGCATCATCATCAGCATCGGCATCATCATCATCAGCATCAGCAGCAGCATCATCAGCATCATCATCATCAGCATCATCATCAGCATCATCATCGTCAGCATCATCATCAGCATCACCAGCAGCATCATCATGATCATGATCACCATCATCATCATCCTCCTCGTCGTCGTCATCATCATCATCATCAGCATCATCATCATCATCATCATCAGCATCATCATTATCATCATCCCTCCTCTCTTCGACCCTCTTTCTCGCATGCCCGTCCCCTCGCCAGCGCGACGCCCGTGCCCAGCGCCTGTTGTTCGGATTACTGTGCGCGTGGTTGTTTAGCGAGACGTTCCAGGGGACCCCTGGATTGTCCCCATCGAGAAGACATATGCACATGTCCGAGCGATGCCAAGTCTCTTGCTGCACCCCTTTTCCTCCTGCTCGTCCTTCTGCTAATCCGCCTCCTCCTCCTCTTCCTCCTAATCTTCCTCCTCCTCCTCCTCCTCCTCCTCCTCCTCCTCCTCCTCCTCCTCCTCCCCCCTGCCTCCTGTCGCTATCGCCGACGGCATTCTATCGGAAGACGGTGCTGCCAACCTTCCCCCCCTTACGGACATCGTGGCTTGGGGGACGAGCGGGAATCAAACATGGACTGCAGCTGTGGAAAGCGCGCAGGCATCCTCCCTCCTCCTCCTCGTCCGTCTCGTCCTCCTCCTCCTCCTCCTCCTCCTCCTCCTCCACCTCCTCCACCCCCGTCCTCCATTGAGCGATTTCGAGTGAAGGAGAGCATTCGACGAGATGCTCGATCCACGAGATGGTTTTGGAGGTGCTCCTGTGACACCCTCCCTGGCTCTTGCCCCCCCACCCCTGATTCGTACTTCAGTGCGTGCTGAGATGGTTTCGGTAGGCCTGTGCGCTCACCACCCTTCCGGGCAGTCCGTGCCGCCTGCCTCCCTCTGGCGCAAAAGAAGCGGCCGCCGCGCCCGACCCCGCGGTGGCACCGACGCGCCGCGCGACTGCAGCTGCCTGGAGGGCGCGGGCGGGGGCGGAGGCACCCGGGAGGGGGGCGGGCAGCCCCGCGGGGGGGGTCGGCGAGGCACGGGGCCGTCGAGGTCCCGCCCCGCGAGGAGCGCCACGAGGGAGCATCCTGGAGGCCTCGCTGCGGGGATGGCAGGCGGCCACAACCACATCGAAGGCACCTCGTTTTCCCTTTGTCGGGGATGGACGGAACTCCCTCTAGGAAAACGTGGTTTAGTGAAGAAGACCTCGGGCCCAAACCTGGCGGGCGCAAGCCTGGAAAATGACGACCGCGGCGCCCTCTCGAGAACCGGAAACGGACAATTCACTAATCGACGTGTCAGGGTGGGGGTTCTGCCCACCCCCGATGTTACCGGCGCCGAAGGGGCCCAGTGGCAGAGGAGGGAGGGACGACGGACGAGGGACGACACGGCCAGGGGCGCGGAGGGGCGGGGGGAGGGGGGGGGGGGGGGCAAGGGGTGGTGGCGCCCGCGCCCCCGCGCCCGCACGCCCGCGCTCAACCACAGCAAAGACACACCCTGCAGGATGTCTTGCGCATGCCAAGAGCTGCCGGAGCGCCGAAACCAGCTGCGTGCTGGATCTGGTCGATGTGGCGTCCCAGGACAGCCAAATCGACAGCAGCCACGGCCAAGGAGCTCACGTCGAGGTCGGTGGGTTCTCTCCCCCGAGGAGCCCCCCCGAACAGTCCACTTCGTTGTAGTTGTGGTTCTCTCCTTGTTGCGCCTGGATATCAAGGAAATCCTGGAGGCCTCTCGCGGCAGCTTCAGGCTCCATTTTCGTCGGAACCAAATTGGAGTTGGCGTCGGGTTCCCGTCGGACTGCGTCGGGCTTGCGCCAGAATCACGTCGGGCTTGCGTGAGAACATCGACACACGAACGCTGGCCCATCTCTTACGGAGCGACGTGTGGACTAACGGAAAAATTGTTTGCGCGCCGCGCGTGCCTTCTCCCCTGAGCAGATCCTCCCTAAACGTTTGAACGCTAAGGGGGATAAACTCACGGGGGGAATGATGCATCGACCCGAAAGCGCCCGCTCATCGCCGACGAAAATTAGTTAGCTCACCCCGCCCAGGAAAGTGCGGTTCCACTATCGGGGGCCTATCGCCGATCAGTCTGCGGTGTATCGCCAATTGCAGGTCGATGTTCCCCCCCTGAGCCTGTCCCCCCCCCCTAACGTTGCCCATGATTCCTGCTACTTCTTCTCACCCACCCAGAAGGGCCCAAGTGTTTATTCTTCCCGATGGGCCACAGAGCGGTGCGATTGCCAGACATCCGATGTCGTGACTTTTTCGCAACGTGGCTCACCAGAGGTCTGGACAGCTTCCCAGGGACCACATCTTCATCTCGAATTTGCGTTTCACTGTACCAAGGCCCCGCGAGGACCCGAGGAGGCGGAAACAGTACCAAACAACCTCCGTCGTGACTGTTGCACACCGCGGGGACGTCAGCTCGTCCAGAAAAGCCTGCACGCTTTCCTTCCCGATGGGCTATAGAACGGCGCGTTTGCAAGAATGCAGCGGCACCCTTCTGCGGCAACTCATGGGAGCCCCCCGTGTCATCTTGCTGGCTCTTGCGACTGGACGCACACTGACGCTTATCAACGCCAACTTGGCGCTTCATCATCGATTACCAAACGCGCACTCTCAAGACAGATTCCGAGGACATACAATCGAGGTCCCCCAAAGAGGCTTCGAGTTACTAGATGGGGTCGGAGGATCTCGCCGCATCGGCGATGCAGTGCCACGTCCGAGTTGAGAAGGTCGCGCTCCACATCGAGCGGCATCGCCCATGCATAGGCGATGCGAGACGATCCTTCGACTTGACCTACTCTGACCCCATCTGGGAGGCCTAGATTAGAACAAACAGAAACTGCATAAACATTAACTTACTCGACTGTCCACGCGGACTTCTTGGATCTGCGCTGGAGCCCCCTCCCTGGCGTGCGGAGCGCGCAAGGGGCGGCGCCGGAGGCGCCGCTGGGGGGAGCCCATCGCAGACCCAAGAAATCGTCAACGGCCTTCGAGAGTTCATGCTTATGCAGTCGTTTGTCTGTCTCGACAGATTTGGGTCGGGCGTGTCCCCTTACAGGGGGATTTTGTACGAGAAAAAATGGTCAAACATATGCAAACATGTTCCCTGACTACCTTTAGACCATTTCTTGACTACGTTTGATTATGTGTTGATATCTTTTGACTATTTGACTATCTTTTGACTATGCTTGAATGTTCCTCCTGCAGAGGGACGGGCCCTGCTGGAAGATGCAGGGCTCCCACGACGCTTGCCATCGTTCGGACGTCCGCTCCACGGTGCAGCGGTTCGTCTTTCGTATGTGCGTGCGTGTGTGTGTGTGTGTGTGTGTGTGTGTGTGAGTGTGTGTGTGTGAGTGAGTGAGTGAGTGAATGAGTGTGTGTGTGTGTGTGCGTTTGTGTGTGCGTGCGTGCGTGCGTGCGTGCGTGCGTGCGTGCGTGCAGGCGTGCAGGCGTGCGTGCGTGCGTGCGTGCGTGCGTGCGTGCGTGCGTGCGTGCGTGCGTGCGTGCGTGCGCGCGCGCGTGCGTGCGTGCGTGCGTGCGTGCGTGCGTGCGTGCGTGCGTGCGTGCGTGCGTGCGTGCGTGCGTGCGTGCGCGCGCGCGCGTGCGTGCGTGCGCGCGTGTGTGTGTGTGTGTGTGTGTGTGTGTGTGTTTTGCTGGTTTCTCGGGCTGGTCCAAGATGTCCCACAATGGTCCAGACTTTCTGGCACCTTGACCTCCCCCAAGGAAATGCACAGGAGGAAGGAGGAGGAAGGAGGAGGAGAAGGGAGGAGAGGAGGAGGAGGAGAAGGGAGGAGAGGAGGAGGAGAAGGGAGGAGAGGAGGAGGAGGAGGAGGATGGAGAGAGGAGGAGGAGGAGGAGGAGGAGGAGGAGGAGGAGGAAGAGAGAGGAGAGAAAGGAGGAGGAGAGAAGGATGGGAGGGGGGGAGGAGGAGGAGGAGGAGGAGGAGGAGCGGAGGAAGAAGGAGAGGAGAAGAAAGGGAAGGAGGAGGAGGAGGAATGATGATTGATGATGTTGATGATGTTGATTGATGATGATGATGATGATGATGATGATGATGATGATGTTGATGGTGGTGTGGTTGTGATGAGGAGGAGGAGGAGGAGGAGGAGGGGAGGAGGGGGAGGGGGGGAGGAGCAGGAGGAGGAGGGGAAGGAGGAGGAGGAGTGGGAGGAGAAGGAGAAGGAAGGGGGGGGGAGGAGGACGAGGAAGGAGGAAGAGGAGGAGGAGGAGGAGGGAGGAGGAGGAGGAGGAGGAGGTGGAGGGGAGGGAGGAGGAAGGAAGAGGAGGAAGGAGGAGGAGGAAGGAGGGGGTGAGCAGGAGGAAGGAGGAGGAGGAGGAGGAGGAGGAGGGGAGGAGGAGGAGGAGGAAGGAGAAACATGCACACGACCGAGCAATGCCAAAAGGGGCTGCCGAGTTGCCTGCTGGCCCGCAGCTGTGACAGGTGCGCCTGCTGCAGGCTCGCCAGCCGCGCCTCTCCGGGCGCCGGCGCGCTTGCGCGGCTGCGCGCCACCGCGGGCGGCGGCAGCAGCAGCGCGGGGTGCCGACGAGGGACATGGCGGACACGCCTTCCTCCTCCTCCTCCTCCTCCTCCGCCTCCTCCTCCTCCTCCTCCGCCTCCTCCTCCTCCTCCTCCCCTCCTCCATCCACCATCCTCCTCCTTCCTCCTCCTCCTCCTCCTCCTTCCTCCTCCTCCTCCTCCTCCTCCTCCTCCTCCTCCTCCTCCTCCTCCTCCTCCCAGCTCCTCCGTGTTCCTCCCAGCTCCTTCTCCTCGAGGCCCCGTCCTCGGCTCGATGGGTCAGGGTTCTGCGTGCCGGTATCCACGCGCGGCGTCGGTCGATCCGACCACACTGGCCCCTGGGAGCGGGCTCTGCCCCCCCGGAGGGACCTGGCGGGTCCCGGATCTGGGGTGCAGACTGACGGGGCCCAGGGACACGCAAACAGATGTAGATGAAGAGGGAAGCACGCAAGCAAAAGCTTTCGTGGGTCCGCGCGGACTTCTTGGATTTCCACCACCACCAGAAGTTGGAGGGCGGAGGAGGTCCTCCTCCTCCTCCTTCTCCTCCTCCTCCTCCTCCTCCTCCTCCTTCTCCTCATCCTCCTCCTCCTCCTCCCCTTCGTCCTCCTCCTCCTCGTCCTCGACCTCCTTCCCCCTCCAACTTATGGTGGTGGTGGTGGTGGTGGTGGAAAACAGGCCCATCATAATCTATGGCCCGGGCCGCGCAGACCCAAGAAAGCGACCTCGGGCTAACGCCGATCCAAGAAATCCGCGCGGGCCACCGAGAAATGTCATGCTCACGCCATTGTTTGTTCTGCCATCTTCCGGGGAGGCGTAAGACTCGGGTTCGGGGGATGCATGTTTGCCTGGCGAAGCCATCATGAACATGACGGGCTCGAGTTGGAAATTTGATGCGAGCTCCCGCTGCAGACATCACATGAAAACTGGAGCGTCAAAACCCAGGGCGCGCTCGTGAAGAAGAGCCGGCAAACCCGAGCTCCAGCGTACTCGAATCTCACGTTTCCCCTACACTGGTCACTGGCGTCAGGTCGGGCATGTCTTCCTGCAGGCGGATTTTGGACGACAAATAAAGTATAGCGAAAATATTCAGAAATAGTCAAAAAAATAACCGACAACTCTCAATGCACCGACCTTGCAGACGTGCTCCAGCATATTCTTGCGTGGATTTCTGTCAATGCAGAACCCCCCAAACAGGCGAGCGAAAAACAAGTGAATCTCACGTTGATCGTTTGTAGTCTTCCTTCCTGGGCACCAAAACACCGCACGAAATCCACTTCGACATCCGGAGCGGAACTCTCCAGGACAGCCCGGGGCCATCCCCTTGTCTTCCGAAGGACATCCGCTCCGCGACGTTGGCGCCATGGCAAATCGCCAGATGCAACCGGCAGGGGCGGGCGCGGCTGGCTGCCCGCAGCCGCAGGTACTCCTCCGTGGTGACGCCCTCCGCGCCCTGGCCGCGGGCGGGACGGCGGGGGCGGCGGGGGAGCGAGGCCCGCCCCCTCCATCGGGGGAGGCGCCGGCGCCCGCGCTGGAGGCGTTTGAACGGTCAAAGCAAGGTACACCTGAGAAGACCCCAATCAGTGGATGATTTGAAAGTCGATACTGTGGATCCTGAGATCGATTGTGAGATCGATAGTGGAATCGATGGTGAGGACGATTGTAAGGTCGATCGTGAGACCGAGAGTGAAATCGATTCAATGAGATCGATAGTGAGATCGATCGCGAGATCGCGCATGCGATCTCTAATGAGATCGCTTGTGAGATTGATAGTGAGATCGATTGGGAGATCGATGGTGAGATCGATCGAGAAGTCGGTAATGAGATCGATGGTGAGACCGATCGATAAAAAAATCGACCAAGAACCTGGGAACCCGGGAACCTCGCCGCCCTCCGAAATCGGCCCGGAACCCGGAACCGGGAACCCGCGGGAACCCGGAACCGGGAACCCGGGAACCCAGCCTGCCACCAAAATCGGCGGGGAACTTTCGCCAGGACCCCATCAGTGCAAGCACTGATTGGGGGTAGCAGAAAAAGCGTCCCAGACGATTGTTCTGCCATTCGTGGAGTCAGTTCTTCCCCCTGTGGAGGGGCATGCCCGACTTGGCGCCAGCGGCGCAGCAGCGCCCAACCGATCCCCACACATTTGAAGTCTGCGGGCGCCCAGCGGTCCAAGGTCGATGGGCGCCTGTCGGCAGGCGGCGGGCCTGCACTGGGAGAGAGCTGCGGCAGGCCTCGGCCACGACCAAATTCCCCGACACAGATCTGAAGGGTTGCCCGGACATCAGCGCCCCTCCGGAGCCCAGAATGGTCCTTTTCCAGCGCCTTGGCTGTATCCCCGCCGGTGCCGCTCTGGCCCGCTCGACGCGGAGCTCGTCTGAGCGCTTTCCCCTCCCCCTCCCCCCGCGCGGCCGCCCTCGTCCGTCTCTCCCCCCCGCGTGCACGCCAGGACATTGGCCTGTCGGCTGCCCCCCGCAGCCACGCGCTGGTGCGGCCTGCCCCTGCCTCGCCGCCGACGGAAGAGCATCCCCGCTGACATGGCCTCGGCCCCATACCCAGGAGGCCTCCTCCTCCTCCTCCTCCTCCTCCTCCTCCTCCTCCTCCTCCTCCCCCTCCTCTTCCTCCTACTCCCTCCTCCCCCTCCTCCCCCTCCTCCTCCTCCTCCCCCTCCACTGGCCGACTTGCCCCCCAGATGGGGGCACGTGGTCCTGGGCTCTCGGTCCCCCCCCCCCTCCCGAGGGAGTCGGAGGCGAGAGCGCCCCTCCCGCGGCGGGGCCAGGGGCCCTCTCCGTCCAGGGCCTCGAGGGCGTACACTGTGGGGAAATGTAGCACGGGAGCGTGGAACTCTCCGTTCCAGAGGATCGTTGCTGCTGATCCCCCCCCTACCACGTGCACGCTCACACTGTTTTTTTCAGTTGCCAGGAGAAGAAACGAAAAGCATGAACATGAACTTTGGCGCTCCGCGCGGATTTCTTGGATCTGCGCTGTGCCCCCCCCCCCCCCGGCGGCGCCTCCGGCGCCGCCCCCCGCGCGCCAGGGAGGGTGGTCCAGCGCAGATCCAAGAAATCCGCGCGGAGCGCCAAACAAGTATGTGTATGGGTGTTTTCCCCCTTCGAATTACAATGTTTCTCCTGGAGCTCGCACCTCATAATGGTGCCTTCGCACCCCGCCCACCCCTGTGGGCGTGGGGTGGTGACGGGGCCCCGCCCTCACCCGTGTGGGTGTGGGTTGCTGCTACGGTGCTGTCGTCGTCGTCGTCGTCGTCGTCGTCGTCGTCGTCGTCGTCGTCGTCGTCGTCCGTCGTCGTCCGTCGTCGTCCGTCGTCGTCGTCGTCGTCGTCGTCGTCGTCGTCGTCGTCGTCGTCGTCGTCGTGGTCGTCCGTGGTCGTCGTCGTCGTCGTCGCCGCCGTCGCCGCCGTCGTGGGCGTCGTCGTCGTCGTGCATCACATCTGGGGGGTGGGTGGTGGGGGCTGTGGAACCCTGGGGCTCATCCCATCTGGGGGGAGCCTGTGAACCCTCGACCCAGGATCATATATGCCTGTTTCTTCCTGGGTTTCACAAGGCATATCCTCTTGTAAGATGGTGGGCTGGTGGGCCTGAGGTACCATAGCCCGCTGGGGATGGGGGGGAGGTCGGACGATGCTGAATGGTGGGGGGCGGTAAGCCAAATTGAGCTACATCAAGCGGGACTGGATTGAAGTCAAGCGGGGCTATGCCAGAGCAGGCCGCCTGCAAGGAACATGTATGTTCCAGCGCCGATGCCGAATTTGACCTCTCAGGAGTTGCATCCTGAGAGGGGGGGCAGGCTCTCGCGGCGGGAGGGGATGAGGGAGGGCGAGAAGGGGAGGGTGCGGCAATCCTGGGCATCCTCGCGCCACGGCGAAGACATCACCACGGGCGGCCTTTGGGCCGTCTTCTGCCTCTGGGGGCTCTGGCGAGCAAGCAAAACAACGACTGGGCATGGGCATCGGGCCCCGTCAAGGGGTCTTGACCTCGACGTTGTTGAAGGGGCCCCGGGAAACACAGATAAATCAGCACAAGTCCCAGGATCCCCAATCTTTTCCCACCCCGGGACACTCAAATAAGCACAAATCCCAGGATCCCCAATCTTTTCCCACAGTTTCTGGGCTTTCGCTTTCCTCATATATTTTCCCCATATCTGTGGGGCATCGACGACTCATGGCGTCTCTGTGTGTTCTCCCTCTCCTGAGTTGACGAGGGGTGCAAGAGGGCGGCCCGGCAGAGGCCCCCGAGCAGCCCCACCCCCGCCTTCGACAACTGCTGGAACGGTGCAGCGCGTGCACCTTTCTTCACGCCTCGCCCCACGTGCGACGACGCCAGGACGAGGGCAACTTCGGGCGAAGATGAACGGAGAATCTCTGAGATCCGGCAGCTCTGGAGGCTGCCTCGGGCGCCGCGGACTTCTCAGAACGTTCCAGGACGCTCTGAGAGGGTTCCGGAAAACTCCGGAACGGATTTCTCGTCCTAGCCCCGACCGACCACGCCCAGATCATCCGCGACAGGAACTGTGCGCTAGCAGATTTCGGGCGCGCCAGATTTCGGTCGCGACTGGAGGGGGTCGAATTTCGGTAACTCAACGAAGCAGCGCGGCGTAGGGGTCAAAGAGAGTGTTTCAAAGACGTGAAAGCCTCGCCTATTACCTGAATTCACGACTGGCGACAGATTTTCCGTCACGCACGGTTCGTCCACAGCGCTGCGAGAACATTTCAGTTACGGATGATCTGGGCTTTACCTTCTGGTCGAAGAGGGAGGAAGGAGAGGCAGGAAATTACAGGGTCCCAAGGCGACGACAAGGACGACAAGGAGCTCCGACAAAGGCGGGGCAGAATACCCGTGCGAGACAATATACCATATACCGAGAAAGCCCTGGGCCGATCTCGAAGCACGGAGGCGCAGGGGCAGGTGAGGCCTCCGAAGGGGGGGGGGGAAGCCGGGAGGGGGTACCGCTAGGACCACCCTGGCACCCGCTTGCCTCCCGCAGGCGCTTGGGCGGCGTCCAGGCAGCTTCTGGACAGCGCTGTCCCAGGCTCGTGGGCAGTGGCAGCCAGCCGTCGGCGAGAGAACGGCGGGTGGGGCGGGCACCCGGAGACAAGGTGCCCCTCCCCCGGCCTACACCGAGGCCCACGTCCTCACCCACAGAGAGAAAAGCGGAGAGGAAGAAGACGAAGAAGAATACTAAGAAGCATAATGAGAATGACAAAGAAGATCAATACGTATGATAGTATAAAACAAGTACTAAGGAACATAATCATCAACATACTATGACAAAGAAGAAACAACATAATAATATGAAGAACAATAATAAGGACAATAATGACAAGAAAAATAATAAGGAGGAGAAGAAAAGAGCAACGTCGATGCGGCGATATCCCTCGTCGCCGCAATGGCGGATGGGAAGGGCGGGGGGCGGAAGAAGGGGGGAGGCGAGCAGTCCGTATGCGTCAGAGCCTCGGGCCGCACAGCATGCAGGCGCCTGGACTCTCACGTGCTGCCTGAGACACACCGGCGACAAAGGACTCGGGAGACGAGGAGCGCGCGCACGTGACGCTCGCGAGTTGTTTCGCACAACTGCAGCAGTTCTCAGTGGCGTCCTGCGTTGCTCTTTCAGAAGGGAGGTGGGAGGAGAGAAAGTGGAAGGGCCACGAATCGGCCCCCCATGGCCCCAGAGGACGAACTCCCCGTCTCAAGGTTGTCGGGGGTAGATAGGGGAGAAGGGGGATGGGGAGGGGCTGGATGAGATGATGGACGGGGGAAGATTGAGAGAAGGCCGAAGATAGGGAGAAGGAGACTGAGGAGGAGGAGGGGGAGACGAGAGGGAAGAGGCTGGGCTTGAATGGGGGAGGGGAAGCGGGTCAGGGAAAGCGGGGGGAGCTACACGGGAGTGCGAAAGCAGGGGTGGAGGGGGGTGCGAGGGAAACCTCAACATAGAGCAAACACATTACACAAATACTTTCTCAACAATGCAAGCAACAGCCTCCCAAGCAGCATCAACATGTCACGACCCCTCGCATCGGGAAACATCGTGACCATAATGCGCGCGGCCCTTGTGCATCCACTCCCTTCCGCCATGCCACACACTCTTAACTCCTCCGCGGCCCCGTACCTTCCCCCCGTTTTGGCATGCGACTCTCTGGATCGGGGCTCGGCGGGACGGGGCAAGAGAAAGACAGACGAGAATGGGAGCAGTCGCAGACCACACCTGGAGGCAGCCGCGTCCGACGAGAAAATTCCAGGCCGGTTGCCGAGCCGACCTGCTCGCGCCGTGGAAGAGGCAGAGACGATGAAACAGGCGGAGCAGGGGGGAAGGCGGCGCAGAAGCCGGCCTGGTCGTGCGCATCTTGGCCACCACCAAGCAGCGCTTGCTCCCTCCCCTGGTCTTCCGTCGAATGCACTGCTCCAGAAAGGCAGCCTCCTCTCCCCGGCTCGAACCCACACGTGGGAGGCAACTCCGGGCCGGGGAGGCCTTCGTGGGAAGGACTCCGTGCCACTATAAGCTCGATCAAGCCTGATCAAGCCTGATACAAGCCTGATTCAGCCTGAGGGGCCATCAAGCCAGATCAAGCCTGATTCAGCCTGAGATTGAGCCAGTCTCGGCCAGATCAAACAGCATTCTATCAAAGCGGGTTTCGAGCGCCGACTCTGCATTAAACTTCACGGGACTTGCAAGTCAGGGGGTGCCACACTCACAGAAGGGTCGAAGACGACGGACCACCATGTATCCAAATGTCAGCAAGGAGAAGAAAGTCGCGGCAAGGCCAGGCCAGGAAACAGAACGCACCGCGGATAACGGATGGACTGCAGCTCAAACCGTGGTGCTACGCCAACTGCCTTCCTCGTAACCATATTGTGCCCTTTGCGTCATACGCTTGGTGATGTGAGGAAACCAGACCTGCAGGGTAGGCCCTTTCCTTTTCTGTGCACTTTTACTTTGGCTGCGGCTTCCACTGCAGCGCAAGTCAAAGCGCATCCGGGGCAACTCACAAAGAGACGGTTTTCCCATCGCACGGATGACTCCATCCCTCCCCTCCTTCGGTTTGTGATTGGACCCCGAAAAGCTCGCATTGGTGGGTTACCAGAAACATGCTTACACGCACTGGGACCCCATGGGCCTCACCTCGGGCGCGTGCTGAGCAGGATTCCGAAGCGAGCCCAGCTGTTGCGACGAGAACACCTAAAGAGAGCCCCAGAAGACCAAGAACCAAGCAAATTTGTTGCTTAAATATGGACGGCTCCATATCCCAAGATGTGCAAATCCGTCGAATCCGCCACCGCTCTTGCAGCACATTGAGGCGTGGCAGACTGCCACAAGGGCTGCCTGGCAAGTTTTCTGTAGTCGTCTGGGGGACCCCCCACCCGCTCTGGTAGCAACAACCCGACTGCACCGCCCTTATTACCAGGGGGTCCCTGGGCAGCCATGGCGTCTCCCTGGCACTCACCAAGGCTTCCATGACAGCCCAGGGGACCCCCAAGACGGTCCAAGGGGCCCCGGAGTCGCCGAACGAGTCGCCGAACGATCGATCGACGACGCCCAAGATGGCCTCCAGATGGCCAAAGAGGCCTCCAAGACTCCCCAGGAGGCCTCTAGGGGGCAACAATCAGTTTATTTGTCCCAGGCTGTTGCAGAATCTTGGCATTCTGGCCTGTTCGGATTTCCGACGCTCCAAGACGGCCCAAAAGGCTCCCACGACGCTCCAAGACGGCCCAAGAGGCTCCCAAGACCGCCCCAAAACGGCTCAAGAGGCCTCGACGGCGACGGCGGCAGCAGGGGCGATGGCAACGACGACGGCGCCTCCACGGCCTGCAAGGTCTCTCGTGGGGTCCCTGCCGGGGCTCCAGAGATCGAAGGCGTAAAAATCCTCGAGGTCGACGGCGACGGCGAGGTCGTGTGTTCGCGCTGGATCCGTGGGAAAACCACGTCGAGTCCAGAGCATCACCATATTCCTCTTCCTCTATTTTTGCAAGCCCGGGGGGGGGGACCCCCCCCCCACCTCCCCCCAAAAAACTAGACCCCCGGGATCTGGGGTTCTCGGGCTTCCTTGGATGTCCTTGGAGAAGGTCACCCGGCTTTCCGGGTCTCCACAAACGCCTTGCCAGCAGATCCAGAGCGATCCGAGGGGTCATCAAAAGGCTCAAGGGAGACCCCAGACAGCGCAAGAGCGCTCCAAGAGGGACTCCAACTGCGTCAGGACGGCCCATAAGACCCCCAAGGCACCCCAAAAAGCTTTCCAAGGGGCCTTCAAAGCACACAAATCGTCCCATTCCCTTCGTAAAACTTACGAAATTTCAGCAGATTCGCCTTTCGGATTTCATCAGCTTTCAAGACGGCTTCAAAGCCCCCGAGATCACCTCCAGACGCCCCAAAAGGCCCCCAAGAAAGCTTCAAGACGGCCGAGCCCGGCCCCACGATCGCCCACGAGAGCCCCGAGACAGCCCATAATGGAACCAAGAGGCCCCCCAAGGGCTCCCAGCACAGACCCAAAAGGGCCATGGGAGGTCCCCGGGAGTGCCCAAGATGGGTCCAAAGGGGGCTCCAGCGGGCCCAAGCTCCCCAAGACGGCCCAAGAAGGCCCCAGGACGGCCCATGAAGGCGCCAAAACGGCCCACGAGGGCCCCGAAAGCACCCCACGATGTTTCCGAATGCCAACATAAAGACCCCCAAGCCACCCCAAAAAGCTTTCCAAGGGGCCTTCAAACCACAAAAATCGTCCCATTCCCTTCGTGAAACTTACAATGTTAGCATATTCGCCTTTCGGATTTCATCAACTTTTAAAACGGTTTCGAAGCCCCCGAGATCGCCTCAAGACGCCCCAAAAGGCCCCCTAGAAAGCTTTAAGACGGCCGAGCCCGGCCCCACGATCGCCCACGAGAGCCCCAAGACAGCCCATAATGGAACCAAGAGGCCCCCCAAGGGCTCCCAGCACATACCCAAAAGGGCCATGGGAGGTCCCTGGAAGAGCCCAAGATGGGTCCAAAGGGGGCTCCAGCGGGCCCAAGCTCCCCAAGACGGCCCAAGAAGGCCCCAGGACGGCCCATGAAGGCGCCAAAACGGCCTACGAGGGCCCCGAAAACACCCCCACGATGTTTCCGAATGCCAGCATTCTTTGATTTTGCTCCCATGACATTTCACATTGTGACCCAGTCGTTGAGGGTCTCGTGGCATGCAGCGAAGATGCCCGAGGATTCCCCGTACGAATTACCCACATAAAATTGTTTGTACATATGTACGCTGTATACACGCATACGACAATGTAAATATATTGTATACCCCTCGACATGTATACGGAATGTGCATGCCCGTGCGCGTGTATACATGCATACGTGCATGTACGCACGCACGCATTCCGCTTGCGTGCAGAACTCAGAGGACCAAGGTGCATGGCGCGCAGCGCCAATGCAGTCTTGTATATCTATATATATATATATATATGTCTGTGTGTCTGTGTGTGTGTGTGTGTTTGTCGGCGAATCTCAAATCGAACCCACGTCGAATCAACCCCACAGCCGCGCTGAATGCCGTACCAGATTCAAGAGAAGACCGCCAATCACAGGACAGACAAGGTCCCCAAACGATCTAGGTCACCTGATTTCGCACATCGCACACAGCGATTATACTCGCGCCCTCGCGCCGCCGCTCGGGGGAAGATCGCCTGGCCAACCCAAACCGCGATGCGCGAAGCACGATTCTCTTCGCGCCCCTGGGGATGACCTGCAGTCATCGTGCTCCTTTCAACACCGGTGAGTCCAGTCGGGCCGCTGAACTGAGGAACGCTACATCGGGAACGGAGCCCCTCTTCGGCCCCCCGAAAGCCGCCTCCGTTCACGAGGGGGGCTGGAGGAACAGCCATGGCAGGACCTGAGCAGCACCGAGCCCTTGTCCGAACCCCAAAACTGCTCCCCATTTCAGCGTCTTGACTGCACGGAAACAGGTGGGCTGACAGTGGCGTGGTCTTGGCATGGCGAGCCTCGGCCAAGCGTGCGCTCCACGACCGAGATCTGAGGAGGAGGAGGGGGAGGAGGAGGAGGAGGAGGAGGAGGTGGAGGGGGAGGAGGAGGAGGAGGAGGAGGAGGAGGAGGAGGAGGAGGAGGAGGAGAGGAGGAGGATTAGCAGGAGGAGGAGGAGGAGGAGGAGGAGGAGGAGGAGGAGGAGGCACGGCCCGAGAGCCACAGAGCCCCTCAGCGCGGGGTCCTTCCGTCTCGGCGCCTGCTCCGCTGCGCAGGGGCCGCCCGCCTTGGCATGCACGCGAGCCTGCCAGGACACGCTCCCAGAACAGGGCAGTGCTCTAAGGACAAAACTCGGCGGTGGACAAACCTCCCTTTAGTAAACCTCCCCTTAGTGAAAACGACCTAGGGCCGAAATCGACGGACCTGGACCCGCAAAAATGACGGCCGCGACGCCCTCTCGCGAACCGAAAACGGCCAATTCCTTAATCGACGTGTCAGGGTAGGAGGTCTGTCCAGCTCCGAAAAACAAGGCTCTCGTTACATACAGGCGGTACTTGGAATAAAGCGCAACTGCCCCAGCCAGAACTGCCGTAAGAACATGTCGCGCAAAGCACAGCAGGTCATGAGGGCATTCTGTGGTGGGACTATAGCAGAGGCGCCCTAAGAAGTCCGAGTAGGCAGGGCAGGAGCATCGCCAGCGCGGAGCAGATCAGCCTCCATATCCAACCGCATCGGCGCTGCGGCGCGAAACTCCGGCCCCATCTGCTCGGACCCCATCTGGGAAGCACAGATATTAGGCAGGTTGGGACTCTTTGCCACTGCTTCCCTTCCGCCCCCCAACGATACGATACGATACGATACGACCACCGCTGCGGACGCCGTCCGGGCCCAGCTACGACCAGGTGGTCGAGGCCGTGGCCTCAGGAATCGAGTGTGCCTGAACAACATGCAATGCGAGATGCATAACAAGTTCATGGAGGAGAGAGGGGGGGGAGAGGTCCTTGGAGTCGGTGTCGGCGTGGGGCTCGGCATGCTTGGGCGTGTCTGTGTGGGTGGGAGAGGGAGGGAGGGAGGGAGGGAGGCGACGGCAGACGATGCAGCGCAGACGACAGCGACTTCGATGGCGACGACCCCGCCGCCCAGCCGGCTGGCGTTCTCGGCCTGCAGGGCGCGCACGAGCTGCTGCATGTAGGCCAGCTGTTGCTCCTGCCGCCAGGGACGGAGGTCATGGTAATGCTAAGATACGAGATTTAGAACAACGGCCCCGGATATAGAAAATCCGGTTTGTGATGTACTAGACTAGTGCTTGCGTTTACTAAATGATATATTGTCTTGTTGTGATTCGGCGGCGCAATTTAATACATCCGTTTCTCTCTTTCGTAAATCTACATTATCGTTTTTGTCCAACCATTGCTTTCATACTGCGCGTTTATTCCTTACCATGGCCTGTGTTAGTCGGTAGTGAGGAGGCTGCCTCTCAGGAGGCGCCGGCCTGACATCTATCGACAAGGCCCGCGCCTTCTAAGAAGCAGCCTCCTCCTGAGAAGTCTTCCCCTCTTTCCCTGCGCGTGGCCGAGACAAGGCAGCGAGGGTGGAGCAAGTCGGGGACGCACTACAAGACGAAGCCAGGACGAGGACAACATCGGGAAAGGAGAAATCGAGAATCTCAGATCTGGCAGCTCTGGAGGCTCTCGGGCGCCGCGGCCTTCTCAGGGCGTTCAAGACAGCTCTGAGAGCGTTTTGGAATGCTCTGGGACGGACTCATCCTCATCCTGGACTGAGGTCGGAAACGTCCTCCTACTGGCGGATTTCGGACGACAATTGAAACGTAGTAGCAACAAATACTAAGACATGACCAACACCAGTCGAAGAATCGTCCCCAGACTATTTTGTTGAGTATGCTGGAATTTTCCTCCTGCAGAGGGATGTGCCCGACGTGATCCTGGCCCCGGCCGAGGGGATGAGGGCAAGACAGCGAGGGTGCAGCCCATCGGGGATGCACAAAACCTGGGAGAGCACAGGCCCGGGTCGGCCAGGGCCCCGTGCCACACCGAAGCCCGGCGAGCCGCTCGGCAGAAGGCTCCCAGGCCAGGGCCCAGGGGAGGCCGACGGGGGGAGGAGGGGGAGGAGGAGGAGGAGGAGGAGGAGGAGGAGGAGGAGGAGGAGGAGGAGGAGGAGGAGGAAGAGAAGGATGGGGAGGGGAAGGGGGGGAGGAGGGGGAGGGGGAGGAGGAGGAGGAGGAGGCGGAGGAGGTGGAGGAGCCAGAGGGGGTTGGCTGACCCCCGTTCGCAGTGAGCCCCCCGCATCACGCGAGCCCCGAACCAGCACGAGATGCTCCATCTGGAAGTTCACATGGCCAGGAGGCTCCGAGCGCTACAGTTATAACTAAGAAGCTATGTCAGTTATTGATCCTTCCCGCTCCCCCTCCCCCTCCTGCTCAGCCCTTGTTCTTGGCGCGGCAGCAGGCAGCCTCAACTGATTGACCAAAAAAGACCCCGAACCCTTTGGGAGAGGACATAAGTTAGGAGGGCCAGGAACATCAGGGATAAGGGGTCTTTTCTGCAGGTGTATCGAACCAAACAGCCCAGACTTATTATCTCTAATGCGAAGACGGGAACCTTGCTACGTCTTCATCGTGTTATTAGGGCTAGCGGTTCTTCATATCCTCAAGAATCAAAGGCGCGGACGCGCGGGCCACTGTTTTGTTTTGCGCCGTCTCCTCCCGCGCGACTTCGTCTCGCCAGGCCGACGGGGCTTCGGCTGGCCCCAGCCGATGCCAACGACTCGAGCCGAATCGGCATCGCGGCCCCAGCTGGCGAAACGAATCGCATCGGATCGGATGTAGGCGGCCCTGACTGGCCCTCCTCTGACCCCAGAACCCCCGACGTCGTGATTTTGTCCTGAAGTCGACCCCCAGAAGTCTCGGCCCATTCCCCGAGACCAGATTCTCATCCCGAATCGTTTCTTCACAGTCCCGAGGCCCGGTGAGGGCCCCCCGAAGCCGAAAATTGTCAAAAAACCCTCCGTCATGATTTTGCTCATGACCCGAGGCATCACAAAAAAGCACGAGCGGAGCCCTAGACCATATCTTTCTGCAGATTTGTTCATGCCGGATGGATCTGTGAGGGTCCCAGGGTCCGCCACCAGGCGAAAACGCCCGTAGCTTGCAACGCCATAATCTGAAGAGCAAGGGCCCTGACCGGCCCACCTCTGACTTTTAGCATGTGGGGAAGCGGGTCCTAACTCTGAAGGGAAGCGCGTCCTAGGCCCTGGAGCCTTCCCCCGGAACCAGTTCTTCAACCCGAGTCGACTTCTGACAGTCGCGGGGCCCGTGGAGGACCCCGGGAAGCCCAAAAACGGCGACAACCCTTAGGACCCCGTTCCCTGAGGCCGGGCATGTCCTCCTACTAGCGGATTCGGGAAGAACAAATTAAGCTAGTCCGAACAATGCTCACAAACAATCAGAGATGGTAAACAAAATCGTCCCGAGACTATTCGTTTGACTATCTTGGAATGCTCCCCCTTTAGAGGGCCATGCCCGACTTAAACGCTTCCCTCGGAACCCTCGTCCCTGACCGACCGTCCCAGCATTCCTATAGGCTTACCTCGAGATTTCTTGGAAGCCCAAAATACTCCAATAACAACAACGATGCCCTTAGAAGATACACCCGATGCACTAAACAGAACAAAACAGTCCCGGCCAGAAATGGTCTGAAAGCATCTCGCGCAGGCCCCAAAACTTTCTCATAACATTCTTTGGTGGGCTCTTGGCAAGCCAGGACGCTTCGCCGCTACTTGACCCTGCACGGTTTCCCCCAGGGCCGTAGGCGACCCCCGATGAGAAGGAGGAGGAGGAGGAGGAGGAAGAGGAGGAGGGGGAGGTGGAGGAGGGGGAGGGGGAGGAGGAGGTGGAGGAGGGGAAGGGGAGGAGGAGGGGGAGGGGAGGAGGAGGAGGAGGAGGAGGAGGAGGAGGAGGAGGAGGAGGAGGAGGAGGAGGAGGAGTGGAGGATGAGGAGGAGGAGAAGGAGGAGGAGAAGGAGGAGGAGGAGAAGGGGATGAAGGAGGAGGAGGTGGAGGTGGAGCAGGAAGCGGGGTAGGAGGAGGAGGGGAGGAGGAGGAGGAGTAGGAGTAGGAGAGGAGGAGGAGGAGGAGGAGGAGGAGGAGGAGGGGATGAAGGCGGAGGAGATGGAGGAGAAGGAGGAGAGGAGGAGGAGGAGGAGGAGGAGGAGGGGGAGGAGGAGGGGGAGGGGGAGGAGGGGAGAAGGCGGAGGAGGAGGAGGAGAAGGAGGAGGAGGAGGAGGAGGAGGAGGAGGAGGAGGAGGAGGAAGACGGGCCGCCCGAGCCCTTCGGAGCAGCCCTCAGCCTGACCCCCGGCGACGGCCCCGCGGCGGAGGGCCTTGTCCACGTCGGCGCCGGCCGAGGCCGCCGCGGCGGCCTCGTGCCCGGCGGCGGGGCTCGGCCTCGCGCGCGCGCGCGGCTCGCCCGCGCCGCGGGGCGCCCCATCGCCGCCGCGGCTCCCCGGGTTCGAGGCTCGAGGCTCTCTGGAGGGGCCCAAGGACACACACACACACAAAAAAAAAAAATGCACACGAACAAAAAGGAATCCCCATGATTCCCACATTTCCTGGGCTTCTGTCTGCCCCCCCCACTTCCCGTATTTTCCCACATTTTCGGGGGAATCGACGATTCATTGTGTCTGTGTGTTTTTTCCCTGAGTACAGTCAGGGCGTGGACTTAAGGAACCCTACAGAAGGAACGAAGCCCCTTTTTTCCATACGTGAAACTTTGGTTTCCCATCGGAAACATCGAAAACATAAGGAAAACCTGAGGCAAGCTGTGAAACGATTACGGAACACGGAGCCCCTCCCCAACGAAAAGGGTTCCTTCTTCAGCGACCCGACTGCAGGGGGCAGAAATAGGGGAATGAAGAATGACATAAACATAAAAACTCTGAGGTCCGCGCGGATTTTGCTGGACCCCATCCCTGGCGCGCGGAGCGCGCCAGGGGCGAAGCTGGAGGCGCCGTCGGTGGGGTCCAGCGCGGATCCGGGAAATCCGCGCGGACGTCCGAGTTGTTTATGTTCATGTCAGTCTCCGTTCGAAAATCATACAGGGAATGCGCAACACCCACGCTCTGGCGACGATGATCTTGTGCTCGAACCAAGACTCTGCTGCCTAGGCTGTGTCCTTGCTCGTTCAGCGAGTTCGAGCAGAAACGCTAATTATTACACCGAAATGCTTCACCTCCCGTCGACGCTGTGGCACTGATGCCGAGAAGACACAATGCCGACCACAAGGAACCTTCCACAAGAAACACAACCCTGAGACCCCAGGGTGTCCATCGATTTTTCGTGTCGGGACGCCACGCTTGCCGTGGCAAAACCCTCGACACCCAAGAAACCCAGAGCACCCTGGAGGCAGGCAGGTTTTTCTTGGCATGGGCGTCCACTGTACCCCATGATAAGCACCCCCGACAAGTGGTGCAGTTCGGTAACCGCACACCAGGGCGGGATCGAGCGGGGCATGGCTGCTTGAGAAGCGCCCGGGGCCGTTCAGCGAAAGCCAAGTGTCGGGAACTGGGTGGTTCCTTCTCCCTTGCCTCTCCTTGGCTTTGGGAGGCTTTCGAGCGTAAACGTTCGGGACCCAACCCCAGGATATACGACGGGAGGGCGTCCCGGCCCCCAGGGGCCCTCACAGATCGATGCGGCTCGAAAAGCGGCGCAGGAAGAGGGGGTCAGGGGCTCTGGTGGTGAGTCTTTTGCGGTGTTGCGATTTTCTGCCACGTCGGATCTGAGGTTAGGTCGGGCATGTCCTCCTAGAGGCGGATCTTGAACGACAGATAACAAAACATACAAAACAACAACCACAACAATTCAAACATCGCCAAACATACTAACAAAATCGTCCCCTCACTATTTTTGCACTCTGTCTTGATATTCTTCCTGTGGAGGGATATGCCCTGCCTTAATCGACGTGTCAGGGTAGGAGGTCTGTCCACCCCCGAGACTTACGCCTGAGAATCGTCGTCGGCCCGCCGCTCGCACACCTCGCCGGCGGCCCGCGCAGTGGCCGCCGCTCCTCGCCGCCGCGCCGCGCCTGGCCGCCGCTCCTCGCCGCCCGTGCCTCACCGCCCACTCTTGCGTCCATTCCGTGTGCGCGGGGCGCCGTCGGCGCCGCCGCCGCTCCTCGCCGCGCGGGGAGGAGGGGTTTGGACGCCCGAAATGGGTACGGAAAGAATGGGTACAATGCCCAACAACAAATGTTGCCCCAAACCAACAGCGGCCGCTGTTGGGCAGGCGGCCTTGTCTCGAATGGACACAGGCCGCGGCGGCGTGGACAGCGAATCCTGTTCAAAATGATCAGGAACTGCTGTTGGGCATTGTACCCATTCTTTCAGTACCCATTTCGGGCGTCCAGAAGGGGGCTCGACGCATACGCTGGAGGCCTGGGTCGGCCGAGGAGCCCGGCGCCCAGACGCTCCGGCTGCCCTCGCCGAGCTCCCTCGCCGAACTCTGCTGGGACGCGCGGAGACATCTGAGCACGGCATGTCCTCCTTGGAGGCGCGCGTCCGATCTTGTAGTAGAGATCTTTTCCCGAGCGGCGAGGCCCGAAAGCGCCCGCCACGACACGTGCACCACGAGATTTCTCGCTGCGCGCGTCGCCCTGGGGGGGGGGAGGCGACGCACGCGCTGTGTTGGCATGCTGGGCTGACGCCGATGCGCGGCCCCCTTGGCCAGCCGAGTGACGCGGTGTGTTCCTCGAAGGCCTTGGCCGCTCCTCGCCGTGCCGCTCGCCGTCGGCCCGACCGCTCGCGCGCGCGGAGCGCGCCGGCGGCGGCGCCGGAGGCGCCGCCAGCGGCGCCCCAGCGCCGATCCGAGAAATCCGCACGGACCTCCGAGTCTCTATGTTTTTGTCAGCCTTTGTTCCCCTGTGCTGAAGGGGCCCCAGGACACGCACACAAATATACACACAGAAGAATATACTCACCATATTTTCCCAGATGTTCTGAGTTTGGGTCTTCCCCCCAATTCCCATATTTTCCATATTTTCTGGGGAGTCGACGATTAATTGTGTCTGTGTGTTTCTTTCCCTCCTGATGTACGCTCGGCCGAGGAGCTCGGCGCCCAGACGCTCCGGCTGCCCTCGCCGAGCTCCCTCGCCGAGCTCCGCGGCCCCCTGGCTGGCCAACCGAGCGACGCGTGGCGCATGCGCCTCGAAGGCCTCCGCCGCGCCTCTCGCCGTGGCCGCCGCGCCGCCGGCCCGCCGCTCGCGCGGAGCGTCGGCCGCGGCGCCTCTCGCCGCGGCCGCCGCGGCCGCCGCGCGCCGCCGTGGGCCCGCCGCTCCTGGCCGCCTGGTGGCTCGTCGTGTTCGCCGTCGTGCCCTCGTCGGCGCCGTCGCCGGGCCGGAGCGGCGTCGCTCGCCGCGCCTCGCCGCCGTGCACCGCCGAAGCGCTCCTCGCCGCGCTGTGGCCGGTCGGTCGCCCTTCGGTGCGCCGTCGGTGCCGTCGCCGGCAGCGGCGTGCGTCGTTGCCGTCACCGTTCGCCGCTCGGCGATCCAGTGCGTCGTCGTCTTTCGCCGTCGTCCCTCGTCCGTCGTCGCCAAGGCCGCCGTCACCGTCGTCGTCGTCGTCGCCGCCGCCGCTGCCGCTGTGCGTCGTCGTCGGCGCCGGAAAGCGGAACAGAAAGAGAGAGAGGCAGAGAGAGAGAGAGAGCCAGAGAGATAGATAGCGAGTGGGAACGGGAGGGGCGAGACGAATTGGGCAGGAAGTGTGTGACAATGCGATGAGGAGATATCAATCCTTAGCGACGGTGCAGAATCAAGGAAGGAAACGGAGGAGGACGAGGATGAGGAGGAAGAAGGGACGGCTGGGAAGACCCTGCAGCGGAAACCTGGTGCAACATACTCAACTCGGTACCAGCCCATTGTGGTCATCAGACCCAGCGCTGCAAGCTGAACAAAGATGGTGAATCAACGAAACTTTTGACATCTGGAGCATTACTCCCGGAAATGACAGAACTGGCGTACCGAATTCACATGGCCGCGTGTCGGTTCGCTTCAGGGAGGACCCCGTCCCCTTCTCAGTGGGTCAATCGCAAAACGTGTAAGATCAATGCAGCGCGCTGCCGAGACCCAGCTGTTGCGCAGAAAAAGCAGCGCGCGCACACACACACACACACACACTCACACTCACACTCACACGCGCGGCAAGGTACGCCTGTGCAGGAACGCGCAGCAAAGACGGAGGATACTTGGCGGATCAGAGGCAACAGCGTGCAAGCAACGTCGGAGGCGACATATGGTGGGCGCCGCCTTCCGCCGCCTTTCCGCTGCTGCCTGGCGGGGACACGAGGAAAGAACAAGCGGGCAGACCGACGGGAAAAGCGGGCTCCAATGAACCTCTACGAGAGTCTCTGGAAGAAGCCCCTGCGAATGCTTCTCGGGACACCTCCGAGACTCTGCGAACCCAGGACACCTCCGAGACTCTGCGAATGCTTCTCCGGACACCTCCGAGACTCTGCGAACCCAGGACCCCCGACGCCGTTGTGCTTTTACGACGCCGACCACTGTCGGGCGGGTGGTAATTGGAGGGCGACCCAACTGGGGGATGCAGAAGACGTCCCTCAAGGGCCCCTGTGGGGCTCTTTTCTTCACCCGCCCATCACCAGCAGCCCGAGAGATCTCGACCCATTCCCTGGGACAGGTCTCTCATCCCAAGCCCCTTTACTCCAAATCCCTTATCAATCGTCCCCCGGGTCCCGTTTTTTCAGGCGCCTTTTTTGTAACTGGAGGGGTCGGGTTTATTAAGGGCGCTTTCCTTGGATTGGAGCTTAGGGGGTCCCGTGTATTAGAGCGCCCCGTCGAAGAAGGGGGTTCGGAACATCAGGTCGCATTTGGAGTGGGGTCTGGATTTCTAGGGGGGGGATCGATAAATAAGGGATTTGGAGTACGACGGCCCTGGGGCCCGGCGAGGGTACTGCAGAGGCCAGGAATCGCCGAAGACCCGCCGTCGTGATTTCTGCCACGGCGCGAGGGGGCAGCCTCGTCGCACGGCGCCCCGCGCCCTCGCAGAGGCCTCTTTTTTTTGCGCGCCGCCGATGCACCGAGAAGAGCACGGCTGATGGCCATCCTGCCAGCACCGGGCCTCCAGCCTCGCCGGACGAAGCCAAGACCAATACGACAGAGGACCGGGCGGAAGCAGGGATCTCTGAGCTCCTGCGGTTCCGGAGGACGCATCGAGCGCCGCGGCCGTTCAAGAGAGCTCCAGAGCGCTCTGGGAGAGTCCTGGAACGCTCTGGAACGATTTCTCCTGGCACCGGACCCGCCCGACATCGGCTTATGGGTCCGCCCTTCTAGGCGTCTCGCGCCCTGTGCCAGGCTCTCTCGGAGCGCCAGGGCCATCAGCAAAGCGTCTGGACCCCACCTTGTAGAAGCGCTTAGGCATGTTGCCTTCTCCTGTGGGTACCCATGTCTCGTGCGCAGCACTGACCACGTAAGGAGGGGGAGCAACGCAACTGCGCACTTCTCACCCGTAACATCATGACGCGTGGTTCCTTTTTCTGAAACAGCGCCAACTGAGCATCGACAGCGATGCTGGCTGGGCAAATCCTGGGCCCAATATTGGCCTAGACAAATCAGTACAGGTGAAAGGATGGATCCGCCCGACTCTACACTGCCACGAACCGAGACCGAGACCGCGATATTCCGATTCTTTCTATACGCGGGCCCCTAAGAGCGTTCGGCCCGTTATCGGAGACAACTGGTTCGAATCCTTGATGGTTTTCTGACTGCTCCCCAAGTCTGAGAAAGGCCCCCGAGAGACCCAGATTGGCGGGAACCTCAACTCTGCGATGACGGGCCCCCTCGCTGGTCCGCGTGCGCGTCGGGGAGAAGCGGCTCGTGGGGGGCCCAGCCCTGGATCGGCTGCACGCAAGAGGGGCCCAAGACAAATAGTCTACCCGTGCTGCGCGGCTCGCCTATCTTTGCATGCGATGCGACACGACACGTCGGTCGGAAGACGTAGGTAAACGCATGAAGGAGGAAGGCGTTGGAAGTAGATTGGGTCTCCACCCGCCACCTGAAGAGGAAGGAAAAGGTGGCACCACTCGATCATTGAGATAGGGAGGCGGCTAGAGCAAATGGGGATACGAACATCCAAAACAACCGACTTCAGCGACCGGCGTGTAGCTTTCAACTTCTGCCCGATCCCCGCGCCCCCCAGACGCCGTGCAGCAGAGGGTCGCTGAGGCTCTGGCGCAGGGACGACTGGGGCACCCCCCGAGACGCCCTCGGCGAAGAGGCAAGCAGGCCTCCGTGAGCCGACGAGAACGTCCGAACAGAACAAAAACACCCGCGCCTTCCCGAGGCCGCGAATCGAAAGTCACCCCAGCGAAGGGCCGCTCTGCCGTGCAGCCGGCCCTGGACCGGGCCCGGCCAGGCCAGGCCAGGAGGAAGACGATGACGACCACGACTGTGACGACGGCGTCGACCACGACGACGCGGGAGGATCGACATCAGGACGTGTTTTAGCGCCAACATGTGCTTGTCCACTGAAGCTCATCAATACTAGATGCGCGCCGCACCTCCGATACATCGGCGATGCATCGGCGACGCATCGGCGATGCACCGGCGATGCATCGTCGACGTCGGCGATGCATCGGCGAAGTCGACGTGAAGCAAATCAGGCTGCACGTCGAGCCGCATCGGCGATGCATCGGCGATGGCGCCGCTTCGTCGATGCACCGTCGATGCATCGGCGATGCACCCACGACGTCGGCGTAGAGAAAATCGGTATCCGCCTCAAGCCGCATCGGCGATGCATCGGCGATACGACGCGATGCACCGACCCCATCTGCTCGGAACCCATCTGGGAGGCCTAGAGAAATGCGACGCTCTGATTGTTGCTCAGCGCGCAGCCCCAGAGGTCTCGACCCCTTACCCCTTGCCCTGGGGCAATTCTGAGCCCCGGATCCGTCTCGGCTGTTCCCGGGGCCGACCACGGAAGCCGGAGGCCAGCCTCGCGGGCGAGCGCCGCGATTTAAAAAAAAAAGTCGCGCCGTCGGAGCTCTGGACACCCGCAGACCGCCGCCACGCTCAAGTCCGGCGTGTTCCCCTCTACAGGAGGAATATCCCCAAAATGCTCAAAAAATCGCATGGGGACGAGTTGCCTACCATGTTTGACAATGGTTGGATATGTTTTGACTATCCTTTGTATATTTTTCGTCCGCGCTCCCCCTGTACGGGGACGCGCCCGACCTCACGCCACGCCCACGGCGACGGCCTCGGCGGCGGCCTCCGAGGAGAGGGCGCGGCCGAGCCCAGGCTGCGCCCCCGGAGGCGGCGGGCCGCCACGCGCGGGGCCGCGGGGGGGGGGGGCGAGGAGCCCCGCCTCGAGTTGAGTCGGGCCTGTCCCCCTAAAGGCCGATTTTGGACGAAGAATAAAAAAAAATACCCTGAGAATGCTAAAAGGAGCAATGGTCAAACTATTCAAACTATTTTTGAATATCCCCCTGTAGAGGGACAGGCCCGACTTGAGCCTCGATCCTCGGCCCTCGGGCCTCGATCTCCGCACCTCGGTCAACTCGACCTCCGAGCGTCGGTCTTCGAACATATGCAGTGGAGGCCAGTCCACAGGAGACCCTCCGCGAGAAGCCCAGCCCTGAGACCCCAGGGCGTCCGTGGACTTTCGGCGTGGGCGCGTCGCGCCTTCCATCGCAAAACCATCGAGACCCAAGAGACCCAGGACACCCTGGAGGCAAGCAGGGTGCTTCTTGGCATGTGTCTCCACTGTAGAAGAAGAGCAAAAACACATAAAACATTAGCTCTCGACGGTCCGCGCGGATTTCTCGTATCGGCGCTGGACCCCCTCCCTGAAGCGCTTTGCGCGCCAAGGGCGGCGCCGGAGGCGCCGCCAGGGGGGGCCCAACGCGGATCCAAGAAATCCGCGCGGATCTCCGAGTGGTTATGTTTGAAAGAGCGTGTTCTACCGCTGCTGGCGGAAAACCGGGGGGGTCAAGGTCCAAGGTCCTCGTCGTTCTCCTCCTCCTCGTCCAAGGTCCTCGTCGTTCTCCTCCTCTTCCTCCTCCTCCTCCTCCTCCACCTCCTCCTCCTTCTCCTCCTCCTCCTCGTCCTCTCGTCCTCCTCCTCGTCCTCTCGTCCTCCTCCTCCTCCTCCTCCTCGTCCTCCTCGTCCTACTCGTCCTCCTCGTCCTCCTCCTCCTCCTCCTCCTGCTCCTCCTCCTCCTCCTCCTCCTCCTCCTCCTGCTCCAAGGTCCTCCTCCCGCGAGACCTCGACGAGCGCAGGCCGGCCTCGAAGGAGCCCCGAGGCCTCGCGGCCCAGAGGGAGGGAGCGAGGAACCAGCCGCTGGCAGGCCTTCGCAAGAGCGATCAATGGCTGTTGAGCCCGGTTCTAGTGGAACGATGACCTCAGACATCCAACGTTGAAATAATCAAGACGGAGGTTTTTCACAACTTTCGGCCTCCAGGGGCCCTCGCCGGGCCTCGGGACCGTCAAAAAACGACTCAGGATGAAAAACCGGTCCTGGGAAAGGGTCCAGACCTCTGGGGGTCGACGTCATGAAAAAAACGTGACGTCGGGGGTCTGGGAATACAGTCGGGGTGGATTGAAGAGGACACGCGAGAGGACACAGGACTCTTCCGAGGACCACATTGCCATGTGAATGTAGGAGGCATGGGTCGCGAGGCACAGGACACAAGGGTACCCTAGGTTTGGCAGGGTCGACCTACTGATCTGGCTCGACTGTAACATAAACATACAAACTCGGAGGTCCGCGCGGATTTCTCGGACCCGCGCTGGACCCCCCTCCCTGGCGCGCGGAGGCGCCGGCGGCGCCGCCAAGGGGGTCCAGCGCCGATCCGAGAAATCCGCGCGGACCGCCGAGTTTTCATGTTTATGTCAATATGTCATTATTCATTCCCCCAATTGAGCCCGATTCTCAGGGGGGGCCCTCGAGCCGAATCGGTCTGGATCGAGCCCGGGACCAAGCGAGGAAGAAACAACGGCGCAAGCATCAACTTTCGAGGGTTCGCATGGATTCCTCGGATCTGCGCTGAGCGCTGGCCCATCCTCCCTAGCGCACGGAACGCGGGGGGGGGGCGCCGGAGGTGCCACCGGGAGGGCCCAGCGCAGATCCAAGACATCCGCGCGGAGCTCTGAAAATGTATGTGTACGCTCCTCTTTCTTCGTCGAACCACTCGAGATCAAACTGTAACTGGACTATCCGCCGGATTGGACGGGATGCTGCCGCCCTTTCGACGACGGATCCTCCTCCTCCTCCTCCTCCTCCTCCTCCTCCTCCTCGCAAGTCCTCCTCCCTCGATCCTCGATGCTGCTCCCTCGGGGGCTCCGAAGCTCGCAGCCTCGATCCTCGAGGCCTCGATCCTCGGGCGCGGCGAAGGCGCGGCGCGGCGCGGCCTGCGGCGCGCCGACTCGCGCAGCTCGGTTTGGAGGCGCAGCTGCTCCTCGGCGGCGGCGGCCGGCGGCGGCTTCCCCTCGCCGGACCTCTTGTGGTCTCGGGGCCATCGGATTAGGAGGCAACTACTGGGAGGTCTTCGTCGGAAGGATTAATGGGGGGATTCAGCCCCTTGGGGGGCTGTTACGCAAGAGTGGGCCTCGGATTGAGCCGGATTAAGCCAGATTAAGCGGGATTAACCGCATCAGGCTATCAAAGACCCCCCGGGGTTATCATTAGCACAGAACCGTACTTAAATGATTCTGGGGGGCGGTATTCGCCGAACGATATGATTAGCACAGCGCAAATTGAACGAAACTAATTAATTCCCGCGCCCCTGCTCGGGTGGCATCCCGATTAGAACTGGAATAGTAATAAGAATGGTGTACGAATAATAAGACTAATACTACGAATACGGATAAAAATCAGCGTCATACAACTAATAATAAAAGGCCTAAGGGTACGACAGATAATACTCATAAGAATACTAAGAATAATAATCACATACCGAATTATAATACGGACAATAATCATAATCCGCATAAGAATGTTTATACAAATCATAAGAATAATAGCAATGATAATAATAATAAGAATGCGACTAATAATAATGATAGTAATAAGAGTAATGATAACTCGAGTAAGAAATAAGACTAAACATAAGGATAACAGTACTAACCATAATCCGAATCCGCATCATAATAATAATACGAATGCGATTACGAATCATAAACATAAGAATCATAATTATAACAAATAAAACAAGCATGATAGCAAAAAAGAATGCGACTAATAATAACAGCTTGTTTCTCATTATCTTCATCATCCTTGTCCTACACGGTCTAAATTGCCACCCAATGTTGAGAAATTGTTGTTTCCCGGCCGTCGTGTGGGGTATTTCATCCGAGGATATCGCCCCCGCCACGCACGGCGCGTTATCTTAGCACCGCACCCGCACAACATGATTACGACAGCTTGTCAAAACAGACTAGAAGTACAATGAGTCCAATAATACTTACACGATTAAGAATAAGACGAATAATAAGAATGATAAACATACGAATCAGAGTAGGGATAATAATGATAACAATTCGAAAACAGACGGGCTCCTCTGCTTCTTTCCTCCCTCCCTCCTTTTTGTCATTTTCTTCATCATCCTTGTCCGATACGATTCTTATTACCACCCCGATTGAACAAATGTTGTTTCCCGGCCGTCGCGTGGAGTAGTGTGCATCCGAGGATATCGCCCCCGCCACGCACGGCGCGTTATCTTAGCCCCCGCTCCGCCAAAATGATTCGCCCCTCATCGTAGGCACGAACGGTTCCTTTTCAAAGCTGGGCTCTCCCTTGCGTGGGACTTAATGTTGATATTGTTGGTGTTGGCGGTGCTGTTGGTGTTTTTGATGTTGATGCTGTTGTAGTTGTTGCTGTTATTGGCCTTATTGGCCTTGTTGTTGGTGTTGCTGATATAATTATTATTGCTGGTATTATTGTCGTTGTTCGTGCTGGTGCCGTGCCGTAAGGGAGTCTTGAGGAGGAGGAGGAGGAGGAGGAGGAGGAGGATTTGTTCCTGTTTAGCTGGGCCAAAGGCCTCTCGATTGAGGCCCTGGCCCTCTGCTTGATCCGCAGTGGCGAATAAGAACCAAAACTGCTACGGGGGGGAGGAGGAGGAGAACGAGGAGGAGGAGCCCTGGTGAGGAGGAGTAGGAGGAGGAGGACCCCTGAGAAGGACGAAGAGGAAGAGGAAGAGGACCCCTGATCGGAAGGCCGAGCGCTGGGAAGACGCGCGGCCACTCCAATTCTCGCCCAGACCGACCAACTGACGCAGACTCGTCTGCGTCCAGAGCAGTCTCTGAGGATGTCTCATGCGAGGCGCTTGTTTCAGAACCACAAGGAGACCATATTGCGAGAATGTCTCTGGCGGTTTGCTTGTTTCGGCGAGCAGACTCGTCTGCGTTCACATAAGGGTGCGAGGTGACAAGGTAACGCTTCTGGGGTGCCGGGTGCGTTATACTTTCGCCGGAGAAGGGGGGGGGGTCTTAATTGCTTGATGCGGTTAAGCGGGATTAAGCCGGATTAAGCGGGATTGAGCCGGATTAAGCCGGACTTCGGACCAGGGCAAAATTAGAATTTGACCTCCCAGGAGTTGCATCCGAAATTGGAGGAGGGCTGCGAAGCAGGAAGTGGAAGGGGCCCAAGGACACACAGACAAGCAGACACGAGTCCCAAGACTCTCCCCATATAGGATGTTGTTTTTTTGTCAGGGCTTCCGTCTTCCCCCCCGCTTCCCATATTTTCCTATGTTCTCAGAACTGCATCAATTTACATCCGCGGAGGTCCGCACACGGGGCCCGGGGACACAGAAACAAATACACACACAAATCCCAGGATCCCTGTATACTTTCCCATATGTCTCAGATGTTCGGCTTCCCCCTCCACTTCCCATATCTTCCACATCTTTCAGGGAATCGACGATGGACTGTGTCCGTGCTCGTCTTCCCCTCCGAGGGAGGGCCTCTCGCTGCGGCTCCCGGAGGCCTGCTCGCCCCAGGCTGCCTCCGAGCGGCCGCGCCTCGCCGAGGAGGCTGGCCTCGGGGGGGCGGGGCCTCGGGGGGGGGGGGGGCGGGCAGCTCGGCCCGCGGGGCCGCCGAGGAGGCCCGAGATCTGGGCGGAAAACACGGAGGACCTCCGAGGAGTCGCTGCCTTCACCAGCATTATGTCGGGCGTGGAGTCCCCCACACAAGGGGATCTCTCGACGAAGCATGAAAAAAATACCCCAACCATGCCCGGAAGAGGTCCAAAGATACTCCAAAAATGGCCCCCGGGCTGTATTTTTTACTGTTCGTCGAAAGTCCCCCTGCAGGGGGACAGGGCCCGACTCAACACTCGCCGCGTTCTCCCTCCCGTCTCGGCGTCCGCGGGCCGCCCTCGGGCCCCGAGGGGGGGGGGGCCCGAACGGGCCCCGGGGGCGCAGGGCTCCGGCATTGCAGGGGGGGGGGGCGGTCGGGCGCTCCGCGGGGGCCGCGAGGGCTGTGCCGCGCTCCGAGGCGAGGGGGAGGACGGCGAGTTTGAGAGGGGAGCAAGAAGTGGCAGAAAGATCAAAACTCGGAGGTCCGCGCGGGGTTCTCGGATCGGCGCCGGACCCCCCTCCCTGGCGCGCGGGGCGCGCCAGGAGCGGCGCCGGAGGCGCCGCTGGGGGGCCCCAGCGCCGATTCGAGAAATCCGCGCGGCTCTCCCTGGGTAGTCGAAGCCAATCTGGCGCCAATCTGGCAGGCCCAATCTGGCAAACGGGAGCAATCTGGCGAGGGAGCCAACGCAAATCCAGTCTGGCGAATAACCCAAATCATCCAGTTTGGCCGGGCCAGATTGGCCCTTGGGGCCCAATCCAATCTGACAGGCTGGCCTTCAACTACCCAGTCTCCGAGTTTTTAGGTTTGTGTCACTTTATGTTCCCCTATTCGAGTAAGCCCCGAGTCGGGAATCTGTGGGCGCTGGCGGTTCTGCAGACGCGGCGGGCGCCGCCGCCGTCCCGGAGCAGTTCAGAGCGCTCCGGGAGCATTCCGAGACGCTCTGGGGCCGTAGTTGTCCCTGCCCGACTCGCCTCGGCCGTCGCAGTCTGTTCGTGGCGCGGGCCCCCAGGGATCGTCGATGCCTTCCCCAGAGGGCTGGCATCTCATCCTCACCACGGAAGCTCGCCAACAGTCCGGGCCGCATCGGCAGTGCAACTCTGGTCAGAAATCCCCGCCACCAACCCAGGCGGAGGTCTGTCGGCATGCTCGCACGCGCCGTAACCCGCCAGGCTCCGCCCGTCATCAGTGGCGCTGGTTCCGGCAAGCTCGTGCAATGTTGACTTCTCTGTTTGTTCCTGACACCGCGTGGATCATCCAACATTGAGCGATCGCGGCTTCCCGATAGCGCAGATCGTCAGTCTCATCGCCGATCCCGCGCCCCCAGAGGAATGCAATCTCGAATGCCCGCGCTGGGGTCGCCCGTCGCGCCGACAGGACAGGAGCCTGCCGGGAAGCGGGCACGGGGGCTCTGCCTCGCGTGGTGCGCTTGTGCGAGTTCCGATGCAAGCAGGAAAGCCAGGTGACAGGTTGCTGATTCATTCTCTTGCCGTTCGGCGCGGGCCCCCGCCCTGCCCCTCCCCCCCCCTGGAGTAGATCCTGGCTGTTCTTGGCGCCCGTTTCGAGCAGGTGGAGTCTTCCCCATGGGACGCACTGGTGCAAACAGTCGCATGAAGACGAGATGCAGAGCAGAGCCATAAGTCCCCCCCTTCCCACGCCCCCCTTCCCGCCCAATGTCGAAGCGCCGAATGAGAGAACATTCACCAAAAACCAAAAGAACCCCAAGATTGTGGCACCCTGGTCAGCGCTGATCCGTGAAACTCGGAGCCACCAGCTGTCTGTGCGCAGTACTATTTTGAGTGTGGGTCCTTCGCGTGCTGTGGGAGGCCGCCGCGCTGCAGACGAACAATGTGTCACGACGACCCAGGCACGGCCCATTCCTTGAAGAAGCAGGGGGCCAGTCTCCTCCTCTTCCCCCACCCACTCCCCCCCACTCCCCCCCTCTCCTCCTCCTCCTCCTCCTCCTCCTCCTCCTCCTCCTCCTCCTCCTCCTCCTCCCCCTCCTCCTCCTCACAGTGACCTCACGCGGAGGCTTACGCAGGCCGCCAGCGCGGAACGCTACACTGCAGGCGAGGGCGCCTACGCGCGACCTCACGCGAGTAACTTACGCGCCAACGTCGGCGAAGACGACCCCGTTTGCTTCCGTCGCTCACTTGGGCCCACCGGGGCCGCCCTCTGGACGGCCTCCCTGGCTGGCCCACGGGCGCAACCACTGCTCCTTCCCCCTCCGCAGCCGCTCTCGTTCCTCTGTCTTCGCCCCCAGCAATTCGTAGTCGCTTCCGCGCCCGAGCAGACGCTCGACCGCCGCGCGATCGCTCTTGCGGAAACTGACCCCAACAACTCAACAACTGTGCGATCGCTCTTGCGGAAGCCGGCCCAGCAAACCAGCTGTGAGCAATTCAAGAGAGTGCATTCAACGGGTTCTGTAAAGAATGCAAGCAAGGTTTCGCTCAGGGCTGGACCTAAACGTTGTTTCGTTTTGTTGTCGTGTTGTGTGTTCGTTTTGCTCTACCTGTTTTCCTGTACCTCCCTGCCAAAACGAAAAACAAAACACAGCCGAAGTCTAGCAAAACAACGTTCAAGTCCAGCCCTGGCTTCACAACTGCTTTCACGCGCTGAGCCAGGAGATTGTTGCGTTCAGACCGTCACCTCCCAACAAGCACGATGACGGCGAATTTGCCACCTCGCAAGGCCGTCTCCCGCGGCCCAGCTCCTCGAGAAGGCGTGGAGGCGGCCGAGTGCATCGAGCCCGAGGTGCTGTAAGGGCCCAGGGCCCTGGAGCCAGAAGGTATGGGGCTGGGTCGGGTCGGCTGACCCTCTGCCTTCCTGTCATGGCAGAGGACGGTCGTCCCTCCCCCCTCCCTCCCTGCACCCTCCCTGCACCTCCCAGCCTCCCTCCTCCTCCTCCTCCTCCTCCTCCTCCTCCTCCTCGTCCTCCTCTTCCCTCCCCCCTCCAGGACGGGGCTGCGGCCGCCGCAGCGTCCGCCGCGTCCTCCCGGATCTGGAAGTTGTCGTCCCGCAGCTGACGCAGCTCTAGGCCCAACTGCTCGATCCTCCTGGGCACCTCCCGGGGCCGCTGGGAGGAAGCGTCCGGGAGGATGAGCCCGACGAAGGGCTGTCAAATCGCTGCACGATAAGCTGTTCCAAGGTTTGGGGCGCCGCCTGTCCCAAGGCGGCTGGGAAGTTCATCCCCCTGCGGTGGGAAGGTTTAAGAGAAGAATAACAAACGGCAGAAACATAAACCTTTGGCCCTCCGCTCGGATTTCTTGGATCTGCGCAGGACCCCCCCCCTTGGCGCGCGGAGCGCGCCAGGGGCGGCGCCGGAGGCGTCGCTGGGGCGGCCCAACGCGGATCCAAGAAAACCGTGCCGAGCGCCAAAAGTCTATGCTTATGCCGTTTTTCCTCTTCGAAGGTGGGGGTTAAAACTTTCCAGCCGCCCTGGGTAAGGCGCCCCAGATCGCATAACTATTCTGCCGCGCTGCGACAAGATTCGGGCGGCCCTCCCCGCTCGAGGGCTGGGACGACGATGACGACGACAACGACGACGACGACGATAGAGGTCCGCGCGGATTTCTTGGACCAGCGCTGACAACCCTCCCTGGCGCGCGGAGCGCGCCTGGAGCGGCATCTTTCGCAGATTCGACGAATAAGTCAACTTTGAGACAAATCAACTCTGTAGTCGATCCCCCACTCGAAGATCAACTTCAACAAATCATTAAGAACTCCCCATGTGTTATCAGTAGCACCGCACCGAAAAACAAACTCCCAGGGGGGCTTTTAGCCGAACGATGACTTTGGCACCGCGCCAAACAACAAACAACAAATCATTATCCACCCCCCCCATCATCATCATCCTCGTCACCATCATCCTCTTCCGGATGCCGGAATAACGCTTCCTGGTGCGAGAGTTGTATCCTTTTGCCGAAAGGGGGCGATCTGAATGATTTCCAGACGTTATGCGTTTGCAACTTCTGTGTTCGGAAGCATGTACTGGGAACTGGGAGGTCTTCGTCAGAAGGAGTAAGGAGGATTAAGCCCCATTGGGGGGCTGTTCACCGGAAGTGGCCTCGCATCAAGCGGGATTCAGCCGGCTTCAGCGGAATGAAAGGGGACTGAGCCGGACTAGGCCGGATTAAGCGGGATTGCGCCGGACTTCGGGCAAACCTCAGAACTTGACCTCCCGGGAGCCGCATCCGCACCTCTGTTCCCCGGGACGACGGCAGCGACGAGGCCCCACGGGCCGCCGAGACGGCGCGCCTCGCCCGGCGGCACCGCGCAGGCCTGCGCCCGGGCGCCGCTGGCCGCGGCGCGGCCGTGCGAGAGGCCCGGGCCGCCCAGCTCCAGCTCCTGCCGGTCGCGGGCGTCTGCGGCGACTCACGGGAGCCTCCCATACCATCTTGCCCTCCTCCTCCTCCTCCTCCTCCTCCTCCTCCTCCTCCTCCTCCTCCTCCTCCCTCCTCCTCTCCTCCTCCTCCTCCTCCTCCTCCTCCCCCTCCCCACTCCCCCTCCCCCTCCCCCTCCCCCTCCTCCCCCTCCTCCTCGTCCCTCCTCCTCCTCCTCCTCCTCCTCCTCGCTCCTCCTCCTCCTCCTCCTCCTCCTCCTCCTCCTCCTCCCTCCTCCTCCTCCTCCTCCTCCTCCTCCTCCTCCTCCTCCTCCTCCTCCTCCTCCTCCTCCTCCTCCTCCTCCTCCTCCTCCTCCTCCTCCTCCTCCTCCTCCTCCTCCTCTCCCCTCCCCCCCCCCTCCCCTCCCCGTCCCCCCCTCCGCTTCCCGCTCCCTCCAATCTTGCCGCTGGCTCTCGCTGGACGCTGATCGACGATGTATATATATATATGTTAATGTATATATTATATATATATATAATATATATATATATTATATATATCAATGCCTTTTTTACTGCCCCGATCGGCATTCCATGCCAGCGCCTCCACGGGAAGGCGAAGTACCTGGGGCCCCACTGGGCCACATCAAAAACGAGACGATTCCCGTCGAGTGCAACCGTTCCCAGAACACGACACTGTACCGCAGCTCGACAAATGCAAGAAAAGATACTGGCAGACCCAGCCAATCTCACCAGAAGAGGAGGAGGAGAGGAGGAGGAGGAGAGCGAGCTGCGGTCCGATGAAGACACTGATAAAGCTTCCAGAGCAACAATCAATGCCTTTTTACTGCCCCGATCGGCATTCCATGCCAGCGCCTCCACGGGTGGCGAAGTACCTGGGGCCCCACTGGGCCACATCAAAAACGAGACGATTCCCGTCGAGTGCAACCGTTCCGAAACTGCCTACAGCCGATAATCTGCGAGTCGTGTTCTGGGAGCTCCAACAAAACGAGGACCCAGCAGGACGGCAAAGGATCGACAAGCCAGGGCCACCAAGGACCGAGGGAAGTCGATCCACGCGGACACCAGGGAGGCGCCCAACCCAAGACAGCGGAGCACAAGACGGAGGACGAGGGCAGGAGGAGAATATTTAGGCCGAGAGCCGCGTCGCAAGGCGCGACAGCACCTCCCCCGGGAGCCGGGCGGCGCGGCTCGGCGCCTCGAGGACCGCCGAGCGCTCCAGTTGGCCAGCTGGCGCAGGAGCTTGGCCGGCATGCCGTACCTGCGCGCGGAGTTGACCACCGACCAGCGGCCTCGCATCATGACGAAGTCGAGCGAGGCGCCGTTGTAGTGCATGTCGTGGGAGGGGCCTGCGTGACGCAGGCAGTGTGGTGTGATCTTGACGCCGTCGACATCACCATACTTCCTGAAGATGGCCTCGAGCTTGGCGAGCGTGAGGTGCCGAAACAGCAGGGTGCCTGGCAGCGCACGGTGGGGCATCTTCTGGAGCACGTCGACTGCGAACGATCGCCCAAAGGCTCCGATCTTCACCCCCTGGTCGAACTGCTTATTCTTGGCAGGTTTGCCTCCTTCTGGCGCCACGACGAGAGCCCACGAGCGGTTGGCCGTGCCGCGCTTCGGCGGGATAACCTGCGCGGCAGTCAACTCGAGGGCCTCCGAAGGCCTGAGGTTGGCGTCGAAGGCAAGGAGGCAAAAGGCCGAGGCGAGGTCGCAGTCCACGGTGTTGGCCAGCAGCAGCCGCCCCACCAGGCACCATATCGCCTCCAGCGGCGGCGGGTCGCGCATGGTGTCGGGGCGGATGCTGGCGAAACCTCTCAGGGCCTTCTTCGAGAGGGGCAGCACTGATGGGTTGCGCGTGACGAAGTCGAGAGACCAGGCCGTGCCGTAGAGAGCGACGCGACCGACAGCCGCCGAGGCACCCTCCAAGAACTCCATCTCAAGGTAGTCGTGGAGGATGGCGTCCCACTCCTTCATGGTCTGCGGTGAGGCCCCCCGCCCGGCCGCGAACTGCTGCACCAGCGTGAAGGCCTTGGCGTAGGCGTTGCGGGCCCTGGCCGAGACGGTGGCCCGTCGCAGGAAGCCGGGGGCCGAGTCGACCACGCTGCTGGCGCGCCGCCGCTTGCGGGTCATGGGCGCGATTGTAGGCGCGGATCTCGGCGAGGATGCGGAGCTCCTCCGCGAGCGGCCTCCCGCTCCAGCGCCGCGCGCGCCCCTCCCAGCCGAGGGAGGCGTCGCGAGGGAGTCGTGGGGGCGCCACGCGTCGGCCCCGCGCGACGGCGCCCGCAGCCCCGGCGGTGTCCAGCAGCCAGTTCTCCCACCAGTCAGAGGTCTGCCCCTCGCCGCGGAGGCACCACGCGCCAGCAGGAGCAGCGCCAGCAGCCACCCTCGCGAAGGTCCGGCAGAGCTTCGGCGGGTACGCACCCCCGTAGGAGGTCCGCCACTTGGCAGGTCCAGACGCCCCTCCGACCTTCCCCTCCAAGATGACATGTCGTCGATGGCCAGGGCATCTGCGCTCGAGAGAGTCGGCCCCGGGCAAGTTGGTGGAAAGTCGGGTTGGCTTCCGCCAGGCGGCATCGAATGCGCACATGTCGAAGTCGAAGTGGGCGCAGCCGCTGCGCCGAAACTCCGCTGCCAAGGGCGGCCAGTCCCACAGGCCGCTCCGCCGAGGATTCTCCAGAGCCACGTGGATCCCCAGCTGGCGGCAGAGTCGGAGCACCCTGACGGTGAACCGAGCGCAGGCGTACCCCGCTCGGTCGACCTCCGCCCCTGCTCGCCCGGTGCTGCGCGCCTGAGACCAGCGCCCGCACGGAGCGCCAAGGAACACCAGCCAGACTCGCCCATCCCGTAGCCAGCGAAGGACCTCGGCCTGGACTCGGGGCCGCGCGAGGTCGAAGTGAGAGCCGTGGTCGAGCTCGCACGGGACCCCGATGCGCAAGCCAGCAGCCCGCACCCCGGCCGACAGGAAGGCGCAGCCCGCGAAGAGCTCGAGCACCGAGACGCCCGCCGGGGCCGCCAGCGCGCCCCGATGCCCTCGGCGAGGAGCGTCAGGAGGACGCCCAGGAGGCCGACGACCAGGTTGGCGATCGGGTCGTGGATCATCCCGAACTCGATCCCGTCCTCGGTGTCCGTCGCGATCCTGCACTCGTGGACGAGCCTGGGCGAGGGGCCGCGGCCGAGCCTGAGGCCCGGGCAGGCCGGCGCCAGCGCCCTGGGACGCCGCAGAGGCACGGCCGAGAGGTGTGACGGCAGGAGTCTGAATCTCCCCCCCCTCGGCACGCGGGGCTCCTCGCGGCGGCAGGCGGCGCTGTGGCGCCGGCAGCCCGGGCGGCGGCCGCAGCCGCGGCCGCGCGTCGCACGGCTCCGGCGGCGGCTCCCGCACCAGCGCGGCCCACGTCCGCGGCACCGCGGCAGACAGCTTCGTGGGCGTCGCCAGCGCCAGCTTGGCATGCTGTGACTTGTCGTCCTTCCAGCGGGAGTCGGCGTCGGACGGGTTGCGGGCAGTCTCGACGTAGCGGCGAACCCATCGGATGCCCGTGGCCCCCTGGATCGCTGCGGCCCGCCGGCAGACCGCGAGCAGCTCGAGGTCGCGGGCCCGCCCGCGGTCGGTGGCGAGGACCTCGGCCAGGTTGTCCCCGAGCGCGAGCACCACAGTGTTGAAGTTGGAGACGTCACTGGCGGCGTGCAGGAGGCCGTACACGGCAGCCCGCCCTTCTTTGTTGTGAATGGCGGCTGGCCGCTGCCAAACCCCGCGTCGGACCCGGGCCCAACGCCCGGGCTCCGCCAGACCGTCGGCCAGCCGAGGGACCAGACCGACGCGCTCCTGCTGCGATCGCTCGGGCCGAACCCAGGAGTTACATCACGCACAAAATGTCGCCGGCAGCTTTTTTCATGTTAAGATGATTTCCACCGCCATTTTGGCAAAGTTGTCTTAGCACAGCCTTTTTTGCGCTCCGCAGCTTTTTGTTTACAACCTGGCGTAGCACAGCTTTTTCGGCGGCACATGTTGCGCGATTGTCTAGCGCAGCTTTTTTCGCGGTGGCGAGCGCTGCACATGATAAAGTTACGACGTTATGTATATAGTTGTTACGCACGGCGTGGCACAGCAAGGCATAGCACAGCTTTTTTGAGCGGTTCTGGGCGTAACATATGATAGAGTTTCTGCGTTTTGTATATAGTTGCTATGCACAGCGTAGCACAGCAAGGCATAGCACAGCTCTTTCACTCTTTTCTGTTCCCCTCCCTTCTTTCTTTTTCGTTGTTATTCGTCTCTCTCTCTCTCTCTCTCTCTCTCTCTCTCTCTCTCTCTCTCTCTCTCTCCCATCTCTTTCTCTCTCTCTCTCTCTCTTTCTCGTTCTTTTCTCCGTGCTCGTTTTTTTTGTTTTCGGCACGCCTCGATGGCATCATTCTCCATCTCCCCCATCTTCACTGTTATCCTCAAAGTCGCCCCGCTCCCTCCTCCTCCTCCTCCTCCTCCTCTTCCTCCTCCTCCTCCTCCTCCTTCTCCTCCTCCCCCTCCTCCTCCTCCGCTTCCACCTGCTGTCCCCGTATGGGGCCACGAAACGCGTCTGGCGGCGGGTCGGGCGGGCGGGGCGAGCTCTTAAGTTCGCGGTCACCACGAACGGCGCCACCTGGCGCAGGCAGGGTGGTGGGGGCAGCAGGAGAACGGGAAGGACGAGGTAGGAGGAGGAGACGTTTGGGACGGGGCGAGAGACGAGGACGGAGTGAGATAGGAGGGGGAGGAGGAAGGGAGGGGAAGGCAGAGTGAGAGGAGGAGGAGGAGGAGGAGGAGAGGAGGAGGAGGAGGCAGTCCTCCTCCTCCTCCTCCCTCCTCCTCATCCTTCTCCTCCTCGTCCTCCTCTCCTCCTCCCCCTCCTCTTCCTCCTCCTTCTCCCCTCCTCGTCCTCCTCCTCCTCCTCGTCCTCCTCCTCCTCCTCCTCCTCCACCTCCTCCTCCTCCTCCTCCCCCCTCCTCCTCCTCTCCTCCTCCTCCGCCCTCCTCCTCCTCCTCATCATCATCATCATCCTTCTCCTCCTCGTCCTCATCCTCCTCCTCCCCTCCTCCTCCTCGTCCTCCTCCTCCTCCTCCTCCTCGTCCTCCTCCTCCTCCTCCTCGTCTCCTCCTCCTCCTCCTCCTCTCCTCCATCACTCCTCCTCCTTCCTTCCTCCTCCCCTCCTCCTCCTCCTCCTCCTTAGAATGCTCCCTCTTCCTCCTCCTCCTCCTCCTCCTCCTCCTCCTCCTCCTCCTCCTCCTCCCACGCGCCCTCCCATCCTCGGCTCTTTCCTCGAGCCTCCTCCTCCTCCTCCTCCTCCTCATCATCATCATCATCATCATCATCATCAGCATCATCATCATCATCATCATCATCATCATCATCATCCTCTTCCTCCTCGTCCTGGCCGCGGGGGGGCATCTAAATCAAACCGTGGATTGACGCTTCCAATGGCGGCCGATGACAGAGCAGGATCGGTCGAGAAAGGGGAGTGGGGTGAAACAACCAAATGGACCAGACCCTGGAAGTCCAACGGTGGTGGCCAGAAGAGGACCACTCCTTGGGCGTTGGGGTTTCCTCCTTCCTCTTCCTCTTCCTCCTCCTACGGTAGGTTCGCGTCGTGTCGACCAGCGGCGACCCCGCCGCCGACGTTCAACGTTGAACGCCGACGGCGGCCCAGAATCGGTCGATGTTGAACGATCGGACGTTGCGGAGACGGCCGATCGTTCAAGGTTGAACGATCCAGCGCGGTGTCAGGAACCAACGCCAGGGTCGACGCGGCACGGACCTGCAGTACTCCACCTCCTCCTCCTCCGCCTCCTCCTGACCAGCTCCTCCCCTCGTTCCTCCTCGATCTCTTCACCGCCACCTCCTCCACCGTCATCCCCCTCCCCATTCCCCCCTCCTCACAAAAACGAGAGGAGGCAGTGTCTGCAATTTTCTGCCGCGAATGCGGCGCGAAGCAGTACCAGTACTGCTGCTCCGCTCAGTCAGAGTCGGAGTCTGGCACCTCCCTCTCCCTCGTCATTGCGGGGGCGATGGATGAACGAGCGCGAATGATGCGGGGGAGGAGGATGAGGAGTGGAAGTTCGACGAGGACAACCAATCAGAAGGAGGAGGACGAGGATGACGAGGAGGAGGAGGAGGAGGAGGAGGAGGAGGAGGAGGAGGGGGAGGAGGAGGAGAAGGAGGAGGAGGAGGAGGAGGAGGAGGAGGAATGGGAAGCTGGAGAACGATGAGGATGATCAGGGGGGAGTGGTAGGAGGAAACGACGGGGGCCCATTTCACCCCTGGAATTGCACAGTCCCTGGAACTCGAAAATCATTCCCTGGAGTTTGAAACTCATCCCATGGGACTCGAAGTTCATTCCGTGGAGCTTAAAAAAACTGTTCAAAACAACTTCGACGACTGCTCCACCGCCCCGCCTGGGGCAGGGCCCTTCTCGCGCCCGACGATGAAGATGCACCCGCCGTAGCACCGCTCCTCGGGTCGGCGGGCGAGGGGGCGGAGGGCAAGAAGGCGACCCCCGAGAACCGTGCACAGGGGGGGGGGGGGGGGGCAGAAGTCCAGGATGGGGGCGATTTGGACTTGGCCCACGGCCTTCCCCCCCAACCACACGCGCCCACAGCTGTTCGACAAAGTTTGTAATCCCTGGGACCGCTGGGCCTCGTGAGGGATTCCCTGGACGCAGCGGGGACCTCCTTGGAAATCCAGGGGTGACCTTGGGCCAGAGGTTGGTATCACATGTCTCTCCCTGCCCAGCGGGTCCAGATAGCACCAAGGGTCAAGGTTGCGTCGGTAAGCCTGCTCTTCTTCTTGGGGTTCGCACTCACGAAGTACGGGCCTCAACGGCACGCCGCTGCACACATGCGTGCGCAATGGGGTCGCGGGGTAACTGCATTTCCGCTACGAATCGTTTCAGGATTTGGGTGGCGAGAGAACCCCGTCGCATTTCTCTTCCAACCCCCATCCTTGCCGAGGAAATGGCTGAAGCGTTTCAGGATTGGAGGGGTCTGGTTTTCACCATGCCATTTCCTTTCCAATCCCCATCCTTGCCGATCGGGACCGAATCGTTTCAGGATTCCAATGGTGGACTTCTCTTCCACCCCTCCTTCCCGAGGGAGGGGCGGTAGCGAGCGAATGATATCCCCCCATCCGATCCTCCCTCGCATCTCCAAGTCTGTGCTCCTCCTCCGCCAACCCTCCCCTTCCTATCATCGCTTACTCGTAGTTTCATATCCTCGCCATCCCCCCGCCAAGCCAGTGAAGATCAATAAGAAATATCACGGGGGTGCTGGCCTGTCCGGGCTTCTGCCCATGCACAGTAGAGCACTTCGCAAAAACCAGGGACGAATATAGGATCGGGAGCGCCCCCTGCTTTCTTTTTCTCGTAGAAGTGATGAGCCATCTGAGATTTCGAAAATCCCGTCTGCGGTTTCTTCCGTTCTAGCTTCGGGCACACCGTTCTCGGGACAGTCGTGAGAAGATGGACCGCTCTAGGCAGCACGGGGGAATCCACGAATGCGCCCATATATGTAAACACGCAGCATGCTTTGCATACCCTCGCTGCAACATCAAGCGCAGGATGCTCGAACATACGAGACTGAAGCTCTTTGCCTATCATCCACCACACCTTCCGAGTTGTTGCCAACATCGCAAGCCATGCAACAACCTCCACCGAAATATTCCCCTTAGCAGCTTCTGAGTGCATATTGTCCTCCCCTTCCGTTCACCAGCTCCGTGGGTTAGCTAGGAGCATGCAGAAGCAAATCGTGGGAGGAGGTGGAGGGGGGAGGAGGCGGAGGAGGGCAGAGGTTGCAGAGGGAGGAGGTGGAGGAGGCCTCTGGGGGGGGGGGCAGACTCAGCGGGGGCAACAGCGAGGGATGGCCACGGGCTCTGTTAGCATGATCATTTCACCAGTGAACGACATGTGACCGCTCGCAGATGTCTCTTTATAGTGCAAGCCCGCCCCTTCCGTATCATCGCCAAGAACGTTTTCGTATGTTCGATTCGCTGAGCTCGATGACCGTTGGAATCGGCTCCAAGTTTTACCATCAGTCGCAAACAGTATGATGCCTTTCTCCTTTACGCGTAGGACGTTCATACCCAGTTCAATCTGCTTTCGCAGCAACGTCATGTCCCCCCCTCCCACCTTCCAACAGCAACCGACACATCGGGGATGGCGAACAGGCATCGACACCGCCACGTTGATTCTTGATGGCGTTTCTTAATCAGAATTTCAATGCGAATCCAGCCAGTGCAACGGTAGGCCCCCAAGTTGACACATAAACACGGGCGCGCGTGCAATATCGATGCTGTTTCTGCCCTCCACCACCCAGCCCTGGTGGATGAATGCAAAAGGCGGAGCGGGAACGAAGGAGGATAACAATTCCTTCAAGATCAGTCACTGCTGATGGCTGCACGCGGGCCCAAGTTTTCCAAACCAACAGAAACGAATGCATTATTCCAGGCCCTTCTCGGATGTGTCGACGAGCTAGGGGATCATACCCACATGGCGCCCGCGTGTCGCGCGGGTGACTTTCAAACCTAATGCAGAAATAACAGACGCATATCATTACTTCCGAACGGGCATTGCGAATAGGCGAATCGGCGACATGTCAAACACGGGAGGGTGAGGAGGAGCATGAGGAGGAGGAGGATGAGGAGGGATGCGACTGGCAAGGGATATGCGTGCATGCCCTCCTGTCCTCATCATAAGCAGAACATGATAAGGCGTGCAGGCCGTGGTTCACGAATGTCTCAGACATACATGTATCACAGGAAATTTCTAGACAGTCCAGGTCGCGATCCATGGTTCCCATGTAACGCGATACCAATCTTGTCACTCTCTGAAGCCCCAGCTGAGGAGTAAAAAAATCGCGTCCGAATTCTGAAACGATAGCGTGGCAGGCGGCTTTGGCGAACTCGGCAACATCTGCGACAGCACCGCTGCCAAACGCCTCACCAGTAGTAACAGCACCAGTAGCGCCGCCGCCAAACGCCTCACCAGTAGTAACAGCACCAGTAGCAGTATCAGTATGCAGCGTCAATAAGGTACGTCTCTGGTCCTTGCCCCTCGCCATCGTTCGGACGTCCGTTCCCTGTGTTGTTTTTGGTGTCGTGCGTATTTTTTTCGCCAGGATGCTCCTCGATGGCCCTCGCCGAAGGAAACGCGCGCACGTCCGATCGATGCCAAGGCACCGCCCGCCGTCGGATGACTAGAAGAGGAGGGAGGGGTTTGAAGGGGCAGGAGGGGGCTATAGGCACTGACAGGACTGATCGGAACCGAAGGTTGCAAGGGCGACGTCGTGGCACTGATCGACGCGGCCACGGGGAGGACGGGGTGCACCCTTCGTCGCCGTCGTAGCCGTGTTATACCTCATCCCCCACATCCTTATCGCCGTCAATCGTGCTCTTCGTCCTCGTCCTCACCGTGGCTCTCTCACAGCACCCGCCGAATTGCCCAATCGAAGACGGGCTGCGGACTTTGATAAATCGCTGAGGAGGAGGAGGATGAGGAGGAGGATGAGGAGCAGGAGGAAGAGGAGCGAGGGAGGAGGAGAAGGATGAGGAGGAAGAGGAGGAGAAGATGGAGGAGGAGCCACCAGGAGTATTACAAAATTGAGTTGGAGGATGAGCCCCCAGGAGGTGGAGGTGGAGGAGGAGCCCCCAGGATGAGCCCCCATTCGATTTGTTTCATCCCGAGATAACTCGACATGAAAATCAGAAGGCCCCCCCAGGAGTACTTTAAAACTCATTGAGCTGCATCTGATTTAAATCGAAACTCTTTTCTTCGAAATTCCCACATTGCCACAACTGCCTGAACAACCCTCCCCACTCCTCATGAGCACATGCTTTCCGTGCCGGCCTTTTCTTGGGCGCCATTGCCCGAGGCCCCGCGGGGCCGCGCGCAAACAACCCCCATCCAAGCTTAAAGCAAAAGGCAGGCAGGACAAGGCATGCTGACTGTCACGAAGCACGTGCATGCCCCCTGCCCCGCTGCCGAACGTCCTTCGTACATTTTGCAATACTTCCTGAATACCATCTGCCGAAATCTGGACCTATGCACTGTCTTCGCTATCTCTGCTATTTTACCGTTCATGCCCTCGTCAAAATATGTCGTGAACTTCCTAGGGTTCCCCTTCTCTCGGACCTGAGCTGCGAGGTGTCTGAATTGATGATGCTTTGGCATCATGGGGATTCCAGCTCGATTTGCATTTATACAGTGCAGGGCCGCGAAGGCCTCAAGCTGATTGCAAACGTCGTCGGGGACCTTTCGAGGATGACCAATGAGCGTTGCGTCCCAGGACCTCAACGCGTTCCCTGCTAAAACTAACTCAGGAGCATGGTCGTCAGGAGGCAACTGTCTCTGGTACCATTCCAACAAATCGCAAGTGAAAAGCATCAGCCATTTCGTTTCCGCTCCTTTTGTCGACAGGGATTGTTTGTTCTTCTCGCCTATCATGCCTGGCGTCAGGTCTCCTACCTCTGTGATTTGGTTTGGGCCCAAGTTTCGTTTCTTCCTCTCGTCTTTGTACCAATCGTGCAGTGTGTTTTTCAAATGGCCTAGCCCGAGACGCACGCGGTCCTCCTGTCGAGTGCAGCCCGTGCCATATATGTCTGCCTCCAAAAGTTTCCACCACACGTTTGAAATCCAAAACTTAAAGACGCCCAAATGACAGCAGTGCAGCTCGTCCAGTGAAAACGTCGACAAGTCAATTCCCAGCTCCCTGCACAGTAGTGGATTCCTGTGGTAAACTCGCTCCTCGCGCGGCTTAGGTCTCCAGAAACATACCAGGAAGGGATAATCGGCTTTAGAGTCAAAATCCATCACGTCTAAAAGCGACGGGCTTGCCTCCAGACGGTCCCCACGGCGGAGAGGTGGATGAGTGTCATGCACATCCTCTACAAGAGTTCGCCCCCTGAACGACGACTTAAACTCCAATGTCCAACGGATACGCCTGTGCATCTCTTCACTTGAAATGAAGACCCAGATCTCGTGTCCCTTGCAATGTCTATCGTATGAACCTGGAGGATGCCGATCGAGGTGGTCGCCCAGCCGATGCTGCAAGATACGCTCGGAGTCCCATGAACAGAGCAAGCACGGCGCATGACCACTAGAGTGCGCGGGGAAGCCGCAGCCAGTCGCCATCTCTGGCCAATCAGCCTTGATGTCAACGACAACCCCGTAGAATTCTGGATCGAACGCCTACATGGGGTACCATGGCTGGACCTAAACGGTGTTTTTGATGATCTCTTGGGCCGTTGTCGTTTCGACTTCGTTTTGCGGTAAAGGCGGGTTCGAGACAATTGCGAAGGAAAACTAACACATAAGGACACCAACGAAAAACACCGTTTAGGTTCAGCCTTGTGGGGCACATGTGAAGAATGCTGTCTAGTGTGGCAAGGATGGCATCGGCAAGGACCCTCGGACGCCGACAGGGATGCTGGAATCGTGGGGTCTCCTCACTCTGGCAAGGATGCAGAAAGTGACCTCATACATGTTACAACGATTGAACTATTGCGTATGCTTGTGTGTGTATTCATGCTCCCCTACTGATTGTTCCATGCCATGCGCCTGCCCTGCCTTTTGTCCTCGAAGAAAGTCGCTCTCTCGCCAATCGCAGCTGTCGTGCCGCGCTGTCGGCCAGTGCCCTGAAGCTAAACAATGCAACGACCACTTCATCGCCTGAAATACTGGGCACATAGAACACCAATGCGAACAGCCGCAGTCACAGAGGTCACCAACAATCTCGCAGAAAATGAGACCCCTTTTTCTGGACCCAAGAACGTGGCACGTCACAGCGTAAAACGATTCATGTTTCGTGAAAGGCGTTTTGTCCATGTACAATGCGAGTGGCACGACTTTGGTCCTCTTTTCTGGGCCCAGGCGCTTGACGACTGAATTGTTTTCAAAACTATCGATCCAGGGCCCATCTGCAAACCGCTGTCTCCAGGACTCCAGGATCTCGGGGTTCTTCTTGATTTCATTGAATATGATCTCATGCGGCAGCTGGATGCTGATCTGCTTCGAGGTTCGACAAACATCGCGACGGGACTTGCCTGGGATATTCATGAAATACATGTCCGAATCGTATTTGCCTAACTCGAGAGCTCTATCTAACTTCTTCTGGAAATTCCCGCTGCATACGGGCGACGGGGCTACTTCGAATTGCTGGAGCTCTGGCACTCCAGCTCGATGACCGTAGTACGCGAGTTCTGTGAATGCTTTGGCAGTCATCCTGGCCCCTGTCATATACATGTCCGTGATGTGCGATATCAGCTTGCCTGCATACTCCTGCCTCTGAATCTCATCTGCCCTATGAGACGAAGTTCGCTTCCATGAAGTCCCATCCTCCCAGTCCACGGGCGCTGGGCGCGTGCGGCCGCGCCGGGGAGGCGGGCTTCCCATCGCGACGGGCTGTCCTTGAGAGAGGACGCTGCGAAGACAACGGGCTATGCAATGCAAATTACAAGCAATCGGCGACATGCACACAGGTTACCAGTCTCGAACGTATCCCTATCCCTAAGATTGACACGCCAAAAGGCGATGACAATATTAGGGATTCGCCATTGAAAAATGAGGGAATCCAAGATTGGCATCGCGATGAGGAGATGCCCAGTATAGGGATAGGGAAATGTTCCAGGCTGGTTAACAGGGACGGACCGCATGTTGTTTCTCGGGCCAAACGCAAACTGCCAGGGTACGTTTTGGAGTAGCCCGTCGTCTCGCCCTCCCACTCGAAGCAGGAAACGGGCTCGGCGGGCGAGAATGAAGACTGGCCTTGGCGAGGCCCCTGCATCGACGCAGCAGGATATCACCAAGCAGATCACTACAGCGCCATAAAACCTTGCACGCACTTGCCCCCTGTGCGAAAGCAGCCCCGAGCGGAAGATGATGCTTCGCTTCGGCATTCGTTGCGTGCGACCCCTTTCGCAGGCAAGTCTTCACGCCGAAAAGCATTGCAGGCTGGACTGGCAGGCTCTTTGGGAACCCACATAACCTCAGGAGCCCTCGGATTTCATTGCTTCCACATCAAATTTGCCAGCGGACGCGCTTCCAGGGGGTCGGAGTACTCGAAATTCATTGCTTCCAAATCAATTTGCCAGCGGACTTGCTTCCAGGGGATCGGAGTCCTCGAATTTCGTTGCTTCCAAATCAAATTTGCCAGCGGACGCGCTTCCAGGGGGTCGGAGTACTCGAAATTCATTGCTTCCAAATCAATTTGCCAGCGGACGCGCTTCCAGGGGGTCGGAGTCCTCGAATTTCATTGCTTCCACATCAAATTTGCCAGCAGACGCGCTTCCAGGGGGTCGGAGTACTCGAAATTCATTGCTACCCCTCTATCCTACCGGTGTTTTCTCTTTGATTTTGTGCTTTTCTGAAACTCATCACAAACTCATCAAAATCGCTCCGAAACTCATCGCGCCTACCGGTGTCATGAAGTCGACTTTATATTGATTTTTTACAGGTAAAACCCAAAACTCATCGCGAAACTCATCACTGGAAACTCATCAGAAACTCATCACTCTGATTTTGTGTTTTTTTTTTTTTTTTGGGATTTCTTGGTTCTCCTTGTGATTTCCTGAAAAATTCCCAGAAATTCTTAAATCTCGCTAGTCGAAGCCTATCCCCGTTGAAACTGCATCGCTGCGTCGGGGCTGCAAAGAAAAAGAGGGTGGCCTGCCATATCACGAGAACTTCCTCTTCTTCGAGATCGCATGCATGTCCGTGAGCCACCCGTGGAAACCAACCAAATCCTCGACCAATGGCTTCATCCTGCCCATCCCCGCTTACCTGTGCCGTCGCCCATCCCCTCAAGTTTCCTCGAGCACTCTAAACTCATCGCAAGCTTATCGAGGCAACTCTGAGAGGCAACGAATCGAGCACCCACAATAACACCCAGAGCACTCTAAACTCATTGGACCCAGTCCGAGCCATTCACTCTCCCAGAGCACCCAGAGCACTCTAAACTCATTGCAAACTCAACGGTGTAACTGTGAAATGCATCAAATCGAGCTCGAAACTCATTAGAACCAATTCAAGACAACCCCTCAAGTTTCCCAGAGCACTCTAAACTCATCGCAAGCTCATCGAGGCATCTTTGAAAGGCAACGAATCGAGCTCCCAGAACACCCAGAGCACTCTAAACTCATCGGACCCAGTCCGAGCTCCCAGAGCACCCAGAGTACTCTAAACTCATTGCAAACTCAACGGGGTAACTGTGAATTTCATCAAATCGAACTCGAAACTCATTAGAATCAATTCAAGACAACTCCTCAAGCTTCCCAGAGCACTCTAAACTCATCGCAAGGCACCGACGGGAATCCGAAGCTAATCAGAAACAACTGCTCAACTATATCTAAAGCGGTTCGCTCGAGACATCCCCTCAATGTTGTTTCGGGAATGCTTTCGGATGACCTCCAAGATGACCCCAGGAGGAGGAGGAGGAGGAGGAGGAGGAGGAGGAGGAGAAAGAGGAGGTGGAGGAGGAGGCGGATCGAAGGAAACGCTTCCTCCTCCTCGGATCCTTCCTGCTCCTCCTCATTCTCCTTCCTCCTCATCCTCCTCCTTGACCAGATCAGCGTTCAGCCTCTGAGTGCCGGCCCCAGCGCGCCAGTGCTCAGTGACACCTCCTCGTCGTCTTCTGTCTTCCCCCTCCTTCTCGTCGTCCTCCTCCCTCCTCCTCCTTCTCTTCCTCCTCCTCCTCCTCCCTCCTCCTCCTCCTCCTCCTCCTCCTCCTCCTCCTCCTCATCCTCGCCAGTCGATGCAAGTGCGGAGATGCAAGCATGCGTCCCTCCCCGTCCCCTCTTCGTTCTGATCTCGGTAAACGCGATGATCATATCCTCGTTGGTGTAGTTCTTCTTGATGGCGGCCATGTTCTCCGTCTGCATGCGGACCATCAAGCTAGGCATCGCGTCGCTGCAGGCCTTCATCTTGGACTTGAGCTGCTCCTGAAATTGCGGCGACTCCTTGAACCAAGCCCAGTCGGCCATGGTCTGCGACGCGCTCTCGAGGGTGGTCAAGCCACACATCGTGGCGTTGTAGGTGGATACGACCTTCTTGGCCTCCGTCTCCGCGAGCTGCAGGCGTTTCCTTTCATCTTTCTTCCTGCGCTCCTCGGGATCATCATCCGTAGCGGCCTTGCCTTTTTGCCCCTTGTTGCCTTTGCCTTTACTTTTCCCTTTGGCGTCCTTCTTGCCCTTGCCCGTGCTCTTGCCCGTGCTGTCTTCTCCGTCGGCGCCAGCGCGCCCGCCCTCATCGCCAGCATCGGTCTCAGGATTAGGCCCAACAGGTGGAGCAAGATCCATGCCATGCGCCTCCGCCTCTGCGTCGCTCTGGTCTTCCTTCTTGACGCGTTTCTCCACGGGCTGAGCTTGGTGTTCTCCATCTGCTTGCCTCTTAGCCGCGGCGCTGGCCTCCATGTCCGAGTAGATGCTCCAGCAGCGCTCCATCTCCTCCTGCTGGCCCTCCTCGAAGTACAGGAATTGGAGTCGATTCCGCATCCCCGACCAGCGCACCCATGGCCCACCCATGGTCAGACAGCAATTGCAATAGTGTTCGGCGGCCGTGATGTTGCTGGGGTCCCAGTAGCCGCCCTCCTCCACCACGATGCGGGCAAAGGAAAAGTAGGTGCCCTTCTTCGTGTCCACCTGGCGATGCGTCTGCGACTTCGTGTACTTTGTCCTCTCAACCTGAAGCTTCTCTGCAGCCCACGCTTTCTTGACTGCCTGCTGCGCTTCGCGGCCCTTGTCCTTGGCGTTCTGGTACTTCTCCCACCACTCTCCTCCTTCTTTCTTGACTCTGTCCCATGACTGGGCCAAAGCCGAGCGAGCAGCGACGCCATGTTTGACAGCATCTTCCAGAATCCTGATCCGCTCTGGCTCCTGCTGCTCGCTCATGCTCTGCTTCTTCGCGGCCTCCGTGAAAAGCTTCTCCTTGAGAGAGATCATCTCCACAGCGGATTTCTTCTCGGGCGTGTCGAACACGGAACCAAAGAGGCTCTCAACAGAGTCTTCGCCATTGGGGTCCTTCTTGAGCTGTGCGTTCAGCTGGGTCAACTCTGCCTGCTGCGTCGGCATCGCCGCGGGTGCCTTAGCTCGGGCGAAGGGAACTATGCACACGCACCGATCCTGGCAAGGCCCATCCTTGACCCAGGATCGGTGCATATACCTTCCTAGCCAAGGTAGGAGGGCGTATGCACCGATCCTGGGCTCAGGATGGGCCTGGCCATAATCGGTGCATGTGCATAGTTATCTTTCCTCTGTTAGCCTTCGCTGGGGCAGACGCAGTGTTCGCCGTGGGAGATGCCCGAGAAGGAGTCGGTGGAGTTGCCGTCGAGGGCGCAGGAGCCAAGCGAGTTGACGTAGCCGTAGCTGATGACGAGGGGGCGCAGCTCGACGGCGAAGGCGCCTTCGAAGCCGCCAGCGCGGGCGTCGTGGAAGGCTTGGCTGGAGCCCTCCCGATGCGCGCCTTCGCCTTGGGCACTGGTGCCACCAGTGTCGCCAGGTATGCCTCTCCTGCCCGCGCAGCATCTTCGAGCTTCTCCACGTACGCATTGTGTGCTCCAGCCACCGCTGCCGTCGCAGAACCTGCATCCTCGAGCTCATTCTCATGATCCTTCTCCTCGGCACGCCCCTCCACCTCAGCTTGCGACGCCGAAGTCCAAGCCGCCGAAGTACACTCCTCAGCTTCAGGTTGCGACTGCGAAACCACCTTGCCCTCCTCATCATCCGTGGCCTCGGATGCCTTATCCGCCGCCTCTTCGAACTCCTTGCTTGCCTCGGCCTCGGCATCGGCTGCCTCCTCGTTGGCCGTCTCCTGCGCCTCCTCCTGCTGTGTTGCCTCGACCTCAGCTGGCTGCTGCCCCAAGACGGGCGTCACATCGATGGCTGCGGCATCGACGGCATCCCACTGCCGTTTGCGCTGCTCAGCGCGTCGCCGCTTCTCCTCAGCTTCATGTGGTTCCATCTGGCGATCCTCGTCAGGGGATCCTGGAATGGTGTTAGGCTGCTCCACGTAGGTATTCGTAGGCAAGCTGTCTTCCGTGAGACCAATCGTATGAGATGGCCGAGGTAGTTGCTGAACGCGCTCGTGGTCGTCGGAGCTGCCAGCTGCGCTGATGCGATGCCCATCATCGGCCTCCATGCCTAACGACTGCACGATATCCTCGATGGGCTTGTCCGAGTAGTCACCGCTTGCAATGCATCCCTTGAGCCCCTCTCGGAGCGCCCCATGGGCCCCTGTGAAAGGCACGATGTCGCGAACCGAGGGGCGAGGTTGCTGGGCCATCGTGCTGTAGTGATCAATCTTGAGCCTGCAAATCGAGGCTCCGGACACACCGACTTGCTCTGTACGTGGACTTCGCGCGTCGCACCACGTGATGCGTCAGGCGCGATTCTCTTCGCGCCCCCTGGTTCTCTCGGACCGTCGGACCCTCGCTCGTCCTAAAATTATGTTTCTCCTCGTCGTCCTCGCCTCCTCCTCTTTCCCATCTGTCTCTTCCTCCACCCTCCTCTTCTAACCCCTCATCCACGTATGCAGAGCTTTACTTGGAGTCCAGGGCCAAAACGAAGTGGATCACCCATTGAACGCAGGCCTGGGCAAGTGAAAACCCAACGCATGGCATTTAGACTGATTTATGGTATATGGACGGTTTCTGCGTATAGTTTGTTTGTGAGCCGTTGGAGCTTCCGTGCGTTCAGAGGTTGGTTCAATTAACATGTTTATTCATGGAGGCTTCCGCCACTCCGTCGACTCTGTTCTGTTCGGCTGACAACCGTTGTTTTCTACCTGGACCAGGGGTGGCGGTTTACATCGGGCACGTGATCACGAGCAGGCATGTCTGGCAAGTGCGATGCAACACCTGTCGGGCGCCCACGGCGGCCTCTGCAATCAACTCGAGACGAGAGGCACGGACGCAACCCGCGAACCCGATACATGCGGTGCGAATCTCTCGAGACGCGCGCGTGGCTGCCAGCAGCGAGAGGCAATGTGTACTCCCGATTCCACAACAAAGTGGGGGGGTCACATTCGGGGGGGGGTCTAATGTGAGCTGTCTTGGAGGGTTCGGAGGGGTCTGGGCAAAGGGCCGCCCTTTCATGGATAGCCTGGGGGGTCTAAAACTTCTCGTCTGGGAGGGTTGTGACCCCCTCACTTTCATTACGAAATCTGGAGTAGTTAACACCTCACTCGATGCAATCCCCTCTGTGCGTCCACGCGGCTGCTGCAAGCAGCAACACACGAGAGGCAATGATGTCAAGGGCGGGCCTGATAATGCGATGCAATTCCCTCTAGGCGCCCAGGTGTCTGCAATCGGCTCAACGCGACGGCAAGCAAGGATGCAAGGGGCCACATGGAATTGGTTCGACAAGAAAAGCAAACGTGGTAGCATCATTCCCACTTTCACGCACTGGCCGAACGCAGTCGAAGCAAACAATTCAGCCGCTGGCGCATGCAATGCACCTCGAGCGATGGCCTGGATCTCCGCTCTAATGAAGTACAGCCCCTCATTCATCGGCGTCTTCTCCGCTGCCTCCCCCCGCCCCTCGCGCAACTAAAAGGAGAACGCGAGAGAGCGAGAGAGAGAGAGAGAGACAGAGAGAGAGAGGAGAGATGGGCAGGAGGATGAGGAGGAGGAGGATCCATGCAGAGGAGACGGTGGAGGAGGAGACGGAGGAGGAGAAGGAGAAGGAGGAGGAGGAGGAGGAGGGAGGACGGAGGAGGAAGCTGGATGTGCGCGCAGATGCTCGCTGCCCCTGCCCCTCCGCGTAGCAGAGAGTCCCGCTTCTCGCACAGCTGCTCCTCGGTGATGTCGCCTGCCCCAAGCCCAGCGAGCGGGGGCAAATGCAGGAGTATGCAACAACAACGGATCAGGAGGAGTATATATAGGACCAACAGCAGGAGCATCATCACCAGGAGGAACCCCAGCCCATGCGGGCTCCGTTTGAGTAGAGCGGGGAGGGTGATGTAGAACCCGGAGGAGAGCAGACGGAGGAGGAGGATGGGGAGGGGCAGGACCTTGAGGAGGAGAGGAGGATGAGGATGAGGATGACGAGGAGGATGAGTAGGATCGAGGAGGAGGACGAGGAGGAGGAGGAGGAGAAGGAGGCGGAGGAGGAATGCAGCGGCAACACAGGAAGAAACAGGGCCCCTCCCAGCCCTCCGTTGGCGAACGCCTCGGCCACCCCGATGGCCACCTCCAGGGCTGTCTCGTCGCTGACGTCGTCGTTGATCGTGACCATGAGGAGCTGCTTCTTGGAGCGTGTGTACTGCAATTTGTAGATCATCTTCCTGTCCTCGCAGGGCGGCGGCGACATGCTTGTCTGATCCTCCTTCCCCAAATCACCTCTGAGGCCTCCTGGCCCCCACCTACTCCAGGGCAAGGGGAGAGCATTCTAAACTCATTGAACAGAATTCGGGGGCAAGCGTGAAATCAACGGAAAGAAATCGAATGTTTTCGGTATCGTCCTCTCCTCCTCGATCATGATCCTCACCCTCGTCATCCCCATCCTCGGAATCCGCCTCGTCCTCCCTCCTCATCCTCACTCCTCCTCCTCCTCCTCCTCCTCCTCCTCCTCCTCCTCCTCCTCCTCCTCCTCATCCTCCTCATTTTCCTCCCTCTTCCCCCGCTCTCTTCTCATCCTCTTCATCCTCCTCCACCCTCTGCAGTCTTCCTCAAGCTTTGCCCTGCGACAGGGTACGGGGGAGGCGGCCGAGGCATGCAGTCCTTGTACTTCTTGACCTCGAGCTCCATCCCATTCACTGGGTGCTTGCCCGTCCAGTCGGCAGGCCTGGCCTTGCCCTTGCAAGAGTCCTGCTTGCCCTTCCGCTTCTTCGAAATGCACTCGAGGTCGTCGACCTTCAGGTTGCTCAGCAGCTGCCAGCCGCAGGACTTGAACTGCGCCCACACCTGGTTCTCCCACGGCTCGAGCTTCGAGCTCCATTCAGGCGCGCATGGTTTGCCTTTCTTGCGGATCTTCCGCGCCCAAGCTTCTAGTTTGGTCTCGTCCCAGCCCACGTCGTACTCATCCTCTGCGGTGATCTCGTCCTCCGCAGGCTTGGGCTCGGTCTTCTTCTTGGGCGCGGGCTTGGGCACGGGCGTGGGCACGGCCCCATCTGCTGGCACGTGCGTGGGTGGTTCTACTGCTTGGGCTGGCGTCGGCTGCTGGCGTGGGCTGGCGTGGGCTGCGCGCCCCATCTGCTCGCCAGACTTGTCATGGGCTGGTGATTTAGTGGTCTTCTTCGGCTCAGGCGTGGCGAACGCGGAGTCGGCTGGCTGCGAAGTGCAACCCAATGCTATGATATCATCTGGAACTTCATCGAATATAGACGGTGGGATCGTGTCGGGGTCCCTGACGCTGTCGACGCTAGAATTCGCCAGGACGGCGCTCGACTTGCTGCTGGCTGCAATCGTCATCGCCTTCTCCAGGCACTTGGGGTCCTCAGCTGCAGACGGCTTCCGCTTGAGCGGGCTCGGGTTAGGTTCCGCCGCTGCTGCAGGTCGTTTGAGTGCTGCAGATGGCCGTTTCAAGATCGCCGATGCTTCATCGTCATCCTCCACTTCAGCCTCATCATGGGCGCCAGCATCGGGGTCTGAAGCGGCGCCCTCCGCGCCGTCATCGGCGCCAGCGTCATTGGCCAGCCTTTCCTTGAACCACATCGCCCACTTTGGAACTTGACCTCGGCTCATCCGCGAGCGAACGTGTCCGATGGCGTTGAAGAGGCGTCTGTACATAGTTGTCAACCAGTTCTGCTTGGCCTCCGTGGCAAAGGGAAGGCCTCCGTCTTCTCCTCCTCTTTCTCCTCTTCCCCCTCCTTCCCCTCCTCGTTCTTCGCGTCTCCCCTCCATGTCCTCACCGTCCTCTTTTCTCCTCCTCGTATACTACTACTCCTCATACTCCTGCTCCTCCTCCTTCTCCTCCCCCTCCTCCTCTTTTTTCCTCCTCTTCTCTCGCCCGTTCCCCTGCCACCCTCCTCCTGATATGTTGACCCCTTCCCCTGTCCTCTACTCATCCTTCCCCCGCCGCCCGCTCGCGCCTGCTCCCTCATGCCGAAATTCTTCAAACCGTAGATGAGCGAC